TTGTCCTTGCTGTTGTTGCTGTTCTTGTTCTTCCTCAAGGCCATCTGCTGCCCACATAGAAGGCCTTCAGTGTTTACTTTAAAGGCGCCTTAAGGGTCCTTTAGTGTTTACATTAAAGGCGCTTTAAGGGTCCTTTAGTGTTCACATTAAAGGCGCCCTAAGGGTCCTTTAGTGAGTGTTTACATTAAAGGCGCTTTAAGGGTCCTTTAGTGTTCACATTAAAGGCGCCCTAAGGGTCCTTTAGTGTTTACATTAAAGGCGCTTTAAGGGTCCTTTAGTGTTCACATTAAAGGAGAGGTGAGTCCTTTAGCATTCACATTAAAGGCGTCTTAGGGGTCCTTTAGTGTTCACATTAAAGGCGAAGAGTGTTCGGGGATTTTTAATAGTATTTAAATAGAGTATATTATTCCTGCATGCCTTGCACTTGCAGTTGCATCTCCTATCTTCTTCTTACACATGTAGTTTTGCATCTACTAATGATATTCCTGCATGCCTTGCATCTCTCTTCCTATGAGGAACGTGTGGAGGCAAGGAAGCGGTTCGTAGATAGGCTGCCACAATATGCGACTCATGGAGGCGTTTTACTCGCTCTTCAGTTCCGCCTTCAACACGGCGACATCTATGCAACGGAAAAACTAAGACCGGTTCTAGAGAAGCAACTTTTTGTAGGAGAAAGGCTTCAAATGGAGGAGGGTCAACACCAGCAAAGGAAGGCACACGTAGGAGAAAGGCATCTTCAAAGGGAAGTTGTGCAGGAGGTACAGGAGGAGCAACAAGAAAGGTTACAAGACGAGATGGAACAACACCAGGGAGCAGCGCTTCTGCAGGAGCAAGAACACACGGCACAGCGGGGGGAGCAACAGTCAGAGCCATTTGGTAATGGCGTAAGAGACGGAAAAGTACTACAGAAGTATCAAGAGAAGGTTGATAACATGGTACAATTCGCTAATACCGCTACACCACATCATCTACCACATCAAGCACAACATCAATCGCAGCAGCAAGTGCACGACCAATCAGAACGTCAATCCCTCCAGCATCAAGCACAACATCAATCGCTCCAGCATCGACTAGAACTACATCCTGCTGCCGAGCAGGGTCACCCTCGTGAGCATAGTACACTACATCCCGGTGCCGCTGAACAACAGCAGCATAATCCTGAGATGAATCATCTTTCGCAGTATCTAGAGGTTGTGGTGATCCTAGAGGGCGTTGAGCCATTGACGTCTCATCCCACGCAAGCTAGATATTCCTACACGACTGCGGAAATAGAATTCGGGAAGTCGTTTCCTACGTGCGTCTTTCCTAAGAAATCCAACTTGGTCATAGACTACTTGCAGTTTCAAAGAACAATTTAACTTTTTTGGGCGACGAGGATGAACAAGACGAATATGTTCCAAGTTGTGCATCTTTTTTATTGCTGGCATCTGTATTGCTCTTCCTTGTCCTTAATTGATCGCAAAAATCTAGAATTCTGATGGTCATCAACGTTGTTGCTGGAGTTTTATGAGGTTAAGTTTATTAGTACCCTCCTCACTCCAGTGTGTGCGTAGTTTATGATTAGCTTATGATCTAACTGCGAGGTAAGTGAAGTTAAACGACCTACAATCTAAACCTCCAATCACCACCTTTATTAGTGCCTCTGGCTGTTTAGTCTTCAACTTCATCAACAGGTTTAGGTTACAATTATTTGCACCGCCATTTTTTTTTTCCTTGCTTTCTCTGTTTTCTTATAGACTCTTCTATGTTCCTTTCCATGTTCTCCTTTCCATGGTCCTCTCCCTCTTTCTCCCTGGTCGATCATGCAGCTCCAGTTTCAAAGTAAGTTGCACTACATCATAGCAAAGCAATGAATCGAGTACGTCGTTATAATAGAAGAAGCTGTGGTGCGATGGCATCAATTTCTTTAAGGTAGTTTCAAGCTTCAATTACCCTCTTCACCTTCCTCCTCGTGCTTCTACGAAGTAGAAGCTTTTACTTCATCTGGACTTCATCCATGCCACTAAATTGAAAATAAAACGACCAGAAGATGATAGAAATTTGGACGGGCAGCCAGTTGTCATTGTCAGGGTAACCCGTAGGAGCTCCCACGCGCAGAAGAAGTAGTAGACAAATTCAAACTCAAATTGCTTTAACTGCTTTTATGCTTGCCTTGTCAGGGAAATTTTAGGCAGGTCGATTCTTTCACGCTATGATATCTAGTACATCAAGAACCACCTTTGTTCTTGCTCAAAAAACTCAAATATGTTATTTGTGTCACTGCGATCATGAGCACACTCCGTCACAAGTGAGCCCACTCCTATCCTATCCTATGAGCAAATTTATCTGTGACCTTGAATAAGTGACGGCGAGAATACTCAGCGGGCCCTAACCTAACCTGACGGCGGGCTAAAATCTGTACAAACTATATTTTTATACTATGAGATTGTGATTCTTGACAGTTTTCTTGACCAATGCTGCAGTCGTCCTCAGAACGTTTTCTGAGACAAATGCGAGTAAGTGAGTCCTCCTTTGTATGTGGAAGTTCAAGAAGATGAGCAAGAAGTATTTCTGAATGGTTCTGGTATTTTTGGTATAGCCTGAATTCGATCCTAAGGGAAAACAAGAAGAGAACCCTTAGGATCAAACTCAGGCTACCAAAACCAGAACCATACAATTTCTGTGATAGAGCAAATGAAGTCCGGGTCCACCTCTGTTGTGAGTGAAATGTCCTTTGATGTGATGGTCATGATCTGTGATAGAGCGAGTGTCTTCTGTTAACGTGAGCGAGATGCCTATGTTTAAAGTTGAAAAAGTCAGGAAAATACAGAGTTTTGTGTATTTTCTGATTCCATCTCCACTTGCTAAACCCTAGATGACCAAAGGCCGTTCCTGGAGGTAAAGATAGAAGGTTCAGGATTTCTTGAAAATCATTAAGCATCTAATCGATGCCATCTATGTCTATTTCTATTAACAACGACAACATAAAATTTCAAAATAAAATGATTTTTCTTTTAGAGAACCCACTGATTTCGACAATCAAAGTGCAGTCTTCTACATACACCTGACATTGACAAGCAAAAAGCTGCATCATCATCGTTCTATTTGATATGAAACACTACAACCTGCTTGAAAAGAAAAAAATTTCCAACATCTGTGAAAAATCATTGTTGTAGATCTGACAGCTTGTGATCTTATTTTACTGTGGGCATCAAATCAGGAGCGAATCATCTTGAAAGCGAATCATCTCATCCCGTACCTACCTCCACCACACAATCACCTCATCCACCCGCACCCGCAGTAATATCCCGCTAAGAACATCTCCCTCCCACTGACGAGTACTAACACAAGTAAGTAATCCTTTTTCACGCCTTCAGATGAAACCGCGACTCCTATAATTTACTTATTATAATAAATTCTAGAAAGACTTAGAAAAATACATAGAAAGATGAACATGAAGTTGTACTACTACAACATGCTTTTCAGAAGTGCATAACAAAACGATGAAAGAAGTAGAAGAATTGTAGAACCAAGAACATTATCTTAACTGGAACCGGAAGTTCACGACAGTACTAACTACTATGATCAAAAGATGCGGAGGACCACTCAGCCAAGCTGTTTTCGTTCTCCTCACCAAGCTGTTTTCGTTTTCTTCCACAACCTCGAACCCCATCCGTGATGTTCAACGCTAATTGGGGCGATAAGGTGCTTAAGTGCTTTCCGCGCCATCGGTCGTGATGTTCAACGCTAATTGGGGCGATAAGGTGCTTAAGTGCTTTCCGCGCTTCGTTCGCTACCCACAGATCCAGTTATGGTTAATAGCTTTCATCAGGTGCAACAGGTAAGGCTTCTGGGGTGAATCCACTTGCAGAAGCTGAAGCATCTTGGGGCACCCCTGTAAGGGAAAAGCAGGCTGCTCAAGATGGCAGACTTTCAAACACACGAACCGCACAAATTTGCCAAAGTCATTCTTAGGTCCGGAAGGTGAGGAAACGGTGCGGAGAAGCAGACAGCTCAAAATGGACAGAGATACGGGAAGGGGGTTCGTCTGTTTCGCCTGCGAAATGGGAGCACAAGTTAGGGCTTCTTCTGATTATAATCCATCTCGGGAACAAGCATGATCCCGAGGCCGTTCTTTTAAGGGGGGGAATAGTTCATCTCTGGAACAAGCATGATCCCGAGACGTTTTATTTTAACGCGGAAAAGGAAAAGGCCCCAGGATGATCTTCAGCATGGATTAGGGTCGTGAGTTCTAAACAAAGCCTGTTGAGCCAGTACCTGCTTCCTAAGCCAAAAGCGGGAGGAGCGGGTGGCGGCTGAGGAATTTTTGAGCAAAGTTGTGCGGGGGTGGTTGAGGAAAGTATGCTATAGTTAAGAGGTGGCGGCCCACCTGGTTAAGGAAGCGACCAGGCTCAGGATAGCAAGAGACGGCTGAGGAAGCGGCCTGGCTGAGGAATCGACCCGGTGGCGCAGGAAGCGACTTGGTTTAGGGTCTACTTTAGTAGAAGGGGCCGCAGTATGTTTTTACTTTCCATAAGCAGTATGGCGTGAAAGGGTGAGTACCTAGTGAGGACGACTAATCGGGATAGCGTGAGGAATAAGAGTGAGCACCTGATGAGGAATAGCGATGGCGCGAGCATGGGCACATCCATAGACGCAACGAGCTGCGTGCCAAACATGAATGGGATTTTTTTCTTCTACAATTCCAGCACCGTGGTGGCAAGACTTACAGCCGGGGCAGTCACCTTGCGTGGCGGCGAAGCAGAGGCGCCCTATCCTACCTTGCAAAGCATGTAGACTTTTTTCTACTATGCATCCTGGTCGTAAGGCTTGGCGCTGCATATTAAGTTATGGGCCCCGTAAGAAGTATCCAGTTCCAGCTCCTTAGTGTCTTACTATTTTCTTGGAAGTAAGTCCGAGCTTATGGCAATGACGCTCACGACGTGCAAAGGCTAAAGCTATCTTTTTTTTCGGATGTGTACTATGTGTGTGGCACTTATTACTTGCTTCTCCTTCAATGTTGTATGAGCAGGCTCTTCATACTCTGACTCTGTCTCTGTCTGTCCTCACTGCTGCAAAGTGACAGAGCAAGCGCATGGCGAATGGGTGATCTTGATCGTGTCAATCATGATAGCAGCAAGCATATGAGTTGAGACAAACAAGATCAGTCGCTCTTGCGATGGTAAGTCACTCTCGTGATGATTCTACGAACCAAAAGAAAATATATAAAGAACAGATCGGGGTGAGGTCGCTGCGCTGACCACTCTGATGTTTCCTGTTCGTGTTTGAGTAAGTACCTTCAAGGCGGTCAGCCTCGCGCATCCTCATCGCGCATCCTCAGCATTGTTCTGAGTACCAGCAGCGCTTCTGAGAGAGAGGGAGGCGGCGTTGGCGTTTCTGTCTGTCAGAGTCCGCCTTTAATCTGTTTCGTTTGAGAGGGCAGCAGCAATGCAGGGAATCACATTTCTGCGGGAGACTAGCCGCGACGATTCTGCTTGAGAGTGGAGCAGCGCTTCTGCGATTTGGCAGAGAGAAGGCGCGCCCTTACTTACTAGCGTTTCTGTTTGAGAAAGAGAGAAGCGCGCAGCGACGTTAGAGTTTCTGTTTCTTGAGGAAGAAGAGCACTGCTTGAGAGAGTGAGAGGGAGGCAGCGTTAGCGCTTATTTCTGTTTGAAAGAGGGGAGCGGCGTTAGCGTTTCTGCCTGAGAGAGCGAGAGAGAAACGGCGCTAGCCGCGCTTCTGTTTGACAGAGTGAGAGAGGCGCAGCTTCAGCGATTCTGTCTGATGAGGACAGAAAGCGAGACCCCTCGTAAGTACTCAGCTTTTGTAGTGAAGGCGACGCCCTTGATAAGGTTTCTCTTTGGAGTATTTGATTGAAAAACCTCCACAACAGCACAAGCGGAAGAGAAGCGTCTAGCGTTCCTCTGCCACCTCTTTCCCCAGTTTGTCGCCTGTTTTTAAAAGACTTACTAAGAAGTTAGCATCGTCGCCATACATTCTTCAAAGAAGCTCGGAGGCTTATCGAATGTTCAGCGCCATCGATGACCTTTGTTGCGAAAAGAAGTGTGAAGCTTTTTCATCCTCGATCGTCGTTCTTTTTCAAAGGGTTAGAGAATAGGACAGCTCTACAAGTGCAGCAACTTCTGCGACAGTAGTTCTTTCTGGTTGCCTCAGGTTACAAACAAGTAGTCCCAAATCTCCACCACACTGCTTTTTTAGTAAAAGCATTAGGTTTAGGTCTTCAAATAGCGCTCGTAGTTTGTTGTGTTAGTCGCTATTTCTTCACGTCGATCTTTATCTTGTTTTTGCTACGCCAACAACCAAAAAGCGGATCAAGATGGCCCCCCTCTTAGCGTTAGCTGGCGCTTTAGCCTTAGGCGTTGTGGAAGCCAGTCCGTTTCTGGCGCGGCGGGACTACCCTACTAAGGTACCCTCGTTCTTACCAGGACCCTCTCGAGTTTTTCTTACCACCCTACAAAGGTTCGGGACAATAATTTTGATAGACTTTTCTCATCTTCTATCCCTTGCCATGTATAATGATGTATGGTTCTGGTATTTGGTAACCTGAGTTTGATCCTAAGGGTTCTCTTCTTGTTTTCCCTTAGGATCAAACTCAGGCTACCAAATACCAGAACCATTCAGATGAGCAATCAGTTTACCGGGAGCATACTTCTACGAAGAACCGCGGCGCTTGTACTGTTTCGAGCAAGATGGGAAACCACTAGAGGCGACCTTGTTCTTGTTCTTATTGCTGCGACTATCGCCTTCACCCCACCAGAATGAGCATCAATTATATTCATTTCAGAGCAAAAAAAATAGGATAAGGATTCCTTTTATTTCGTTATCATTCATTTCGCAGCTGTCAGGACTTTACTGGCAATACTTATTTAGTATTCAGTCCTCTGACCCCATGATCTATCAGGTCTTGGCTGCTCCAGGCTCCTCGTCCGTGCCCGAAATGCGCGGCCGTTATCGTGCCCCGGATGTCAACAAAACGGACGGCGAAGTCGCCCACAGCAATGGAGTTCTGCAGATTAGGGAGGCCCCTGCTGCTTGGAATGAAACCAAGGCGGACGCGGTGGGTCACGGCGATGGCTTTTTTCAGCTGTCTGACCCTGGTGAAAAGGAGGCGGCGCACCCAGGTCAGATAAAATGGGTCCACCCACTTGAAACGCAGACTGTTGATGATAAGAAGGCGCTTGAGGGTCTGTGCAAGCACGGCAAGTACATGGTCACGCGCGTCTTCTCGAAGCTTGCCAATGGGTTCCAGGCTGGCGATTGTGTAAAACGCCTGGGGAAGTACTCACGCTTACTGCAGTATGAGGGAGTGGGAGGCCGAGAGGATGTGTCTGTGTGGCTGGCCGTTTTCTGGCAGGAGAAGGACGTGGTGGAGTTTTATCTATTGCCGGAACAGTACAGTACCATGATCATCAAGGCAGATGGACGGAGGGGGTCAAGAACGTGGTCGGGCCTTTGGGGGACGTACACGCGGCTGGTCATCGAGGAAAACCGCGGAAGACCCATCTGGAGACGCCTTGCGCATACGACATCGGTAACGAAGCCCATCCCGGCTCTCTACAGCCCGCGCGGCCTCGCTTTTCGCTTTCAACTGGGGCTGAGCGATAAGCTGCCGCGCCGTATATTGGAGATCTGCGAAAACCAAAATAATGGCAGGGTTGCGAAGGTTCTTGGCATGTTTAGCAAGGCTCGGGTCGCGATGTTGAAGACGAGGTGCGCCTTGCAGCTCTCTCCATACATGGAGAAAGTCATCAGCGAGTACATATCTCCAGGAGATGGACCAAGGGGGATCCTCTTCCCGGGTGCAGAGGACACGAATGTCATCAGGGAGGCCTTATACGAAAAAGGAGGGGAAGAGGGGGGACAAGGGGAGAAGGGGCTAGAAGACGCGGATGCCGTCAGCGGGCCTGTAGTTGATGGGAGGCCTTTCGTAGTCAAAGGTGGTGGCGCATGTGCATACACGGGGCCGTTCCCCCAGCTCGCTTGCCTTTTTCTCCAGCATGGAGGGGGCGCGGCTTCGTGGTCAGGGGCTGGCCTCTCGGCTTCCATGGTGCCTGGCTCGTTTCTGCAAACCAAGGTGGCGGCCCCCCTCGGCCTTCTACTTGTCGGGGCCTTGGTCCTTGTGGTAATATGCATGATTGGGCTGGCCATAGAAGCTCATGCTGAAGAAAATGAGGAGAGGAGAAAACGATCTGTTAGCGTGAGCTGATCTGCATAGTGCTAGAATATAGTGACGGGCCTGGTCTGAAAAAGAAGGGAAAACTGATGAAGCTTTCATCATGAAAGGCCCCGAAGTAGGTAGCTGGCGGTGGGTTGAATATAATGTTATACATGTAACGCATTTAAGAAAGAGCGAGACCCATCGTGTTTGCTTTTGGTTTTCCGGTCGTACTGTCTGCGTCGCGAAGTATCCTAAGATGTGCGCAGCGGCGTGTCTTTCGGTAGGAGTGCTTGCGGGGTGTGTGGTGTTTGATCCCTCACACCTGGGCCCGCCTTGGTGCATAAATTTGGGCCCGGCGCATTCTCCTCGCTCGCAGTCTTGTCTTCTGGTTCGCCCAAGCTAAAGACCCAGGCTGAAGCTATGCCAACCTAAGCAAAAGCGTGGCCGCGGCTCAACGGCTCGCGCAGGTTCATACAACCTCGGTAGAACTATATTAGACGACCGCGATGAAGTAAGTGTAAGCAAAGAGCTAAGCGATAGACCTTTAGGCTTTCAGGTACTGGGTCGCGAAGTATCTTAAGACTTGCGTCCCGGCATGTCTTTCGATAGGAGTGCTTGCGGGGTGTGTGGTGTTTGATCCCTCACACCTGGGCCCGCCTTAGTGCATAAATTTGGGCCCGGCGCATTCTCCTCGCTCGCAGTCTTGTCCCCTGGTCCATCTGAGAAAATTAATTGAAGCGAAGTAATAGCGTGGTGGCACAAGGGCTCGCCCTCGCGCAGGTTGTTATACATAGATAGTGGTCTCACTAAAAAAATGACCACGGTGAACGAAGTGAGTGCGTGAGAAGCGACGTGATGGGCCTTTCGGTTTTCAGGTACGGCGTTGTGAAGTATCTTAGGGCCGGCATCGTGTCACGCCTTTCGATAGGAGTGCTGGCGTGCTGGTGTTTGATCCCTCACGCCTGTGCTGTTATAATCGGCTCGCGCAGGTTGTTATAATCTCACTGAGTGATCACGGTGAAGTGAGTGAAAGGCTACGGCCATACAAAATAGTTGCCGCGATGAAGCGCTGCCACTCATTGACTGGCGCCGAGTGAATCTTATAGGAGAATCCTCTAGAAGCAGAGACGATAGCGCCGCGCCAGTTTGTTGCACTTTTTTTTCTGCCCTTGTTGTTGTCGTGTCTTTCTGCCTTTGTTGTTGTGTCTTTCTGCTCGTGTTGTTGTGTCTTTCTGCCTCTGTTGTGGTTGCTGCGTGTTTCTGCCTCTGTTGTTGTTTTGTCTTTCTGCCTCTGTTGTTTTGTCTTTCTGCGTCTCTCTGCGTCTGTCGTTGTTGTTGCTGTTGTTGTTGCTTGCCGTTGCTGTTGTAACTGCGCAGGCAGGCCCTCGCGGGAGGGAGTCCAGAGTGCAAAAGCGTCGACGCGGCGGTCGTTGCTGGTGTTGTTGTTGTTGTTGTTCTTCTCTGCTCCTGTTGCTGTTTCTCTCTGCTTCTGTTGTTGGTGCTGCTTGTTGTTGTTCGTTGTCGTTGTGTCTGTCTGCTCCTGTTGTTGTTGCCTTGTTGTTGTTGTGTCAGTCTGTCTTTCTGCCTCTGTTGTTGTTTTTGATTTTTGTTGTTGTTGTTGTTGTTGTGCTTGTGTGTGTGTCTCTGCCTCTGGTTGTTGTCGCTGTCGTTCTGTCTCTGTTGTTGTTGTTGTTGTTGCTGCTGTATCTTTCTGCGTCTGTTGTTGTTGTTGTTGTTGTTGTTGTTGTGTCTCTCTGCTCCTCTTATTGTTGTTGTTGTTGTTGTTGGCGTCGTGTGCTCTGTTTTTTTGGTGTGCTTTGTCTCTGGTGTGCTTTGTCTTTTTGGCGTGCTGTGTTTCCTTTTTTTCGCGGGTTGTGCTTTGTCTTTCTCGTGTGTTGTGCCTGCCGTGTCTTTTTCGCGTGTTGTGCTCTGCTTTTTTTCGTGTGTTGTGCTTTGTTTTTTTCTCCCGGTGCGGGTGCTTTTGGTTCAAGTGCTTTTAGTTCGGGCGCGAGTGTGTGGTGCGGAGGTTCACTGGCTCGCTGTCGCTTTTTTTTCTACCTTCGTCAGACTTCTTGATCCTTCCAATTGACGACTTGTAGATAGAAAGTGATCATTATGAAAAAGCGCACGAAAGCCATGATATGCTGGTGGAATAAACATGTTGAACAAGATACGAAAATTATACATGAACCACGAAATAAAGAGGTCCTGGATGAGTCACCGTCTGTACTCACATCATCATCATCTGTATGTAAAAACAAACCGGACGAGTTACTGTTTGGACAACAGGATACAAAAAATCGTGTCCGCGTAGAGGAAACAACTAAGTACTCGCTTTTTTCGATTCAGAGCGCAGGATGAACAGCGGTTTCCTCGACACTAGTTGAATGACTGAAGGCGACTGATGCAGTATACAAGAAAACTGAGCGCCGCCGAATCCATCAACATGACCCTGCTCTCAATAATTTGTGAGGTTCTAGTTCTAATTTGTAAATTCGCCCCTCTGTAGCTGTATATTCTATTCCTCTATAGAGAGTCTGTCTGGCAGAAAAATCTCTAATAGCAAACAAAAGAGTGAAGAAATGATGGAAAAAGGATTCTGCACTAGCTCATGTGCTCATCGTCTCGTATCAACATCACAACAGGTAGCTTCATTTGAGAGCACCAGAGAACAAGATAGCGACACTTTTCGATTTAGTTATGTGGAAGAGGAAGTGCTACTAGTACGATAAATTTTATTCTCACCGACACGACCGGAAGTATCCTTCAGAGGTGTGGTTCCATCTGTACTACAAGTAAGTATTCTTGTCATCCTGCTGGACGTCGATACACGTTGTAGTTTCATGATCCATCATGCAGTTAATATTCCACTTGCACTTGTAGACCACACTGACGAACACCAAAATGTTTAGTTTTTTCGGCAATGCTGGCGATTCATCCTCGTCTAATAGTGGGGATAAGGATAGGTGCCGTAGAGGCTCTTCTTCCTCATCAGTTAAGACCCTTGCTGCTACTTGAACTCTTGTTTCTTTCATCTTCGGAATTCAAAAGAAATTGAATTCCATCCTTGCGAAGATGAATTCACGGATACTATACAGAACAAGCAAAAAAAGGGGATGGAAAAAGTCAAAACTGTCGTGGACTGCAAACCAATTCCTATCCTATCCTATCCTATCCTATCCTATCAAAACATCAGAGGTGGGCCGGGGGGATGGGGACCGGGACGATCATGGAAGAATAATACATATACAAAAACACAGCAACTCCAACTAGCTACATCATAAATAGGTCTAAACCTTGCAGGAGTGCATCGAGCAGTAAGGAACAAGCTCGCGAGTGGAATAGGAAGCTCAAATCCGAAATGAGGTCTCTGGAACGCGAGGTTATGAAATTACAGCGGGAAGAAGCAAAAGCCGCACGAGAAGTGAAGAACTACGCTCAAGTATGGCCTGCTGTTATTTGACGGAAATATTTAACTACTTCTACTTACGTAAATAAAGTAAATCTGAATTCTCTTGCTCCATTTGACGAGCAGCCTGAGAAGCAAAAAATTATGTCAAAGTCTCAGATAGTTGTATAAATATGTAGAAGTAGTTGTAGTTGAGTTGTATAATCCACCAAATTTATTTCGAGGTGGGCATTGTATCAGTTACTTAATGACTACTTGAGTAACGCTAATGTTAATGTGACGTTGATAATCAGTGGTTTTATGATCTTCTACTATTTCTTCACTACTACACTCCCTTTTCATCCTTGAAGAACGAGATCGAAGCAGCGCGAACGCTGGCCAAGGAAGTGGTGCGAGGTCGAAAGACGATTCAGCGGTTGCATATAGCGAAGGCGAACCTGAATTCGGTGTCATTGCAGCTAACAACACTACTCGGAAGTATGAAGGTAGCGGATGCCATGCGAGAGTCGACGGAAATCATGTTATGGACATCTTCACGGGAGTACTCATCAATAGAGATCGTACTAGTCGAGTTCTTGTTCGAGTTCGTCTAAGTATGAATATAATTGCAAAACTTCAACTTCATTGGAAGACTTGTTCATCTTCATTGGAAGACTTCCACTTCATTGGAAGACTTCCACTTCATTGGAAGACTTCCACTTCATTGGAAGATGTGAAGATTGACGCCGGAAGATTGATTCTATAGGGCGTTTTGGTTCTACTTCTTGTTCTATCCACGTTGTTCTAGTACTACCTCCTCATCACCTTCTAAGAAAACAATCCATGAATATCGCAGTCGGGTCTATCAGCAGCATGCGGCAGATGGCATCTGAAATGCAAAGGGCGGGGTTGATACGAGAACTCGTGGAAGAAAACATAGAGGAAGCGATGGAAGTTGTCGGAGGGGTGGAAGAGGGAGATGAGTTATGAATGGTTTGCTTTCTCAGACTGGATAGTTCGTTGAACTATGATGGCTACTCCTACTAGAAGAGGGAGGTGTAGTCAGGATGTCATATATTTCTTGGTGATGTTTAAAGTTGTAGAAAACTGAAAAGCAACATTTTGAGGTCTATTCAAGTACGTGCTGCACGTGGACAAGTAAGTATGTATGGAAAGTCTAGATCTAGAAGAAAATGGTATTTTACTCGTCTTTGATGATGAAGAGGACGCTTATCTCTAACCCCAGCAGCTCTAGTCGACGCAGTGTTAAAGGAGGTTGCAGCAGACACCATGGCGCAAGCCAAGACCGTGCCATCTACCAGCCTACCAAGTGCAGCGGCCGCCTCTCGTATACAAGAGCACAGTGCATCAGAGGCTGTGAATAATGGTAGTACCTCTGCAGTAGAGGCCAAGGCGGTGCTGGATGCGGAGGAAGACCTGTTAGAGGCGAGATTGAATGCACTATGACATATCTGCACCATTGCGCTTCTTGGTGTATTTTTTCTTCACGGTATTAACCTAAATACGACAATTGTTCATAGCCTCATGGTCATGTGCATATTATCGTTTTGCGGCAAAATGGTGCTGGTGACGCGGAGCTAACATTTCCTTGTGCTTCTACGTGGCAGCCTCTAGCTTAGCCTAGATTGTTTACGAGTTCATCTGTCGACGAACGAATTGCGCACCCCTACCATCCAGAGATAACTCCTGTGAAGCAGAAACAGCTTTCTCGGTCTTAACTGTCAGTTTCACACAATGTTCACATGAAGATCGGTCATAGCGTCGTCTTATCAACGTCATAGCCATAGGTTGTGGTTGTCCTATAATGCTCTTGTCGGTGTAATTGGAATACCAAAAGAACAGACCTCTCGATGCTTCTGTACGCTAATGTGATACTTACCACCAAAACCGAATCATCTCATCCCGTACCTACCTCCACCACCCAATCACCTCATCCACCCGCACCCGCAGTAACATCCCGCTAAGAACATCTCCCTCCCACTGACGAGTACTAACACGAGTAAGAAATCCTTTTTCACGCCTTCAGATGAAACCGAGACTCCTATAATTTACGTAGTAACTACTTCTAGACTTAGAAACCAAGAAGATTATCTTAACTGGAAGCGGAAGGTCACGACAGTAACTACTAGTACTATGAAGATCAAAAGATGCGGAGGACCACTCAGCCAAGCTGTTTTCGTTCTCCTCACTAAGCTGTTTTCGTTTTCTTCCACAACCTCGAACCCCATCCGTGATGTTCAACGCTCATTGGGGTGATAAGGTGTGCTTTCCGCGCCATCATCCGTGATGTTCAACGCTAATTGGGGCGATAAGGTGCTTATGTGCTTTCCGCGCTTCGTTCGCTACCCACCGATTCAGTTATGGTTAGCTTTTATCCATCTCTCTGCTCGCCATCTTGGTAGCTTTGCGACTCGTATTTTCATCATGAAGTACAAGGGGAAAGGGGCCAAAGTTGTCAGGGGACCGAGATGAATTATCAAAGCGGGCTCTAATTCGGGATGAGCAACTTTTGCGTGATGCAGAGCGAATGAACAAAGATCCGAACAACGAAACCCTGAGACAATCCGTAGTAGAACAAGTGAGGGCGAAGTTGGAAAGTACTACGTAAATGTATGTGTGATTTCTCGTCTTCGTCGTAAGTATATATTGCTGGTAGTAGTTCTTGTAGTTGAATATTCTTTTCTTGTAGATTGTTTTTGTTTGTTTGTTTGTTTGTTTGTTTGTTTGTTTGACGTGGGGTACCAGCGGACCCTCAATCTTCATGTATGGAGCTCTTGTTCAATTCATCTACACCTACGTCAGTACATACAATAATTAGATTTCAACGTCAAACAAATTTTTTAAGAAACTCCAACTCCTCCCCTTAAACTTCTCTACTCAGATAAGCACACTGATCCTCGAACACGAGAAGTTTTGAGCCAAACGCTGAGCGGTGCAACGGTTTTAAGGCTTCCCCTAATCCATCTCTAGAAGCATCTTAACTAAGGCTCTTCCACAAGGGGGAAAAACAAATAGCTCCAAGATGAATCTCAAGATGGACTAGGGTGAGGAAGCTCTAACGGTCTCTACCGAGCTGCAAGTAAAAAATATGGAAGTGGATCCGTCTGGGTTGCCGTTTCCTTCTATGATGAACTGCGTTGTCATGGACCCTGTAAAAAAAGGTGGTGATTCAGCATTGAGCCAGTTTCTTTAAGAGAGTTGGGTCCTCCTGACTCTGTAGGACGATTAACGCTTTATTTCTCATTTCTGTGGCTCGAAAGCAAATACATCAAGTAGAATCAGCAACTGCAGGTTTTTGCCAATTCCATATGAACGATCTATTATGAAGTCAGATGATGTTACTACTACTAGTAGAGTCCGCTACATGATTTCTCTCGTGTTCGTCGTAAGTATGCGCTGTTGAGGCAGTATCATATTTATTTTTGACAGCTGGAGATGGAGTGTGAGTGTAGGAGAAAACAAGAATACATATGCGTCGAGAGATTACAGGAGATATATCATCGCGCCGATCGCCCAGGACGACGAGTGTGGTCGTTTGGGCTGCAGTGTGATGATTACAGGAGTTAGTAGTTGGTGAGTTTGAGAGCCCCCGTTTAGTTGTATCGCCTCAGATGAGTCGAGAGCTGCGAGGAAAGCTTAAAAACTGCAACCGGAAAAAGGGAGACCTCCAAAATCGCTTTACACTTCGTATTTGGTCGAGGTCGTTCTCCTAGTTGTGTTGATAATTCTGATACTAGCCGTAGTGCTAAAAAAACTACTTTCGATATTGACCTCGTCAAGAACCACTTCGACTTTGAGCGAATTCGACGTCGATAAAAAATTCATGTTCTTCTTGCAAGCTAATTTTCGATCATATTGATGTTCTGTCTCTACTCAATATTTTCTTTGTAGTATGTATCACTATCTTCAATCGTATTGCTGTCGAAATGATGCAAGTGCAACTACAAGTGCATATTAACGTGAACGTTCGTGTTTTAGCAGCATCAACAAGTGACGTATGTTAAAGAGCATGTTTTCATCTGAGCAAAAATATCGAAGTGATAGGAATCCGTAAAAGATGAGGAGAAAATTTGCCCGCCCCGTGAATCGGGGAGGGTAGGGCTCACGAGGGCATCGGAGGTGCCTTTCGCATCTACTAGGGCACTCTGTACTTAGGATTGGGACCACTAAGAAGTGCGGGGCTCGTCTTTCCGAATACTAGCTCATTAGCAGTGACGGTCGACGCGTCGTAGCAACTCCCACTGCATAGGGATAGTAGCAGCTCATCAATAGACCGTGGAAAGATTGGGCAGATAGCTGTGCGAGTAGGAACAAGCGGTCCGAAGTACAAAGGAAAGAAGTCCTCTAAAGGGGAGTGGCGTAGCACTTGGCGCTAGGAGGAGAGGCACGACATCACTTCCAGAAACAACGACAGAGGCAACTTACTCCAAGTCAAGCGACTTCACGTCTCTGCAGACGGTACAACTAGTCGTGCATAAGTGAAGAACAAGGAGTAGCAGATCAACAATAAGTACAAAAAATAACTACAAGAATAGAAGTAGCAGTTGTGCCGACTAGAAGATAATCAACTCCACTCAGTAGCAGTACCAGTAGCAGCACAAGTAGCAGCACAAGTAGCAGCACTGCACTACTTGGGCCGCATTGCGATTGGCTACATCTACTACCGCTGGTCTCAGTGGGTAGCGGAGAACCTGTTATTTCAATCTCTCTAGTACCACATCATCACGTCCAACAACAACATCACATTTACAATAACAACGCGCAACTTCAACTTATCTAGACCACAATAAAGTTGTGTACCGCAAGATGGGCATGCTTTCACGAGAGATCGTGATTCGGAAGCTGAAGGAGCACGAGCGCTTCCGCAAAAAGGAGCAAACGACTCTGGCGCAGTTGCACGATGTGTTTGAGGAAGGCGAGGGTCTCGAATTCCTCGGAGACCCTATGTGGTGGAGGTACCCGGAAGACATCGACACCGATAGAATATACATTACTAGTGGCGTCGAATTCCGACAGATACGGTTGATGGCAAGTTAAGGGTCACTATCCCATGTGGACTACGTACAGCACTGAGTGAAATCCCCCTGATCTGAAGGGGGAAATAAAGGGGGAAAAGAACAACTCACTCGACCAGGGATAGCGAAAAACTAGTACCTCTAAGCAAGGGAGATAGTGTTCCACTTCTTGTTGCTTTCGTTTGTGACAGCCTATATCCTGAACACACGGAGTACAGATGCGTTCTTGGCTAGGGAAGAACAGCTAAAATTCTGGCAAGGCTGCAACACAACGACGCCGGAAACGGCGAGAGAGTATTTTGCTTTTGATTTTGCTGTTTTATTTGTAACCACCTGAACAGCAATTATATATAAACAATAACTAGACTCTCATCGTCATCAAAAATCAAAGTTTAATGAACATCACAGCCTCATTACATACGTCCCAACGACTTCGTTACACTTTACCACAAGCTCATACAGGTTTAGAGAGAGCATCTTCGAGCGATGCGATGTGGAGTCAGTGGTAGATATCCGGACTTTTTGGACGTGGCTAGACCGAAAGTTTGTGCCGCTAGCTTTTACCCCACAGCCAGCCTATGAGAGCGGGTACGCGACAAGAACGACGGCTTTTGTTAAGGCTTCAGGTTGCAAGTAATCCATCTCCAGACGAGGCCATCTCCAGAAGCTCTAAGGGAAAAGCAAGGCCAGGATGATTTTCAATTTTTCTTTTTTTGGCTCTAATTTTGATGATAACCCATTTCAAATCGATCTAGCTCCTAGATTAATCGGGGATCCACACAGACCTGCGAATCTCTTGCTAGGCTTGATACGGATGAGGCAGATACGAGTACAGAAGAACCAAGGCTGTACGGTTTCGAGTCTATTTTCGCACATATTTTCCGACTGTCGAGCCTTGTTTCAAGAAGCGCATCAGAGTACAACTACTTCTACTGAAATTTGAGGAGCTTTGTTTCAGGAAGCGCATCAGAGTACAACTACTTCCACTGAAATTTGAGGACGATCTTATGCGCTTGACGCTACCGGTTCTACTTTCATATCCAACATTAACCGAGTGGAATTATAGTAGAGTAGTTTATAGAACGGATGTAGGATGGACTTGGATGGATCGGATGGACCCCCCTGATTCTTCCGATCCTACTTGAAATGGTGGAAAGTCCATCCGATCCATCCGATCCATCCGATCCATCCGATCCATCCCATCCCGGATCTGGCACCCCTATCAACTGCTCTATTATAGGAATTGATAAGCGTAGAACGAGTGGAGGATCATACTTCATTCAGATTATATCCATTGTCATTGCACTTAGTACAGACACAATCGATCCGCCGTTCTTACCGGTGAGGACCTACTTAATATGATCTTTATCCAGCACCCCGTTTGATGAATCCATCCCCTCCTTCAGGTACATCCGAATTTTCAAGTGCAGAGGCGCCGACCTACACTCTAAAAAACTACCAATGGCAGGATGACGTAGCAACAGGCGGCCATCCAATAGAAGGGCAGTTTTCACAGTACTAGTGCTATCGAATGATCTACTGTTATCTAAGATTTACAGATTAATACTGAGATCAATAATCTTAATCCACTCTAGTATGATTAAATCTAATATCTCAGGGAGGAGCAAGTAGGAGCTTTTATTTCTTGTTCTTCTTACTTTTACTTAACTTGTTGCTCTAGCTCTTGCTTCACTCACTCGAGTGGCCACTATGTATTAAATTAGTTTCTGCAAGTCGACCTCCACATCAAGCTGAAACAGGTATCCCCCTTCTGGTTTCCTGGTAGACTTCCCATTGTATCAAACGGAGACGCACACGCTGATACACGACTTGTGGAATTTTGGGTGGTTAGACTCGGGGACACGCGCAGTAGTGATAGAGTTCAATTTTCTGAACACAAACATCAACATCGTAGTGAACAACCGCATGCTCTTCGAATTCGCACCAACGGGGAATGTGGTGTTAAGGCATGAAGTCGATGCGTATCCCGTGTGGCAGCTGGAGTTTATGATAGCGGGTATTAAGTCTGCTAAAAATGGTGCTGCTAGTTTCAAAAATTTTATACGGAGACGCAAACTTCTACACTTGCTGACGTGAACAATGGTTCCGGTATTTGGTAACCTGAGTTTGATCATAAGGGAAAACAAGAAGAGAACCCCATTGCAACAGCTATCGTGCTTCACTGAACACCAACACTGGTGAGCAACCAAAAGGCATCCTCATGATCCTCTCTTCTGCTCAGGTGACCAAGCCTTAGCCGCGTTTGTTTACACGGTCTTGCTTGCGATTTTGCTCGTATATCAAGTGTGGAACATATCGTGGCACATGAAACAGTGCGGTTTGAAGTTTTTCACCTATGGGTGGAACTATATAGACATCGCCTCCGTGGTGCTGTGGATTATCCACTTTTCTTTCCGTATTACCGCGTACACGAACATCAGCAGCGAGGTGAACTTAGCGCCGGCACGAGTGGGGCATCCAGAGTACTTCATGCCGTTCTCGAGGGCAGTGGTGAACCCTCTACACTCCGCGAGAACGTGTCTGAGTTTCTTGTCGCTCACGGTGTGGTTTAAAACCTTGAAGTACTTAAGGCAAGCGAGGACTCATATTGAATAGATGGATATTCATCTTACCTACGAGGTCGAGGCATTTCTTTTACATTCACGTGCTTTCAAGGCGAAACTCAATCATGATTATATATATGCGCTCGTCCAACTCCAAATTGCAGATGAATATCAGTATCAAGGTCTAAAATGCTGCTGCATCTTCAATGGTTTCCGGACACTGGTTCGGGTACAGGGCAGGGCACTAGGGAACCTGGTCAACTTTTCCTTGGTGGTCCTCGTCATCTTTTTTGCCTTCGCGATCTCATTCTACATGGGATTCCAGAGTACGGATCAGAGGTACTCGTCCTGTAGTTGCATGATTATTTGACTTATATAGTTTGTTACTATAAGTACTTCTTTCTCACTTAAAAATAGATACAACTTCGTTTGACTACAACTAGGTCATCTTCGAGGCTGTTCTGGTATTCACAGACCCTGAAAGGATAAGACAGGAGCCCCAACAAGAACAAGTTTTTCCCTTCTTGCTACTCCATGGGATCCATGCACTCCATGCCATGCGAGCCGTGAAACCTTATAAACTGCTCTGTAATATCTTTCTTGTCCATGCCTACAACTTTCACCTCCACTTCTAATAACAAGAAAATAAACCATAACCATCCGCGTCCACCAGGTTTACCGACATGTGGGGTAGTTTTTTGATTTTGTTTTTTTACCTCGTCGGTGGTTTCGAGCTCAACCTCTACGATTGGTTCCAGCCAGGTGCAGACATTATCCGACCATTGATCTTTCTCCTCTACCTGTTGCTGACTTACTTTTATGGCTCCTGCTGGGATGAATGAGAATGTTGACAATGACGTACTATTTTTGATGTTTATTCTCCGTTTAGTGTTCCATAATGCTCGTTTGTTCCCTGGACCCTCCCTCTAATATCAGCTATCTCTTACAAGAATCCCTGTACTCATGATCACCCACGCCCTCCCATCCTCATCTATCGCCATTAGTCCTCCACTACATCCTCAAGAAGTACATGATCAAGATTCCTCTCTAAAAGCTTATCCTGGTGAACGTGTACATGGCAATGGTTCTGGATGCGTATACTATGGTCGTCGTCATCCGCAAAGCACAGTCCACGTTGCCAAGAAAAGTCGGACAGTCAGAGGACAACAAGAACTTCATGCTCACTTTTCTCTATGTCTACTACCACTACGTGCGTGGCATAGATCTCGTTGGCGAAGAGGAAAAGAAAGAGGAGGACCTAGAGTACGAGTTCATAGACTTAGAGGACCTGCCAGGAGTAGTCGCGAAGAAGTGGCTAATGAAAAAGAGACGGATGATGGAGACGGTGGCTAGAGTAAATGGAGAAGAACTGCCCGCACAAAGGAATTGGGAGAAGGAGGACGAAGAGCAGGAGGTACGACTAGGACTACTTAGGGCTTAGGACACTCCTGACTACTTGATAGGGCTACTTAGGGCTTAGGACAGTCCTCATCATCATGCTGAAGATGAAAGCGATCTCAGAAGAACTTATAGACTTTTAGAAGATACTTACACATCTGAAGATAATTACTTCTTGCACATCTTCGAAATCCAAACATCAGAATGCTGATGACGATTACTTCGATGAGAATGGTAACTACGTGCCACCAGCAAGGGACCAAATACAGCAAGAGCCGCCATCACTAACCGGCAACTTGTCGAAGGGCTTTGTGCGTGTTAGGGTATTGGAATTTTTCTTGATGTCAGGAATGAAAACAAAGATTTGATGAACTTTTTTTGGTCCGGTATCAATCTTTGTCGATAGTATACCTAGACTTTTTCTATTTGAATCTCTGATCTACCATCTCAATCTCCAGGAAAAAATAGTCGGTGCCCTGATGCCAGCATCACAGAAAGCGCTCCATATGGTCAGAGAAATTCCGAAGACGACGAAGCCTGCACTCACCACCAAAGGAATGTACATAGACAATCCTGATGCTATGGGTGGAGCGCTTGGACGACCACAATTACAGTTATGCCTTCGGAGACAAAACACTGAACAATAGTCTATTCATGTTAGAACTCTCGCAAGGTAGTTGTCGATCATAGAAATAGAAATATCTTGCAGCTGTTGTTGTTGACGATGATTTTCTTTCTCTTGAGCGACTTGAAAAGCTACCATTTGTCCCGAGAACAATCTACCACAAACAGAGCTCGATCTACTTCTCAATAGATCAAAGCGTCCCGCCTCTAATCTTGCGTCTCCTAGACGAAGATAAGGCCCTCAGAATATTACTCGGAACCGCTGATGCTTTAGCAGTTATCAAGCGGTTCAAGTATATCCCGAATGAAGACGACACTATGCGAGCCATGAGGGCTATGGAGGAGGGCCAAAATGGTCTCAATAGCTTCGACGAAGATGCAGAGGGTGACGGCTTCGACGAAACAGAGAATGAGACAATAAACCAACTGCAGGAGGTGGTGTTTTCCAGACTAGACAAGCTGGAAAAATCGTCTTTAGATGTGGACGTAGTGGAAGTGCCGCAGATAAAGTACATCTACATCTTAGTACGATTTCATTTTCAACATTATCTGTTTCATCATGTAGTTATGCCTATCAATTAAGGCTCAACTTTCAGTGGTCATTGGGGTTGGTCACTGAGATCGAAGAGGCGACCCCTTGAGGAAAGATGGGGGGAAAACGAAGGGAAAGGGGAGAGCCTTGGAGGAATCTCTTCCGTTCAGAGTCAGTGACCAATGTATGAATGTTGAGCTTTAATTCAAGAACATTATCTGTTTCATCATGTAGTTGTGCCTAATATCATTTACTTACAACTACTCACTAAGTGGTCTTGAGCTTCTTGGTTCATCTTCGTTCCACCCCCTCACTCAGGTTCCTCACCATGCAGTTAGCGGATCTTCTTTCGGACGTGCAAAATTGCTGGCGAGAAGGCATAATAGCGGTCTTAGAAAGCGCCAATCTCATTTCTGGTTCTCTCCTTCAGTTCACAAAAAACGTGGAGGAGTGCAGTAGTAACCATAATCTCATTATGGAGAAGCTGTGCGTGGATGAGGAGAGCTCAGCACCGGAAGGAGAAGGGGAGGACGACTTGTTCTAGAAGTACTTAGTAGAAGAAGGGCTTTATTTTTAGCTTATCCTACACCTACGCCTCCACTGAAAATAAATCCGACAAGAACTTCTAGAAGTATAGTTTGAAGAACTAGCACCCTAAGCCACTAAAAACCCTGACCCACTGGACAAGATGAACTATCAAGAACTACAACCTCCCAACCTCTGAGCCCCTTTCTTCCCCTTACCTCCTGAGCCCGACCCTCGACCCTTCCCCTATAAGAAAATGCGCCGTTCTACTACTGCATGTTGCACGAGACCACCTCTCTTTTAATTTGTTTGCTTCTCTTGAATTCACAAGAAATTAGAATAAGAATTGTACTAACTTTTTCATTTCCCTTTTGTGTCTAGTACTATCTGAGTCCATTTATGTTTATCCACCTTTCTGAATAACGCATTACGTCACCACCTGAAGCTGAAGTTGCTGTAAGTTGTGCAACTACTTACATTAGCTGAAAGCAGAATGGAAGAACAGAGCCGATCATGATTTATACATCAAAATATCCTATAGAATCTATCCAGTACTATCGGAGTTTATCGAGTTACTCACAGACTTGTTTTCTAATTTCACTAGCCTACTAGTGCTAAAAACGAACTTCACCAGAATATGCAACTAAAGAACATTACTGTTTTGTTCGCTACTAATGAACCTTTTTTCTGAGCTAATGCTAATGCACTTCTACTTGAACAATCTTCTGAACAGTTGTCGCATCAAAAGAGTATCCCTCTTATTCGAAAAAAACAGTTGTCGAAAAACAGAGCGTTTACAACAAGGTACTCCTTGTGAATGAGCGTCTACAATGATTTAGAGTACATCACCACAACTCCACCTTCTAGCAGCAGCAGAAAATACCACTTCGTGTTGTTCTGATCTGCCTTTCATGTTGCGTCGTCGGTTGGCTTGCTCGTGTGTTCGTTGCTCGTCGGATGTTTTGTCCTTGATGACCATGAAAATGCTATCAAGCAGCTGGATATTCTTGATTGGCTTCTCCCTTTTTATAAGGTTGAGGCTTAGGTCCAGCGGCGCTCAAAGCACTAATTAGAACAACCGGCTAGTTTTTACCTCTAGAGACTTAGCCCTTCCAACAACAATAAGTAAATGCCTTGGTGCAGGCAAAGCAGCAGCTGCAAGATTCTTCTTGCTTTTTGAAGTGACTTCTAATTCATTTTCGGAGACGCTGCAACGAAGAACCTCGTCGTGGTCGCAATTGCATGGCTAGAAATACTCATTTGTGATTGTGTCGATGATGCTGATGAGGAATGTCATTCTCATTGCCCAATCGAGCGGATATTGTTAATCTTGACGCTGATATTGTTAATCTTGACTCTTGCTTTTCCGTTGTAGGCAAATAATTGACAAGTAGAGGCTTCGAATTCCGCCTGAAGTATGTTGTAGATTATTCCCTCTTGAAGTTGAACTTCTGGAAGTTGAACTTCTGGATACTAGGATCCTGGTGGTTTACTTCGAAGTACTATTTCAGTAATAAAGTAGCTGTGAGGTGTGAGGACATCTTCATACAAAGAATGGGCGACTCTCCGGGAAGCTATTTCGACCGCTTGGCTCCAGCAGGTCTAGCTACGCCTTCTGACCTTTTGAAACGACCTGCTTCGAACTCGTGCCAAAGGGCCGTTTTAGCAGCAACGCAGGCAGCCAGAGGTCGCGACGCTGTCTTGTTTCCTTCGGCAACTTCTTCGTCTTCCCTCTCGAATCCTGCTGCTTCAACAATGAATGCAGCCTCCTCATCGTCATCTTCATCTTCAAAGTCAAGCATCCCTCCTAGTACCAGTACTCGACACACCAACAACTACAACACGACAAACACAACTAAAACCACGACTCCGCTTGCTTCGTCGTCAACAGCACGTTCGAGTAGTGTCACGAGATCTGCGTATCGAAGTCGTCTTCGCGGCAGACATCCTTGTGAACGACCACAATCCTCAAGTAGCTCCTTTGGCGCTGATCCAGTATCCTCAGTTTCAACTATGGAACGGGTGAAGCTCAAATCCTTTCTAGAAAAACGATTTGGCACGTTGGACAAAGCGTTCGACTACATCTACGAAAGTCAAGGTAGTGGTAGACGGAGTGGTAGGAGAGGACGAGATCATGAAGAAAGTCTAGTGGAGCATGATGAGCATGGAGGTGACACCGCAGGTTCTTTTTCAACAACTAACCGGGACGAAGCAAAAATTGACGAACGGATCGAAACGTTGAAAAATAATACTTCCAGCACTTTTTGTTCCAGAGCCAGTACTACAACTTCTAGAGGGAGAGGTAGGCCAAGAGCTTCCACTTTCTCCACCACGACCGATGACGAGGACTCCCGAATGATCACGTGTATGGTGTTTCAGGAGATCATAGCAGTGCAAGAACGCTATTGTAGTCTAGGGGATGCGAGACGGCTTTTCAGCGCTTTGAAGGACCCAACATGCGAACGAGTAACAAAAGAGGCGATGATAAGCGGTCTGCAAATCTTTGGCGGCAGTACAAGAAAACTGAGCTGGTCAACGAGTCCTTGTAGAAATAGTGGTGGTACTAAGTCAGGAGGAGGAGGAGGTAGTAATAGTTTGAATTTTTTTGACAATGACGATGGTTATGGTCGAGAGGAGCAACATCAAGCAGTAGGAGACGGAGAGATACTGGAAGATAGCGCACTTCGGTTGAGTTCTGGCAGCTCTGCAAACGAGGAGCGACGTGATCGAGGGAGCGACAAGGGCCCCTCAAGAACGCCAATTATAGCATGTGGCGAGACTTCATCATCACCATCTTCCTCGTCAAGCTTCATCAAAGGGGGAGAAAGAAAGTCGCCAACTACAGCTGTCAGTCCGCCATCTTCTCACTCCACGTCGCCACCACGGCAATTACCAAAATTCGTTTCCTCTTTCGAAAAACGTCGTGACAAAAATGGAGATGCCAGAGTTTCAAGTAGAGTGGTCCGCGCATTCGGTGCCGATGCTGTTACGCCGATTCCTGAAGAGAAGAACAAAGCTCCGACTGAAGATGTTGAGGCAATGAACGGCTCAACAAGTAAGGGCGACGAGGAAGGTGTTGCTGCTGGTGAAGCTGAAGCTCGTGAAAATGCAAAGGGGTCGCCGGACCATAAGACAGACGAGAACCAGGAACCACACGAAGAAAACAAGGACAACACTGCTACATCAACTTCAGGTTACTTTTCTACTTCTAGAAATGATATCCTCGGCATCATACGACCGAAGCCACCCAATCTTCTTTCTAGTAGCTTCTCTGCGCCACGGATCGGCTTTGGGTTTGGTGGTGGAAATCACACTCCTAGTGGTAAGTCAACATCATCAACTCCTAGTTCTCCGTTTGCTGCCTTGCGAGCATTGAGAGAAGCATCTTCATCACGCTCTAGGACCACGCAACGCAGCTGTGCTCCTAGAGAACGATCACGCCGGAGACCACAGGTTGAAGAAGATTCTGACAACCAGGAACGGGACGCCGAAATTGAGAATTCGATGAAGAAACGCGAGGAGCAGATCGCAGAATTCTGTAAGAACATCACACGGGATTTGCTTGATGATACGGCTACTTCCTCATCGTCTAGTGGGGGTGGCGGGGGCAGTGAGGAGGAAGGAACTAGAGGAAGTGCTGCTGACGAGGAGGCCGCAGCTGGGAATGGAGTTGTACAAAGTGAAGAAATGGAGGGGAGCTGTCAAGCCCTGGAGTCAACAGAAAAATCAAATCAGTTGCGACCACCTCCACATGCAGATACTGCCAGAAGTACTGTTGCTGCGAGTGCACCCCCGCCACTACATACACCTTCGCCAGCACCTACGACCTCTTCAGCTGCACACCATCGATTTACAACAAGAACTACAGGTGGAGCACTCTCAGAAGAAGTAGACGATGAAGATGATAGGACGATCAAGACGTCTTCCTCTGACTGGACGTGGAGCGATCATGACCAATCAGGTCCATCCTTGTCTGATGGTGTAATTTTCAAAGATGTTGGAGGACTGTCGCCTTCATCCAAAGCGAAAATTTCAGATTCACATGTCACGGGAAACGAGTTCCGCAACAATCAAGCATCGCAAGATGGAGTGCCACAGCATTTGCCAGATCGTATGCCTCTTGAACGGCTTGATGGCCCTGAAGATGAAGAAGTCGCTACACCTCGAGCTCGCAACAAGCACAGTGAAGAAGCCCTGTCGCCTCTGTGGATGGGCTCTGATAGTTCTTCTGACGGCGAGGCAGGAGGCAATGCCGTTCTTGCTTCAGCTAGATCATCGTCAACCACCCCAAGAAAAATCAATGCTAGTCCACCCTTACCAGCGCTCGCAGGATCCTGCAGCTCGCTTGAAGATACTTCTCTGAGGCGGGTTAATAGTGGTGGCGCAGGAGGTAGCCTAGAAGTACCAGGTTCATGTTCATCAGGAGAAACATACTACAACAGCTCGTCGAAGTACTATGACTTTGCTACGACTTCTTCCAGCATTTTTAGCGGAACTGCTACAGCATCGACAAGCGTAGGTGCTCGTGAAGATGCTCATCTTACTTCCTCTACAGCGTCGAAGACAACGCCTGCTTCAGTCGACACGTTCTACGCCAAACGGTCCTCTCCGTTAGACGACGAGGAGGAGGATCGCAAGTTACATCGTACACCACTATCATCATCTTCATCACTAGCGTACTCCGGCTCCTCACCACTCGCTACATCTAGTCGTCGGTTGTTACTGTCTTCTGGGGGTCTCTTCGGATCTCGGTCATCGCCTGATACTGATGAAAAACTCGTCAAAGAGGATCAGAAGGTTCATCTTCGCCGTGATGATGACGCGACACAGCTTGTTGATGCGGAAGTACGGGAGGAGGAAAAGACGACGCAAATAACGACAGAGCTGCGCACTTCGACGTTTCTACACCGCGACACTTCACAATCGCCGGTCTTGGGATTTGACTCAAGAGCGACAACTGGTTCTCCACCAGAGATGCACCATGATGGAGCACCAGAGACAGGGTTATCCTCGTCATCCTGCTCAAATCAACCTGCAAGAAGAAAATCCCGCTTACATCGTTCGCCTGTCTTTGGCACCAATGCCCAGGAACAAGGACTTCTAGACGACTTGAATGTCAGCGTCTCTGATCGCGGCGACGAGGGAGAAGGGACTACTTCTACGACTCCTAGAGTTCTTGACGAGAACAACCACCTTGACAATGCTGGTCCTGTACAAGAAATAGAACAACAAGAAGATGCTGATGAACAGAATAGTAATAGTTTTGTCGAGTTGGAAATAACACCTTCGGCTGGTGCGGCTGGTTGTGCTGCGGCAAGTGGCATGGGTGGTTCGTTTTCGTTTCTTGGTGAAGAAGGACAGGACGTAGACGACGAGAGTGAAGGCGAACGATTGATTCATGATTCGCAGACACGTCAGCTTCAGCATTATTCCCGAGAAGACTTGAACAAAGACGACGAAAACGCGCAGTCTTCTTCTTCAACTGGAGTATCAGGAACCGGAGTAGAAGGAGCAACATCAGATGACCACCATCGTCCAGATGAACTAGAACCTGCAACTTGTTCTGCTGGTGGTACTACTACTAGTACAACTCTCACTCCCAAGAAAGGACCCGATGTCGATTTCTATGGCGGGACAAAATACTATCGAATCGCAAGTCCATCGGAAAGCGATAATAGTGGGAACCAGAGCAACATCTTGTCTCCCGAAAGCGAGGGCTTGACGGCTCGAATGGGTGACGATCCTTGGTGGGCTCAATCAGAACCAAGGAAGCGCACGACGACGTTGGTGCGACGCGATGGAGCAGGGGTGTCAGGATCTACTACGAACTCTGAGGTAGGTATTGCTGCTACTGGAGGATCAGAAACAATAACTGTAAACGCCGAGGAGGAGGAAGAAGAAGCTGTTGAAGGTCCTCTGAACACAACTATGAGTGAGCGCGAAACTTCTAGAGGTTTGTCCGCTAGTAGCGCAGGAGTTGTGGATGCACCACCTCCCTCTAGTACAACAGGAGGATTCTTGTACCATGACCTTGACGGGAACCCGCTAGACAACTGCTCTTCTATGCTGTCGAATGAAGAAGATGGTTGCTCGACGGCGCGCGGAGCACCACAATTATCATCTGCCAGGCAGATCAAAAATCTCAATCATGACGATCAGAACGATAACCGCTTGCTGTCACCAGTTTCTCCTTTCCTCGATGTTGACTACGTACTTGGTGGAGAAGAAAAAGAAGGAGATGCTCTTCAGCTAGGCAACTCAAACTCTGATCATCTCACTGCGGATCTCCATTCTAGCACCGAAGTACAAGATGAGGATGACGAGGCCTCGGGGCTCTATCCGTGTCGACTTTCTGGGCTTAGCGACTCGGGATTGAATATGACAAACGCGCTGAACATGACGAACGCTCAGGTGGAACAACAATCTGGTGCAAATTCGATGCTGTTTGACGACGATCGAAGTCGGGTTTTCTCAGAAGCTCGAACGAAAGGCTCTTCCAGCTCGTACTTCAGCCATAACAGAGATGAAGAAAATCACAGATCAACATCTTCAGCAGGCACCAGTAATAGCAAGAAGGGTTTTGAACGAAAGAATGTGGCTTTCTCTTTGGACGATATAGAAGAGGCGAGAGAAGAAGACATCAAGTTTTCTTCCAGCCACGAGCATGAAGCACAAGTGCAGCTCCCACGACCTCCTCAGAAATGCGACTATATCTCTATGACAGACGACGAGGAGGAGCTTCTTCAAGACTGTTTGAATGCCTCGATGATTCTCAATGGACAGTACGATAACAAAATCGAACTCGAAGATGATGAACAAGATCTTCATGAAGATGATTTCCTAGCAGACGAGCGATCCGGGAGGCCGAGGAGTAGAGGCTTCCTCGAAGACCACGATGAGCTTATCGACGATGGCAGCTCTATCTCTATACTCTCAAGAACATCTGGCCGCTTCGCACGGCTTCAGAAAATTGTGGAGGAGAGGGAGTCTGAACTTTCTTCTGCGTCATCCGTAGGGAGTACGAAACCAGCTATGGGCGGTTCAGCCTCAGCCGCCTCAGCATCTGCTTGCAAACAAGCTAAACAAGCAGCTCTGCTACCTGAGCCACGACTTGTCGCTGCAGGGACTGCCTTAAGTTCATCATCATCAACCTCACCACCGAGACAGCGACAGGAGAAGCTACACGTTGAAGATGACACATGCATGCCTGCTACAAGTTCAGAATTAAAAATTCAGGTCAACGTAGAATCGAAAACTCAGGTTGCTGGAGCCTCCATTTCTTCTGTTTCGACAGGAGTGGCACCTCTTTCCTCATCTCCAGTCCCCAAGCTCTCGCTCCCGAAGCATCCTAATAGCCCTGTCTCGTCAAACCCTCGTCGGATATCATCCACCTACACTGCTACCGATGAAGAGGACGATTTGCGACTGAGCATCGACAGTGTGAGACCGCCTATTTATCGGCCAGATTGGTGTTAAGGCTGTACCTAATTATACATCTTTGGACGCATGATCCTTGAAACGTATGGAGGAGTATGATCCGAAGGGAATACTCCCCCATATTTTTCAAGGATGCACTTGAAAGATGAATTACGGACAGCTCTAATGGTGGAAGACAGAAGGGAAGAGGTCATGGGAATCGACGACCACGCCCTCAAACTTCGTGGATCAGAGCTATGCTAGCAGTAGTGGGGGTGGACTTGTTGCTGATGCAGCAGGGGGTGTGCCAGGAGGACCAATCGTGGCTGAAGCTCCTCATCTTGCAATAAATGATGTAGAACTTCTACTACGAGAAAGAGGTCCAGCACAAAAGCGAGACAGCAAGAATAGCAACAGTAGTACGATCATTTCTCTGGAGGCGGGTACTTGTTTTACTGACCGAGGCATGTCAACACCAGCTGGCGGCACAGAAGTGGCGGATGATGTAGCTGAAGGTCGAAGGGATCATACTAGTAGAGACCAGCACGCGGCCTCGAAATCACTGCACGAGTTAGAGCAAAAACGAGACACACTGATGTCACAAATTGAAGAACTGAAAGAGAGGTTACGGAACAACTTCTCTGGGTCCGTGGAGGAGGGTCTCAACAAGCTGGAAGACATCAACATCGACATCCATCATGATTCTTCTGTAGCTCGTGGTAGGGGTAGGAGTAGCAGCGAAAGCCGCATCGTCCTACAGGATCGGGATCCGAGTGCGTCGCCGGAACTTTTAACAGATGCAGCGCCGCTTCGTGCCTCGTCTACTAGAACTAGTCCTGCCGTGATCGAGGATTTGAAGGAACAACAACTCCAACTAGAGACGACAAGAAATAGGGGCACCAGCAGACGTGAAAGTCCTCGACGAAGACTCTCATCTTCCGAAGTATCGTCTTCAAGGGCTTGCTTACCAGAATTCCCAATATTGACAACTACTTGTACTTCGGGTTTGACTCTTACACCCGCGATGAAGACGCGAGAAACTGTTGTCCTTGATGTCGCTGCTGGCCTAAATGTCGATAGCGATCTCCAACTCGAAGAGGTGCGGCAGGACGGTGTAAACTCTGGTAGAGCAAGATCTACCTCACAAAATAAGGCGTCATCTGAGAAGCAGCATTCGAGTACCAACAACAACAACAACAACAACAGCGATAAGCGATCATCGCCTTCCGTCAGGACGCCAGGATCTGTGACGCCACTTTTGAGTGGCAATACAACGCCGCTGAGGGGTAGACAGATCATCGACTTACTAGGTTCAGACATCAACAAGGAGAACGTTCTTCAACTTGTCGAGAATCGTGAGCTTCTCGAAGACCAACAACCAGAAGTCGGAAGTTCTGTTTCGGCGCCCTCTGTGAATGCAATGCTCTCGTCATCGTCGCCACTGGACGAGGGCATTAGTGGTCATACCAGTACCACGATATTAGAGCACCAGTTAGCTTCCAACTCTCCCCTCGCGTCTCCAGTAGTTTCAAAAAGATGTAGTTCTCAAACAAGGAGATTGTTCTCTTCTACTCCGTCGACTTCTTTTGAGAAACAGCATCGGTCTGTAGAGGCACAACTTCAACTTCAACCAGTAGACTTTCACTTTCATCCAACACAAGAACGGATCTCATCTTCACCTAAAGATCTCTCTGCCTCAAGCGCGACTCCTACGTTCGTGAAACTACATCAAGCAGGCGGGACTACTACCCCGCGCGTCGATCACTCCTATAACTCTCTTTTGTCGACGACTGCCTGCGAGGAAACGCATCTGCACTCTGGCGATGACAATAGAAGCACTCCGGTGAAAGAAGTAATGTCATCCGGTCGTAGCTGTGAAGAAGCTGTATTGGTGAACAACTTTAGTTCTTGTTCTAGCGCGGCAAGAAGAAGTAGTTTGGACAATATTATGCATTCGTCGAGTAGTCCGAAGAGGAGAAGCGCTCCTGATGAAGCAGCTGCACGCAATCAACAACAAGATGCAATTGCGGGAGACGATGGAGCTCTACTTCCTCCAGCTAGCATCATGAAGGGAGAAAGTCCATCATCGCCTTCAAGAGGCAGAGTTGCAGCATCGGCACAAGCGGCAGGCGGAGGCTTCTATCTTTCTGCTGCAACTCGCCGCTTTATCGAGCAAGCGTCGCCAGCAGATTTTGAGGAAGAACCACGACAGCGGTCATCTTCTTCATCAAAGCGAAGATACGATCGGAAAAGTCAAGGTCACCAGGAGCATCATGGGCAGGAGCATCATCACACGACAGGTGGAGCACAGCAAGTGCAAGAGGAGGGATCTACTATAGAGCTGCTGGAGAGTCGTGCTAGCAGTAGCGTGGAGGTCCTCTACAGTGATGCTTGTGTGTCGGAAACCTCGGTGTTGCCTGAAGACTCGTCGTGGTCACGGTGCTGGGGAGAATTAGTGGACTTGGAAGAGGCAACGTCAACAAGCTGCACGGATGCCGAAGAGCAGGAGGATAGGAGCAGAACTCAGAACTACTACGAAAATACAATAACAAGGACCAGGAGGTCCTCGCATCAAAGGAAAAGCAGTAGTTGTGAAACTAGAGTTTGCAGCAGCTCGAGTGTAGTTGGCGCCGCTGGCTTAACGGGAGTTGCAGTCGTTGAGAGAGGCACAAGCTGCAGTAGCAGTGGTACTAATACCTTGAGTTTCTCTGTCACTTCTTCCAGTAACGGTCGTGATTTTCAACTCCAACCACATCCACATTGTAGCGAAGACGCTGAAGTCAGGAACCGGATCGAATTGCCAGAATTGGACTCCGTTACCCTTGATGTCCTGGCGCCAAAGACGTCAGAAGTGTCTCAAACGACAGTAAGAGCAGGGCCAGGTGGAGTGGGAGTGCTTCTTTCATCTTCCACTTTGGAGCGGACGTGTGATCCAGAGACACGACGAAGTATAGGACATTTCCTATCGTCTTCGGATAGAACACCGGAAAAGCTACAGGCTCTTCAGATTGGAGTCGAAAGGGAAAGCAGAGTTGAAGGGCCTCTTCTAGAAAAGGGAGCTAATCATGCTATTTCTAATTCAGGAAGCGCTACAACAAGACCTGCTTCTCCTTCATCTGAGACACACCAGGAGAACCACGCTTTTCTACAATCTAGCTCGATCTCAAAGTCATCGACAATCGTCGGGAGTGTCGAAGATGCATATGATAGTGGCGTCATAGATGATGATGCATGTCCTCTAGGTTATGACCGTGACGCCGGTGCCGACACATGCGACTCGTCTTCAGGCGGCCCTGCAAGAGCCGTAACACTTCCTTCATCTAGTAGTGACGACTACGGTCTTCGTCATGATGAGCAGTACCACAGAAAGAGTAGAATAAAGAACGTGGTCGAAGGAAATTCTCATCAACGACAACAGCTTCGAAGTGAGAACGTGTCGAGTAGAAGTATCCATTGGCATGGACATGGGCCTGATCGCTTGTCAATGTTGAGTACTAATGTTGGGAGAAACACTTCTTGCTGGGACGCTCGTACCACGCAACAAAGCATGCTAGAACTAGCTTGCTGCTCTCCACTAGAATCGCCAGTGCAGCCTAAGGCACTGTTTGGCGCAGATGAAGAAAAGTGCGAAGATGAACAACATGAACGTCTCAGTGCATCAAGAGCTAACGAACATAACCCGACGCTTCACCTAGTCCGCAGTCGCACAGCATCTGCATGGGCAGGAGCGCGGGAGCAACTGGTGACGGGCGCCGGTCTAGGAGACGTTCCACCAATTATAGCTGCAAGTTCTAGGGACGATCGCTCAAGTTCACGAGGTGCTCCTGCAACTAGAAGGCGCCTTTCAGCAACAGCGGTCGTTTCGCACTTGCAGATGGCATCTATTCTGAGTTCGGAAGCGGCGCCAGAAGAAAAGATCTCCTTATCGTCTGCATCGGAGTCGGAAACCTTGCCTCAGAGAAGAACTTTCGCACACGAACATCGCGATCAATACCGCGTTCAACATCAACATCGTCCTAGTACAGCGTCCCTGATTCAACTGCAGCAAAGGTTGTTGGAGCAAAACGAATTGAGGGTACGTGTGGACGAGGAAGAAGCCAAAGAGGAACATCGTCGGAGTGCGTCTTTCTCAAGTAGAACACCTCCGGAACAAGACGACCATGGCCATGCTCATCGCAGTGTTGTGTCCTCGTCAGGAGACGCAGAACAGTATGACGGTGACTTTCATCATCGTCGTGGTCACTGCCTGTACAGTGATAGCCCGTCACCAGATGATATGGACTCATCACAATCACCGCGTCATGATCTTTATCCGAGACATGTTGTTGCTGATCACTACAACAAGAAGAACAAACTACCGGAAGGAGCAACTTCTTTGAAGAAAAGCTTTTATCAACAGCAGCAACATTCAGATTCACGAATACTTGGCTCCGATCAAGAACAACATCTCAGAACACCGTGCTGCAGCGAAGAAGACGTGTCGAACAATAGCACCACATGTTGTAGTACAACTGGATCCGGGGAGGATTATCATTACACTGGAGGTGAAGACGTCGAGGATCACGATGATCCTTTCGGTCTGGTTGCCTCTTCGGAGGCAGAAGCCGTCTCCCTGATGAACGACCTGAAGGCGCACACGGAAATGCTAAAACAGGAACTTCGCAGAGCACATAGTAGAGAGGGAGAACTCAGAAGCAGCATTGAGAACTTTCTCGACTATGGGCAAACCGCAGCCGTTAATAATGGTCGCATAAGTGATAATGATCTTCCTCGTATCAAAATGCTGGATGAAGGAGCTTCAATGTCTCCTAGTAGAACTTCTGCACCGCCACTGAAGACACAACCACAAGAACATCACAGTAACAACCACAAGCTCACAAGTGCAGATCAGTTTGGACTCCTGTCGGCTTACGAGGAGCAACTGCCGCAAACAGCCTTTGTGAAAGAAGTTGTCGGGGAAATGAGAACCCTGATTGAGGAACTCCGGAAAGCCCACGAGCGAGAAAGCGAACTCTTGGACCAGTATGACCGCCTATCTGATTACGCCTTACTAAGGCGTAATCAGGAACAAGAGGAGGAGGGCTACGGCGGCCGTGTGGTCTATGAAGTCGCTGGTATCTATTTATAATTCACATTCTCACATTGAAATTGAATGATGATGATTCATTCACATTGAATTTGAATGATGATGACATTCTTATTTGGATGGTGAGGTGTTATTGTTTTGCTTTCAACTCCCTGACTCTTGGCATGATCTAAGAACTATCGTAAGAATCAGGTGTGAAGAAGTTCGTCCTCGTCGTGTCTCAAGCTGTAGCTATCATCTTGAAACTTCCTCCAGGTCCTCGCCATCCTGAGAATGACATGGCGTCGGCGTATACGCAAGCTACCCAGGAGCCGTTCGATCGTTTGCGAGAACTGGAGGTGCGCTACCGCGCAACATACTTCGGTCAGGAATTCAGTGTCTAAGTGGGTGGGTTTGTAAGCGCGTTTTTCTTGCACTTGCCATGATCGTCTCTGGTCCTATTAAGATGTCTCTTCCTCTAAAAACAATATGTGCTACGTAGAAGTTCACAGACGAATGTGACATTATGCAAGCTGATAATTTCCTATCGATTTCTACTAGTTCTACGTATTTACGCAACTTTTTCCTTTTCGAGAATTTACACCACAGCGGGTGCGACCGCGACCCGGCCTTTCTGGTATCTAAATCTATTCCTTGTGACAAAAGATATGTAATGAATCACTCAGCTTTTGTTCCGTAGTCTTTTCAGCATAACGATCATGACTCAGATTCTCTTCGCATGGTCTTTTACGAATTTGTGTCTCGTCCCATAAGATAATAACGGGAGAAACATTTTCAATTAAACTCGCCTAATGTCAAGAACGAAGATAGATTGTCTTGTTCGAGTTGTCGTGTTTGCGTTGCTCATCTGTTCTTGTCTAGTGTCGTGTGACTCACATCGGTGTGCATTGTGTCTGTTGTACTAGATAATGCAAGAAGAGGCGTTCTTCTTGTCTCCTTTTCGGTTTTCTCTTCGGTACCAATCACCGGAATAGATCGCTAGCTAGGTCTTCTCATCTAGCTTTGTGGAATTCCTCAACCACTTTGCATGTCAATGTCTTGGTGAAGACATGTTGAGGTCACGAACATCCCTGTCCCCACTCCCAAACTCCTGGTCCATCGACTAGTGTGTAATTATCTGTTGTCTGACTTACTACGTTAAGGAGCTTAAGAACAGAGTTTTGGTTTACCATCAACAGCGACGACTGCGGCTACAGCCTTGCACGTCATGGACTAAAAGGACAAAAAAATCTTTACGAGACTAAGTACATTAATTGAAATTCAAAAACTCAGAAATACGAAGACTCCTTACGAGGACTATTTGTAATTGTATTTTCAAAACAAGATGGCTCTAGCGCGCGCAAGTGTGTCAGAAGCTGCGCTTCGTCGCCCCAACGTTCTCAGTGGTGCTCTGTCAGAGCAGCTGACCAATCAACGACTAGGTCTGCGTTTACAACCTGGCAAGCAAGACCAGCAATCCGATGGAGCAGGAACGCGATATCGTGTCGTAACCTATGTGCACGGAGACGGCGGTGAAGGTGATCAAGGTGGCCTACAGATAGCTGGGCAACGCAAGAAACCGCTAGGCTTAGCTTTAAATCCACGATATGTGGAGAGCTACGTTACTGGGGTCGATTTGGATCGATATTGCAGTTATGGTCATTGGTCGACTAGAGATAGAGTGTGAGTTCAACTTTATTTTTCTTACCCCTGCTAGTTCTAGTTCTAGTACGGTAGTACCAATACTGATTGGTGAGTTTGTTTAAGGAGGCATTCCGCCAGGCGTTGACTATCTTCGATCTGATTTGTTGACACCGAATGTCGATTTTCTATTCATGATGTTCTTGTTGATGGTCCTGTTGATGTTCTTGTTCTAGGTGCTCCTCATCTTCTAGTTTTCATTTGCCGTTCTAAGGCAAAGAAGTTCAGAACGGCGTTTACTGGCGCGACGGCGATTGTGAGTTTTTTCAGGGCGTCGACGAGAAGAAAAGGCCATTTTTGCACAGGGACTTGTTCATGGAGGAGCATGTGGAAGCGGAGAAAGCTAAGAGAGCTGCTGCTGCCTTACGAGCGTCTTCTTCTGGCGAAAATGAAAATGGTAAGACTTCTCTTGCAAAGTCGAAGTCAGCGTCGTCAATAGGCAGTGGAGGTAGAGGACTACTTTTTGGGAGCAGGAAACAAGCACTAGCAAAGGGTGCAACTACCACATCAACTACTGCTGGGAGCAAAGCGAGTAAACGTCCAACTACAACATCAGCATTCATCCCTGGATCATCCGCAAACGCAAAAAACAAGAAAGCATGGTACATGAGGAAGAATAAAGACGGCACAGTGGTATTCGATTTTATCGCTCGTGTAGAGGATCACACGATATATCCTAAATTGCCTCGAGACGCCCTTGTAGAGGACGACGGTGCAGAGGCTGGTGGTGATAAAAGTAGAATTAAGGGATTCCACATTGCATCCTTCACTACCATACTTGGCTCCTTATCCTTTTCAAGGTTGTTCTGAAGAATGCAATTCGGCAACCTTTAATAGAAGGTCACGAAATAAGCAAGGAACGAGACCGAGTACCGCTCCTGCAACGCGGAAGGGGCTCCCTACAGGTAGCTATTTGTAATTTTGAATCTGATGGGGATTCGTCTTGGTAGCATCAATTTTTTTTGACGTAATTAGTTGGATGCCGATTTCATAATCATGAAAGACTGACTGCGAAAAGTATTTCACGTCCTGGACGAATCAAATATTCATAGGACCTCTCTGACTCTACCCCATCCCCACCACAGGTCACGCTAGTACGAGCGCAATCGCTGTTGAGGCAAAAGCGTCGAATCATATGAGACCACAAGGTTCTTCTAGTACCGCTGCTGCTGGTGCACCACCTCCTACGAATCTACAGCCTCTTCTCTACTATCAACACAATAACGAGCAGGGGAAGGAGCAGCCAGATCTTTCTACTCCACATGCGAGGTTGGCTGCTGATCGTGCGCTATTGACTAGTCGTCGCAGTCTCGAAAAGTTTGGGGCGACAAACATCAAAACGTCAAAAAGCAACCTGAACCTGTTGAGAGCATCAGACGGTCTTTCATCAACAGTAGATGGAGTCTACAGAAGTCGCAGGCGTTTCAACGCAGCGTCCAGGGTGCATGAAACTAGACAAAACGAAAACACAAAACATATTTGACCTCACATCTACAACTAGACGAGTGACATTAATTCATATGTTGAGGTTTATTTGAGCTTACTTTCCATTTGGTTAAAAACATCTATTGGTATCGACATTTCTTGGGCCATTATCATAGTGACACCATTTACTTATATTTTTTGGATATGTTGAGGAGCTAAGTGTAAGTATGAAGCGACGACATTTGCTTCAGGGCTGTGTATTCATGTCATGTGTAGTTTTAGTTTTTATCCGCAATTTCAGCTTGGTGTTAGAAGTCTTCATCATGTCTGAATCAAAAGGGTTCTCGTCTCTCCTATGTATTGCTCCTGCTAATGCAATATTTTTTTCGATCCGACTGGACTATTCCAATGCCGATTTAGTTTCCTACTTTTTCCTCGGGCTTGCTCTGCATTGCTGACTGTCCCCGATCATTCCCCTCTTCCCCACTTTTTTTGCCTCTCGCGCTGATTCATTAAGATACAACTCAGTCGAATCAGATTCCCAGCTTGTCATAAGATCTCCAGCAGTTGTAGTATTTTCATTTCTGCAGCAAACGAATTCAAGAGTCAGTTCTAGGTAGGAGCAGCGGCTGCATTACCGCTGCTGCTTAGTACCACAGGCATCTGCATGCACAGACATGAGCTGTGTTTGTGTTTGATGTTGAAGCAAGTAACTCTAGTGTTCATTCTCGGCGCGACGATGGTCGGTGTTTGATGTAAAAGTCTTATGTGTTTGCTGGAATTTCTCAAGTAGAACCCAGCATGAAGCTCAACAAAGCAGTGGATCAGTCGCAGCTGTTGTGGCGGCGTCAATACCGCGGGGAAAAGGCATCCTATTTTTCGACACGGATGCATGGATCAAAACAAAGCTTGAGATTCTGACTTCTACCGTGTATCACGTTGAAAAGCGCTGCGTGCTCGCGTCTTTCCAAAACTGGAAAGCCAAACGGACCACTAGGGGATCGATCTTGAAGACCACTAAGTTACCTGAATACTACAAGTAGGACACTTATTACATCATTACAAATTTTTGAACACTGGTCATCATCTTCATCACATTCACAAGAACTTGAACTCCCGCAACCACGACATTCCCACATCAAGATCAACCTCTTAAACACTCACGAACGAATATAAGACTATCAAGAAAATGTTGAAGTGGATGTTCAGCGAACGGAAGGGCTCCGATGCCTACAATGAGCTGTACCAGAGCGTCACGGAGGGCATCCAGAGCTGCTACCGCGAGAAGATACTACCTCTTGTTATGAAGATTGAGATTTGACGAGCACGAGGAGGAAGAACGTTTTCAAGATAATTTCCTCATAAATTATTAGCAAATATTAGTATTTATAGGGTTAGCAATAATTTGCGAAATCCTTAAGAGACTCCTTTAAGTGGCTTCCTTAAGGAAAACCCTTTTCCTTAAGGAATTTCTATTACAAAAAGTTATTATAACTTTCCTTAAGAGAAAAAAAATTCCTTAAGGAAGCTCCTTAAGGAAAAGCTGTAATAACCCTTGGCTAATATTAGACCCCTCCTTAAGGGATTCGCAAGGACTCGCAAGGCTCTCTAAAGCCCTTGCGCTGCTAGTGCTACGAGTTCAAAGGCACCGCGAACATGTTAACGCGTTCACGGCTGTTAGTTTGTAGGCTACTCACGTACCCAGCCACATCTGCAGCAGGACACTACGCGACCCCTAGCGAATCGCCCCAACGAACTTCCAGCCGCTACCCTTGTTATTTATCGCCCAGCGCCTTTACTTTTTCTCAAAAACTTCAGGGAGGTCATTCAAATACAGAGAAAACGGAACGACCTCCCTGAAGTTTTTGTAAAAAAGTTAGCTCGCTCCCCTTCCGCGACTACCTTCCGCACACAGCAATCGACCACAGGAGCGCGCGGCAGCCCTTGGAGATGGTTAACCAGTATACTTCTAGTTCTAACCAGCTCACCAGGGTCCACCCTTCAGCCATGCAAGTCCTCACGGCTATCATTCTTACAGACATCGACATCCTCAACGGCTTCGACTTTCACACACAGCGGCGTATATCTTTGGCCTTCTCATGGGTATGATGATGCTCACCAGGGTCCACCCTTCAGACATGCAAGTCCTCACGGCTATCATTCTCACAGACATCGACATCCTCAACGGCTTCGACTTTCACACACAGAGATGTATATCTTTGGCCTTCTCATGGATATGATGATGCTCACCAGGGTCCACCCTTCAGACATGCAAGTCCTCACGGCTATCATTCTCACAGACATCGACAGCCTCAACGGCTTCGACTTTCACGCACAGAGATGTATATCTTTGGCCTTCTCATGGATATGATGATGCTCACCAGGGTCCACCCTTCAGACATGCAAGTCCTCACGGCTATCATTCTCACGGACATCGACATCCTCAACGGCTTCGACTTTCACGCGCAGGGATGTATATCTTTGGCCTTCTCATGGATATGATGATGCTCACCAGGGTCCACCCTTCAGGCATGCAAGTCCCCACGAAGCCGCTGAGGATGTCACCTCCCCAGCCTTCGGCTTCCCTTCCTTGACACAGTGGGAGCCACCTTCCCAGCCTTGGCGAGCAGACTTGGCGACTTTTTTCCTTTGTCTTTCTGTCTCTTAGTAGTGGTCAATCCGTCTAGTTGTTAACCTATGCCCGGCGCAGCGGGCCCTTGATGGGCCCGCTTTCTGGGCATGTACTTATAAGGAAACTGAAAATAACCGAGTTACTGACTGAAATTAATAAGGGAGGTAGCTTTCACAGGGCTACCCTTCCTTGTTCAGTATCTGACTTATTTTCGGTAGTTACTCGCTTATTTCAGTTTTTCGAATGTAAGGAAACTGGGAGTGATCATTTGAAAATAGACCTGTCCTCGTCCTCCTTTTTCCTCTAGTTGTACCTCCTCTAATCTCGAAACCAGCACGCTGTTCCACCAGTGCTACGCACCAAGATTGACCGACGCAGATTTCGCTGCGAAACCGATGGTTTTGTTGATGGGGCAGTACTCTACTGGAAAAAGCAGTTTCATCCGCCACTTGCTGGAGAGAGACTATCCAGGTCTTCGCATCGGACCTGAGCCAACAACAGATAAGTTCGTGACCGTGATGAATGGAAAAACTGACCGCGTCATTTTAAGGCTTGTTCTTCTTCTAAATCCTGTAAGAAAGCATCCTTGTTCCATTCAACAAGGAAGCAAGGAGAGAGGCTTCCAATTTATATCCACTCTCAGGAGAGGCATCCTGGCGATGGCAATGTCGTGTCTAGAATGCATCTCAAGATGGATTGGGCGAGCTCTAATGATTCCTGGTAACGCTTTGGTGGTGGACAACCAACTCCCCTTTACTCAATTGGCGAACTTTGGCAACAACTTTCTGCAGAGGCTAGAGTGTGTCCAATTATCGAATCCGATCTTGGAGGGTTTGACGTTCATCGACACACCTGGCGTCCTCAGTGGGGAGAAGCAGAGACTGCAACGTGGATACGATTTTGAAGGTGTGATCAAGTGGTTCGCGGACCGAAGCGATATGGTGATTCTGTTGTTCGATGCCCATAAGCTCGACATCTCGGACGAGTTCAAACGCTGTATTCACCAGTTGAAAGGGAATGACACGAAAATACGGATCGTGCTGAATAAAGCTGATAGGGTACTATTTCAACATCTACTGAATATAATTTTTCCCTGGTTGTATTTTCCAGAAACGTACGATATTCAATGATGCTGATTGAAGTGGGAGTTTGCATTATAGGTCAGGAAATCAGACAGACTGGTGGTGCCTCGACACGAAAGGAAAGTAGCATCCTTGTTTTTTCTGGCCATTTCATTTTTATTGCTATGACTTCTATGTCTATCTCTATCATACAGATCTCAACGCAGCAGCTGATGCGAGTCTATGGTGCGCTTATGTGGGCTCTGGGGAAGATCATTCACACACCAGAGGTGGCGCGCGTCTACCTAGGCTCCTTCTGGGATGAACCATTACACAACGATGAACAAAGGAGGCTATTTGAGAAAGAAGTTATGAAGAAGATGATAAATGAATCTGTTTTTATGGAAGCAAAAAGCTATAATCTACTAGCGGGCGGTACCTCCACCTGTAAGATGTGTAACTCAAACAAGTACATCTACTTCAAGTACTCCTTCTCGTCTTTAAAGTTGTGGTACTACTCGAAGAACCTGCGTGCTCGTCACTCACCCAGCTGCAACGCTTTCAGAGGAAATCTGCTCTAACTCCCAAAACGATCTCTATACTGCGATTGCGAGTCTTCCCCGTAATGCTGCGACCCGACAATTGAACGACCTCATCAAAAGAGCCCGTTTGTTGCGTGTCCACGCCTACTTGATTTATGAGTCTAGAAAATGCAAATGCATCATCTTCTGGACGAAGGATTAAATGGTTCTGGTATTTGGTAGCCTGATTTTGATCATTTAAGGAAAGCAAGAAGAGAAGCCTTGTGATCGAATTCATCAGGTCACGAAATACCAGGAGAACCAGACAATGATATATGAAGGAAAAGGAACTACCTAGATGATCTCTCTGTGAGATGCAGCATTCCCTATACCTCTAATTGATGGACCATTTTCGCAAGGAAATGCCTTCGCTATGGGGCAAGCAGAGCAAGCAGAAGGACCTGATAAAGAATCTGGGCAATATCTGCCAAGACTTGTCGAAAAAGCAGAATCTTCCATTAGGTGACTTTCCGAACGTGCAAGCGTTGCAGAGACGCTTGATGACAGTGGAGTTCGCGAAAATTCCATTGATCGATTCGAAACAGATCACGGTACTTGTTCGCAAATGCTAGTATAGATGCATGAAGATTCTAGACAGAACCAGTAGTAGTTCGTCAGAACCATATCGTGCCATTTTCACAAAAAAATCCTCGACACCGTGCCTCGTAACACCACATTCATTCCGACAAACCGTCGACAACATGCCTTTTTGCTAGTAATCCACGGACATTCATTCCTCACGACCCACTCCACAGTCTCTGCAGAAAATGCTGGAAAGGGACGTACAGAAACTGATGCGTTTGATTCCTTCAGAAGCTCTTCTGCAGCCATCCAATGCCAAATTGCCCTTCCAGAGCGCGGACCCTAGTCCTTTCGCCGTCTCCAAAGAAAACGGCTTGACAGAGCAGAGCTATTTGACGAGTCACTTCCTTGAGAATCCACCGGATGTTCGCAAGTATGAACGTGAATTTTTGGAATTGGTACAGAAAGGAGGAGAACATGGTGTTGGTTGTACTAGTGCTGGTACGACTACGACGAGTGTCAACTTTCAGGGAGGTAGTAGTACCAGTACAACTTCCACCGGCGGACCTTCTTCTGCAGAAAGAGTTCTTGGGTCGGAGAAAACATCTCCGGCACAAGCAAAGATCCATGGTCATCAAGCGAAACAAGTTCTTGAGGTGTCGAAATTGAACAGTGCTATTTTGCATAAGATTTGGACGTTGGCGGATATTGATAGAGACGGAAAGTTGACGCTCTATGAATTCGCCTTGACCAAGCACTTTGTGGAGATGAAACTTGCGGGATTGGAATTGCCGTCAGTTTTGCCAGAAAACTTCGTGGCAGCAGCTGCATTGGAACATAACACTGTGACATCAAGTATGTTGTTGAGCAAAGGAGTACCGAATGGACAACATGTGCTTAGTGGAGGCTCCACTCCGAGTAACATAGGACTATCCTCAACGAGTCCATTTGCATCGGGGATTATAGCTCCTGCAGGCGGTGCAGAAGCGCGCCAGCAATACTATCATCCAAGTGCTCAAGGCCACGCACTTGCAGGTACAAGTGGACAACACCAACAGCATCTACAGAAAACAGCTAGTACAGATGGTTCGTCGACGCGAAGTGGCGTCGCGTTAACCAGTGATTCTCAAATTCAACAAATGCAAAGAGACAGAGCAGGAAGTGGAGCATCTTCCCAACAGAGTTCGCGAAGTGGGAAGAGGCCGGGTGTGGCGCCAACAAGCCACGATGCTTTGTCGGGAGCATGAAGAGGTCTTGCTGAAGCTGAAAGGGATGATTCTCTGTAATTTGTAGTCGTGGCATCCATTGCTCGTTAATTCCTAGTCCGCAAAAATTATATATGACAAACAAAGTGAACACCTACAGAGAAAAATCAATATGCCTTACCTTTTTCCTAGTTAGCTTGGCTCCACCCGTAATATGATGATTCTATTAACTACTCTAGTACAAGGTGGAGCGCAGGAGCTCGTCGTCGTCCATTCTCTCAACATAGTTCGCAAAACAAACACATCACGGGGAGGCATAAACGTATAAGAGCAATATCGTCGTCAGGGTGACAATTCGGGAGACTCGTTTTCGGGCTTTTTGGTTTCTTTCTTCATATAGAGCACGTACTGAATGTTTCATGATAGATGGAGATCGCATGCTCTTCTCGTTCTTTTTGACAAGCATTTGGTTTTCCCGTAGGTTCCTATGAAAGAATCGCACACAGTTACAGCACGTTTGCTTTTGTCACCCCAGTGCATCTTCATGTTCTCCTAGTCTCGTAAACATGACGGGATCCGACAAGACGATCCCTTTGACGGGTGTCTCAACGCGAACGAAGTCTTCGATGTGTAAGAAAGGTTGAGTCGTGTAATAGAAGATGAAGTAGTCGGTACTCGTACTTCATGATCATCATCATGTGGTCGTACTGAAGAGTGTCTTTCATAGCGCGGCTATGTGCGCTTGGAGCTACTTACACTGCTGGTAAAAGACGAAGCTAAGAACTTCAACAGCGGAGGCGTCGGTTTCCATCGACTTTTTATGTCCGAGTAAAGCTCCCTCTGTCTTTCATCCTCGTCGTGGTTTTCGTGTGCGTGGTCTGTTAAGTATTTCGGTCGATTCTGCTCTTTGCACGTTGTCGTCGCTGTGATGATTAATGACGCAGACCATCTTCGGTGTTTCTGATGTAGAGTTCGCTCGTATATGAACTCAGATCTGTGCTTTGAAACATCTTCATCACCAAGAGAATGACTGGAGCATCTCTGTTCCCTCGTCACTTAAAGTTTTCGGTGCAAAATCAAAAAACTACAAACGTGGATGAATTTCAATTCTAAAAATGATAAATCTTGTTTAGGAAGTTTGTATTTTTTTGAAATTGATATATCCCCCTAACGCTAACCCCGGAACCCTAACTACCCGCAAAGCCGGCTTCGCGCCATCAAGAGATTGACTGTGACAACACAAGTAATATCATATATAAGTTCCAAGATATTAATAATCAATATCAGAAATAACTACAAACACAAAAATGCTTGTGCTCGTCTCTCAACACGATTGCCTCTTTCGCAAGGATTGGCTTTTTGGCCATTGTGATAACCTTAACTTGCATGGTAACGTAGTTGGGCATCAGAGGAGCTGGAGGCATTCTGGTTGGCATCAGAACTTTACGAGGCATGACTGCGATCGACATGCTGATGGACATGGCAATGGTAGTGCGCTGCAGCATAAAATTAGAACCCCTAGTACCTCCTCTACTACTTGCTTCGCCGCGATGCAGAACACTATATCAGAGGAGAAAGCTCTTGTCGCAGAACTGACTGGTATCCAAAACCGTGTGGAAAAATTGGCAATGCAACAGAGACTTGCGGCTTTCCAGAAACGGAGTGAAGATAATGGCTTGCGCCTCGAAGCAGCTCTGAAGAGGATAGACGAAAAGCTGAGACAAACCTCACGATCGGTTCTATTAAGGCTTCCCAGCACCTGCACCGTACTAAGTAATTCAAATTGATTCATAGTTGTGAGTGTTTGAGAATCATGATCTTTGGCGCCGTTTTAAAGGGGAAAATGTGTCAAAGATGAGACTCTCCAGATGGGTGGAATTGGGGCAAACTCTAACTCTACGTGGGGAAGTTGCTTCGCCGCAGCAAAGACGGAGGCTCGAACAGGCAGTGCAGAGTGTTTCCAGCAGCGAAAAGGGAACTGCAGACTTGTCCCGGCAAGTGGCAGCAGCGGCTGACGGGGCTGCGGTCAAAGTAGCGGACTTGTTTCGTGAGTTTGCCAGATTACGAGGACAAGTGGTAGCAGAACTTGGAGGCGATGGTGGTCCAGCAGGTTCTTCAGGACGTTCAGGAAGTGGAGGGGACTCATCGTCGTCTGCAACAGCGGCGCTTTCGTCACTGTCGTCCTCAATCGCTGGGGGCGCTGGATCTGCAAATTCATTTAAGACTTCATTCTCCTAGCCTTAGCCCTGCATGCATTTTGAAGAGAAGCAGAGCAGCATTAACATTATATATATGCTCGTGGATGTTGCCTTATCCTTATTCTGAGGGGAAGTGATCAGCCCAAATGATTTTAAGGTTTACCTGTCATTAACAACCCAGCTCTAATTCACCCAGTGCAAGTGGTCCTTACCGCTTGATCATTCCAGACCCCACAGTTACTCCGCCTATGCTATTGCACAATGCAGAAGCAGAGGATCCGAACAATGGTGAAGCAGGACAGCTCTCAGTGACGACTTCTAGTGGCTGTCAATGCGACCAGAAGTCGGAGCTGGCGTGCGGCTATACTCAAGGAACCCCCTTTGGATGGTGTAAGGTGAAGAAGCAACCCGATTGTAGAGTGCTGATGCCTGGAGTCAAAGATCCGGCTGGGTAGTCTAACAAGGAATTGCTACCTTCTTCTAGTAAGATCATTCAGTTTCAATAAGTGGTTCAGTTGTAGAATCAGAGAAAAAGAGGATGCTGCATTCTATGTAGCAAGTAGTTTTTGTTTACACTACTTTACAGGAGGCTTTGGCTTAGGCTTTGTTCAATTAGTACTTTTTCACCATCACAACTTTTTCACTATTTACTTCATCCCAACTTTCACGACCACCTTCTTCTACAGGTGGGACCACACGCTTTACACTGCAGACAGCGCGACTCCTACCGACGAGGGTTGGGATTACTGCACACCTCCAAGGATGTCAGCACTCGAGACTGCGCATTTCGGTTGTCAATGCGCTTGGAACGATGACGTCTTTGACCGATATAAGCAGCTCATATTGTTAAGCTCAAGAGTTACTTCTTCAATCTAGGTTTGCTCAAGGCATTCTTTGGAGAAGTTGTAGAAGTTGTAGAAGTTGTAGACCTTGTTCAAAAGTCTTGTTCTCTAATCAGAGCAAGCCCAGGAGGAGCACTTGGAGCTGCGAGGGTGGAAGAGATTCCTGTTCGCGACCGCTACGCAGTTCAGATAATGAGCGCGATAGTGAATGAAGAAAAACAATTAAGGCACCAGCCACGAGAGCATCCTTAGCATCCATGCCCTCAGCTCATCATGACTCTTGGCCTATTTTTTTAGGGAAAAAAGGGCCCACGTCCAGGGTGATGGTCAGGATCTCAGGGATGCGCAGGAGCGGTTGCGGTAGGTCTAAAACAAGGTGGAAACAACTATAAAGGACAAGAACTTAATAGTGGATCTTCGAACTCGAAGGGAGGTCGAAGCAATTATGGCACTAGAGCGGGCTTGAAAAGTTTGTGTCGACAGATCGAGCACAATGGTGAAAAGCAGTTTTACGCTTGTCCTGTGAGTAATCGCTGTCTCGAGACCGGAAACGTGTGGACTGGCAGAAGTCCCTGGTTTTCCGTAAGCAAACATAGCTGGGACTTCTGTAACCCTGGTGCAGCCAGACACCATCCGCCAAGACGAGACGCAGCATACTCGAACCCGATGATAAACTCCAATAGTAGAACTGTAGTCCTCGCCGGTGGACCTCAGGCTGCTCAGCGACAACATGTTGGAGGCCCTAAAACGGTTACGATTACGCATAACCACAACTACGCGCCACAACTTCCACGAGGTTTAGCTGGACGCTCGATCAACATGGGGTCGCCGGCTCCTCAAGCTGCGCCATTCGTAGCTGCAGGGCCCATCTCTTACCAAGGACCAGGATCAATGGTGAAAACCAAGGACCAGGGGGTCCGCATTGCTGGATCCGGTGTCGGTGGTCGATCCTCGACGCAACATTCAGCGTTAAGGCTCTCTGGCTCCCACTGGAAGTACTCAAAAATGTTAATTCCAATCGTTGACGAGTTATGTGACTCTGACAAATGTTAACTCAAATCGTTGACGAGTTATGTGACTCTGACTGAATGTTAATTCAAATCGTTGACGAGTTATGTGACTCTGACTGCATCGTTTAAGTATTTCCTTGTGATGAAAGAAAAGGGTGGGGGAAGATGATGTTGAGTATAATTTCCTTCCAACTGTTGGAACTTTTTTTTTTTGGTTCTAACGCCTAGTCGCTCTGCTCCACTGAGTCCTCCTCACGTGTGCCGACCAGGCAGGGATAGCAAAGGACCCGATCTAGCCGTGATATCTGATCAAATGACGCTGTTAAACCAGAGCCTGCGACAGATGAGTGACGCGATGCGCTTACAGGCGCAGACACAGACTCAGATGTTAAGGAAGATTCAATCCTTACTATTGCATCCTTCACAACCATCTTCGGCCGTTTACGTTTTTCAAGTGCAAAGACAAAATAAGATGATGTTCTCATTCTCAAGAATGCAATTATAGCACAACCTCTTCTAAAGATGGTTCAGGTATCCCAACGGCAGCAGCATAAACTTGAAGTCCTGACTAAAGAAGCATTAGTTGAAGCAAAGGCTGCGGAACAGCAACAAGCAGAACCAGCATTACGACACCAGCTTGTATTAATGATAGATTATCGTAAATTGTAGCACATCATGATCTAGGGGACTACGTGCTTCTCATGCCATCGGACTTGTAGCACATCATGATCTAGGGGACTACGTGCTTCTCATGCCATCGGCCAGGTTGCTCTTCGTAAAATATGTTAGATGAACTATACCCATTTCCATTCCCACACCGTAAAAAGTTGTACCCATTCCCATACCTCCTGCTAAGAGGAGCAGCACCCGCCGCCAAGGCAGCAGCCAAAGCCGCTGCGAGCAAAAAGAAGAATAAGAGTTGGACGGATCAGGCTAAGGCCGCCGCTCTAGGTACGGCAGGGCTCGGAGCTGCTGGCTACTCCGCGTACGCCGGTTACCACGTCATTTAAGGCGCTAGAAGTAGTACTTCGCAAAGAAACTACTGGATCATGAATGTTGATGTTGAATGATTATTGATAAATGAAAATCGCGTTGGCGACGATCATCTACTACAACATTTTCATCACAACATAAGAGAATGACAAGAACAAAAAAACCTCCTTAAGATTACAAGAACAAAAGAACAACATCAAATTCAAAGTCCTGTCAAGGTCCTCATCCTCGGACCAACATCAGATTGAATAATCGAGCGTCATGAGTACCTATTTTTTGCCAGCTCAGAACTGTACTAGGGCTAGCGGTTCTTGTACTTCTCATTGTATTGATTCATTGCAACTTAGTATACTATAGAGTTAAGTATTACAAGATTCTACTGATGACGATGAGTAGGTGGTGTATCTGTAGGTTGTATATGTTTTTCGCACTTTTCTCTCTGTCATTGATGCATACTCACACTGACATGAATCTTCTTTAGATACGTATACTGAGTCTGAGTCAGACGTATAGATTTAGATATTACAAGCAGGCTCTACTCTTTCTGCTCCTCTAATGTCTGAAAAGTGTTCCGAAAAACTACGTGGCTTCAGATGAGGTATTTCGACGTGGCTGGCAAGGGGGACGTGAGGTCGATTACAAAGTCGCTGAACTAGAGTTGAAATTAAGGCTTTAGCTTTTGCTCTTGATTTATACCCCGCGGCTTGGCACACTACTACTACCACTAGCACTACCACTACTACTATCTTGATCTACTCCATCTTGATCTTCATCTTCCACATGTCCTCTTGATCATACAGTAAGTTGAGGTGAGCAAGAGCTATGAATTTTTAAATAGCAATAAGTAGCTCCTATACAGAAGTTGGTAGTATGACCTGCGACCACGACGTCACATTATAGTCGTGTCCCTTCATCGGTAATATTATCTCTGACAGTGCCCACGATACAAATGCGGATACATCCACTCCGCGCATAATTTTGCGTAAATAACGTGCTTCATCTACTACCAGTAACTAGACTTCTCTACTACCAGTAACTTACTATACTAGTACTAGTAGACCAGTAAGAACTAAAGCTAGTGTTAGTTCCAGACTGACGACGTCTAATAAAATATCGAAAGAGGAAGTCCATTCCGATCGAGGAGACGCCAGAAGCCAAGGATATGTTGAGTCCAGTGAAAAACCTGGCGACGATGGCTTTTGACAAACTGAAAGAGGAAACCATAATTACGGCTTACTATTTGTTAAAGTGCTGGGTAAAGCTAGCTAGAAGCCTCTGTAAGTAGAAAGCTAAAGAGGAACTCATAGTTCTGGCTAAGTAAGGAGGTAGCCCATGCATATTTTGGAGGCAGGATTATAAGCAGTAGCCTATGTAGTTGTAGAGCCGATGTAGTACTTAATACTTAATGTAGGAAGCACGTAGCCTATGTAGAAAACTAAAGATGAAACCTTAGCTACGCTTTACTATAATTTGTTCAAAAAGTACAACTACAAGTACTACTACTAGGTATGCGTATGTCTTGGTCCTCTAAGTCTGTACCTGCTCTAGATTAGAGTATATAGTAGGACTTAAGTACGTTCTTTGTCACTGTTCTCTCTGCTTCAAAGCTGACTGAAAGTAGGAAGACTTGGGCGCACTTCTTAGCCCACACTGAAAGTAGCTGGAAGTAGCCTACTCAGTTCCACGATACTCTTGGATGGCCTGGGAGGACGACTTCGGGTGTGTAGACCACAGTAAGACAAAAATATAGTTACATCGTGTGGGAAAATTTTTCCCGGAAAAAAAGGTCCCAGCTCCTGCGACAGTAGACTATATATGTTCTAGAACGCGGGTCGACGGCGACGCCCCCCCCCTAGCGCCGAGGACACCTTTTCAAGGCGTCTGCCGGGGGGGAAGGCCTCAAAAGGCGGCCCAGTGACCTCCCCCTTCCGCTCCCTTCCAGCTGCCTGGCTGCTCCCTAGGGGCCTCCGATGGTGGTAGGAGGCTTCAAAAGGGGCCCAAGGGACCGCTTGCGCCCCCGTCCAGGTGCCTGCTTGTGCCCTAAGTGCATCCGTTAGGCTTCGCCGCCGCAGCCGTGCCGCCTGTACCCTCCGGGCCCTTGGTCATCGGCTTGCTTGCTCTTGCGACCGTGGCCGCCTTCGGCGGCCTTTTACCCCGGAGACCTCCCGCCTGCGAGGGTCAGCAGAGGCCAGGAGGCCCCTCAAGGATACGCTGAGAGGCCCAAGGGGAGGCCCGCGCCAAGTTTTGACGCCTTCCAGCACTAGAATCAGCGAAAAACCCGCGCGCGCGCGCCACCACAGACCACCACAGGGGGGGGGAGGGGGGGCCGTCTGGCCCTTAGTCATATATTGGAATCTACGTCTTGCTGTGTGAGTGCCGTTAGGCGCGGCGGTGGCGGCGATGATGAATGAATGGATGGCATGACGTCTTCTCTAATGAACAGAAGCCCTTGAACAGCGCAGTCGGGGAAGGCTCTGATGTTGGCAAAGTGCTGGACCAAGTGTCTCAGGTGGATCTGAACTTTAGCAGCAAACTCAACTTATGGCCAAGAATAGGTTGTTAGTGTCCGAATTGTTGTTGTTGTTGTTGTTGTTGTTAGTTGGAGTCGCGAATTGTTGTTGTTCTTGTTGTTGTTTTCCCACTCCCATTTTTTTGCGCCATTGATTTTGTTTGATCTCGATAGTATCTAATCATGAATCTAGATCTCGACAGGAGCTCTCGTCATTATATAGAAGACATCAAGATGATGAATATGATTAGAAGACATCAAGATGAAGAAGATGATATAACACACACAGAGCACAAAGAAATCCGGCGGGGTCGTACGCGTCGCCCGGAGCGCATCAAAACAAACAAACAAACAAACAAGAACACGATATAAAGGATGAAGAGGCTTTGGCTTGATGTAAAGGTTGAAAATAAAGAACCCTTCTGATCTCGATGGTACCCTTTTTCTGCTCTCGTCATAGAAGACAAAAAAAGAATATTGCCAATGCATTTACTCCCCTAGAAGTATCCCATTTGATGTTTATTCGTTTTTTTTTCCTCCTAGTTCGGCTGGCTCCGCGACTCTATAGAGGAAAACAAGGTGGGGTTCTCTGATCTCGATCTTGATCTCTCTATATTTGGTCCTCCCAGTCGTAGTCCTTCTATAGAATAAGTATTCTATACTGACTCTAATGAGCGAGGCTCTTGGCTTCCTGCATGGTATGGATTTGCGCAAAAGCCTTGGCGACACGGTGCGGTCGCAAATAACCAGAACCCTGGCACCTGACCAAAAATTATGCCTTTGCCTTTCTGTTTATGTTATTTTAATCATCGTCGGTCTAGACTCTCGTCACACTATCAACTTATTATGATACTAGCCACCCTAATGATGGAAATTGATCTACTATAGAATGATCATTATAGATGCAAGCCTCTCTTTTTGGAATACATGACTCTTTTGAATTTTTGTTTGCTAGTTAGGAGTGCTCCACCGACATTATAGATGCAAGCCTCTACTATGTTCTTGGCCCAATTCGTCTCACGCTCACCAGCTACTTTTAGTTAGGTACTTCTCATCTCAATGATCTAAGTTAGGACTAATATGCACGTAGGTCCCTTACTCTTTGTTGTGTTTCTGAGAAGAGAGGTGTGTGATCCATGCATCCGACCTGGAGGAGAGACGTTTCGTTCAAAGGGGGAACATCAAGTGAGAAAAAAGGTTCTCATTTCATGTTCCAGGATGACGATGTTGATGTTCTTCTTCTTGCACATTAATGATGATATACTACACATGGCTGCTGCTGCAATACTACACATTACCATTAGTACTGTAATGTCATCCTCCAGCACACCCTTTGTTTCTAGAACAAGAGCAAGTGGTTGAATATGGTGTCTGAGTACAACGTCTACTAGTAGGATGTTTAGCACTTAATCTACTAGGATGTTTAGCACTTATACTACTATCTTCTACTTCTTCACTACTTCTAAAAATAGCAATGGTGGAGGCGATGGAGAATTACAATGGGCGACAACTGACTCTGGAGCAGATTGGGCAGCTGGCTTTGATCCACCAGCAGGGTGGTTTCGAAGCAATGAAGATTAAGGCTGCTGTCTCTGGTTCTGGTTGGTCAGTAACTATCATCGGGTTCTGGTAGTTGCTGGTCGTGTGAGGTAGGTGTAAAAAAGTAGTACCATGTTTTTAATACAGGTGACCATTTAACAAGGATTCTCGAACTCCGTCAAAGAGTGGGGACTTTCTTCTGAGGTACTTCTACTTCTCGAGTGTGGTTCTTGTAATCCGCATGCGCAAGCAATAGCATGAATAAGCGTGACTGGTATTTTGTTTTAATAGGATAATCCTTGGTCGTCGCGTGGGTGTGAGGTCTCTTCCTGGTAGTGAGGTATCTGCGGTCCTGGCCAAATGAATCATGACACCTTCCTAGTAACAACTGTTATCTTCCTGAAGAGTGACGTAGACGTTGCTTCCTTGATACATTTTCCGCTTGTTGATTGGTGTCCTGATTGGGATCGAGTCTCGTGTAGTTGAGTGGGATCGATCCCCTTATTGATTGTTGGTGTCTTGTTACAACGAAGATAAAAATCCTGAGTCAACAGAAGCTAGACGTAAATCTTCCAGGAGAGGAAAACTTATCAAGGAGGAACTCATCTTACAATACTTATCTATCACCATTATTTTTAGGACCACTCTGCAATAAAGCAGCACAGAGAGCCGAGATGGCAACAGCCATAATAGTGATTGTGTATCATGTGCCAACGTTTGCCATTCCTAGAAGGAGACGCAACACAGCCAGCCCTATCTAGCTTACATTTAAGTACTACAAAGGGAGAAACTCGAGCCAAAGGATCATCAAGAAGTAGTACTTTCTCTAAGCACGACAACCCAATGAACCTTTTGAGTGCCACGGGAGTAGGATCACAAGTTCCACCTGCACTGCTGACACAACTCCAAAACGGAACGATTCCTTCTGGCGGGCTACCTGGCGCTGTCGCAGCGCTGCCGGCAGGAACGGTTCCTGCAGCATTAAGGCTCATACTCATGCTCATATATATTTCTATCCCATGTAGTTATACTTAGTCGTGGTTGATTATCATGTTGCTGAGTGGGTTCGTTTGATTGATAAGTGAACAGGTCAACGCCTAAACCACTAAGTGGTTTAAGCGTTGGCTTGTTCACTTATCAGCTTTCCTTATATATAGAAGCCTAATACTAAGGGGGGAGTCTATATGTCTGAGGGAGAACTTGAAATAAATGGTAACTCACTCAACGTCAGCCAATTCTTTTAAGGGAGAGAATGGTAACTCACTCAACCAGGGATAGAAGTGATTGACTAGCGTTAACAGAAGCAACTGGGGCGATTGGTGGTGTACTTTCAGCAGGAGGAGCTGCGTCACCTTTACAAGCTGCTGGGCCAGCGGTTCACCAGAATGGTGTAGGCAATACTGCCGATGAACTTGCGAACGCGGTAACGGGTGGCGAGAATGATGGAGGCACTCCTGCTGATGCAGGTGCCAGCGCGTTGCCTGGGGGCCAGCACCGAGCGATCAGCCTCCTCGAGATCGACACAGGTCATCGACATCGAGAGATCACCAACACAAGAAGCACAAGTAGGAGTAGTGCCTCCTTATTATGGAACTGGCTCGTCCTGCTCCTCTAGAAGTAAGTAGGTAAAAACTCATTTTGTTATAGGTGGAAACCGTCAGTCTTCTACCTCTAGTAATTAGTCTTCAGATGATCAAGGTGATGGTGAAGGCACTGAATCGGTTCAAGTAGCTAACTCATCTTCTTCGTAGGTTGTTTATCTACTAGGATTTTTCCATGCCGTCTCCCATAGAGACTCTAATTTTGAACATCATCAAGCTTCTTGAGGTCAATAGATTGCCACGTCGCGCCGCAAGAAGAAACGACAACGACAGCGACCTTATCCTTGGTGAGCAGGAGTCTACTGCCTCTGGTGCCAGCTCGTTTTTACCTACGATCTTCGGACAACAAGGGTCAGCTGCAGCACGACCTAGACTTAAGCTTAAGGCAACCTCCTTAAATAGATACCTTCTCCCTCACCTGAAATTAAGATGGTCTCGTCTCATCTTGATCTAGCTCTAATCTGCGACGACCGACAGGGCGAAGGACCTGCACGACAACGACGAGGGGTGTAGCTGAGGAATTCGCGGATTTCATATTTCCATGGTGAAGTAGAGCAAGACCTTTCATCCGGAAGGACTAGGAACTTTCAGCTTGTTGGTGTTGACAGGACCTTCTCCTGGTTCTCCAATTGAACTGATTACTTATGTTAAACTTCAACGTGGTTCTTCTATCTTGTCAGAAGGACGACCACCCGAAAAAGCAAAGGCAGGTGGGTGGATTTTTCAGGAATACCATGCTATCATGTAATCAGTGCTTTATGTTCTGCATGTCCTTCTCCGAACCAGCTTTTCGGAATTTTACAGTCGCAGAGAGCACCAGTGATGCCAGTTTCGTTGATTTTCTAGTAGGATTTGTTAAACATCAGTTTCAGTACTACGTAGAAGTGGTTCTCCTTCTCGTTCGTCGAGCTGATGATGTCGCTTTGTCGCTAGTTTCTCTCGTAAATAGTAGCTGCTCGTGCTCGCAATCTTTGAACGTTTTTCGTCGTACTCGTATGTGGTAGATCATATTAACAAGACGGTGCCATCGTTGCAGCCACATTCTTTACCACGTCGTATATATTATAATATAGATACATTTTTAATAAAAATCATTAGCTTAAGCTTATCCTACTTTTCAGCACGATCACGACGCAACCTTCCAACTCGGATTAGCAAACACACTTTCATGAAAATCTATTGCTGAGGCCTAGCACAGCAGACGTAGAGGTAGTACTATGTGTACTTTCTTGAGCTTTATTAGAATGTAAATATCAACGTGCACCTAATATCGTCGTATCTGGAAGTTGGTAGATATGTTTGATATGGTCTCGTGTCAACAGACACAGAGTGACGTTCTCTACAACTGAAAATATTTTCTATAATTTTCATTTTCATACGGAAATACGTCTTCATACTGATCCAGCTTTTAATGTGCAGTACGATGTTGACATATTGGCCCTGGTGAAACCGGATCGATCTTTCTGCTCAGATCATCGGCCCCTCCGCAAATCGGATGCTGTCTAGACTACGAGCGACTGAAGATCCACCGCCAATCTGATGTCGTCGAGACTACGTTCCACTGAGGAGGCTTTGCTCACCGAGCTCCAAGGAATCCAGAATCGTGTGCAGCATCTAGCTACGCAGCAGCGCCTTACTGCAGTCGAAAAAGAGTCCCACGATTCCGGTCTCAGACTACATTAAGGCCGCTCTGATGGCTTTGTGTTATGTGTAAATGTATAAATGAATCGATGCACTGTTCTTGTCAACAAGAAGGGAAATCCCTAATTATTCGTCTTGAGAGCAGACATTCATCCTGAAGAAGGTTTCCATGGGGAAAAGGTGCCCAGGATGCGTTTGAAACTTTCACAATGGATTAGCGCGAGCTCTAACTAGAAGTGGCGCTGCAACAAGTACGCGAAAAACTCGATCGAACTTCAGCGGTGGTGGAAAACAAGTTATGGGTACGGGTAGATATATTGGAACGATTTTACCATAAGTATGCTTCGGCGAATGCCGGTCGTTGTAGCATTTTCGGAGTCAGTTTCTACCTAGGAGGGCGTCATGATAGATGGCATCAGGAACTTCCTACACATGCCATAGTAAACCAATTACGCAGGAGCGCCGGCGTTCTTCTTGCCTGCTCGAACTTCTGCTCTAAGAAAAGTCGCGAAGGAACGAGGGCGTCTTGATGCTGCTGTGCGGAGCGTGTCCAGCAGTGAGAAAACCAGCTCGAAACTTTGTCGCGAAACATCTGCGGTTGCAGACGAATTAGGCACCCACGTAGCAGATCTTTTCCGCCAGTTTGCCCGACTAAGAGAACGAGTAGCAACTGAAATGGGGGAAGGAGGTAGTGATCTTCTAATCGAATTGGATGCTCTTAGTTTTGTTCTTGAAATTGACAGGTGGCATCGCCATCACCTAGAGGAGCTGTAATCATGTGAAGAAGACTTTTATACTGATGAACATACAGATACAGCTTCCTCGTGATCATAGAAGTTGTAGAGCCAGCTACTACGTAAAGAAACATATTAAAACTGAAACTGATCAACATGATTTATATGGGACGACTTCCCAAAAAACAAAAGAAAATGTAAAATTCCCGTTCCTTCAGGCGCAACATCAAGCACGACCGAAGTGGACAGAGCTTCGTCTCGTGCTGCATTTCAACTGCTTGATCTGGAGGCAGCGGAGCCGCCAAGATATCGGCCGCCGCCTAAGCTAGTACGAAGTGCGGAAGTATTATGGGGGTAGGAAATTCATCTCCAAAGTCATCTGGAAGAAAAAGACAAGAGGAAAAAGGGAGCCAGATGATCCCTGAGATGCATTCCCAACACCTCTAAAAGTAAGGGATGCAAATAACGGAGGACGAGTCGGCGCTCTAGTCTTATGTCCTCTTCACTCATCGATATCAGAATTCGAATCTGTCTTCATCTATTCAGGGTTCTTCAAGTTTTTTTTCTTCGCTACTCTCTCTCTCAGCAGGTTTCTGTACTACTAGTTGGAAAATTCTATTAACTGAAAGTTACTGGTACTAGAAATTTGAAGCATTGTGCGCGTGCCATGATAATATTATGTTGATCATTTTTAGAAAAACTTAGAAGCAAGAGAACATGACTTCTCTCATAACTTCTCATTCTCTCTTATCGACGTAGTAGATGGCCCGTCGTTCACCTCTGTCTCTAATAGTACCAGCACCTCCATCTGTGACGACCTCATCTGGTTGCCAATGCGATCAGCGGTCGACACTTTCATGTGCCTACGGCCAAGGCGCTCCCTTCGGCTGGTGTAAAGTTTTAAAACAACCAGACTGTCGCGTTTTGATGCCAGATGTTGAAGTTATGGCCACTCAGGCAGAGGGAATTTTTAGCTACATCAACTAGTATTAGGAGGGGTACAGTAATCCCCTGCTAGGCAGTGGCACGATGGACGGAGATGATCGTGGTTAACAGGTCTGTTCCTACGGCTCCGACAGGTCTGTTCCTCCTGATCATGAATGCTTACCAGGAAAAAATCTAAAATTGTATTGTATTGTAGTACTTCTTCATCAACATCTTGTTGAGTTCTTAACTTCAACTCGTCCTTCTAATGCACACCCCGCTGGTTGGGATCACACTTTGTACGCGAAGAAATTCAACCCTGGTGGTGGTATGGACATAATTCCGACCGCGGACTCCTGGGATTACTGTACCCCTCCTAGGATGGCGGAATCAGAAACAGCACACTTTGGCTGTCAGTGTGCTTGGAACCAGGAAGTCTTAGATCGGTATGCACATCTTGCTAGCGAAAGTACAGTATCGACCACGCAAGAGAAGACATCTGGTAGTGCGGGAGTTCTTGATGATGGAGAAGTCGGAGATGACAGAAAAATAAACTCCTCTACTACTAGGTCTACTACATCATCATCTAGTAGTGCTAGAGCAGGAGGTCGTGAGGGGAAGCTACAACTCGTGTTTAACGAGACAGCTTTAGAGCAGATTCCTTTACGAGACCGACACGCAGTGCGAATCATGAGCGCGATAAACGAAGAAGAAAGTCGTGCGAGTCGTGGTAGTAGTGGAGATCATCTTGAAGGCGATGACTTCGATCACCCAGGCCGCGGACAAGATGGTGCTACTTTGAGCGACGATCAGCATGGAGGAGGAGAAGATCAGGAGGAAGTGGATCATGGGGTGTCCTCATCGTCATCATTCACTAGACAGGAGACCCAGGAGAAGAGTACGACAAGGAAGTTGTGTCGACCGATCGAGCATGAAGGGCAGAAGCAATTTTTTGCTTGTCCAGTTAGCGAGAAGTGTCTGCAGAGTGGCAATGTGTGGAGTGGCCGCAGTCCGTGGTTCTCAGTGAGCAAACATAGCTGGGACTTCTGCAATCCAGGCAGCGCATTGCACGACCCACCGAGACGCGACAACGACAGTCTCGATCCGCGGATTGTTAGTAAGGTAAAGGAACAACAGGAAGCTGGTGCCGAACAAGACAGGAACATCAAGGTATCACTATTAAGGCACAGAAAAACCCAACCCTTTACACAGCCCATTCTTCTCATTCCCCTTTTACAAAAGGGGAATCCATACTGGGTTGCTGGCGTAAGGTTGGGCTTTTCTCTTCGCTAACACTACCATTTCCTCGCAATCAGACAGACGCGGAGCTCAATGCAGAGGACAAGAGTGGGATGCTCGAGGGAGACGCAGCATCGGCGGAGAACGTAAACATCATTCACAATCATAACTACGCTCCTCCTGCTGCTCTTCTTCCTGGACCCGGTAGCGTAGCTGGGGGAGCTCCTGTCGTAGGTGGTGTTTCTGCTGTTCCGTTCAATAGCATAAATGTCGATCCCCAAATTATGAATCATCTCAAGCATGAACATGAAGATCATCCTACCAGTACGGAAGTCAACAACTTAAAGATTTACGAACATCATGATCAAGGAAACAACAGGAACAAGAAAATCATAACGACAACAACACGAAGATCATCACCATCAGGATCAGCAACATCATCAACATCAACAACAAGATCAAAGTCTTAAGGTCTTAAACGTGTGCAGCAAGTTGCAAGTTGATGAGTTAAATAGTTGGTCCGGATCTAGTTAGCTTAGGCAGATGAAAGGCACTAAGCCCCAGGGATCTTCGTACTTAACAACAACAACAAAAACCAAATATTTTGTCTTCTCAAATTTATCCTGTGCTTGTGCAGATTAGCACTAGTACACAGGACAGGGACGACATCGCTAGAATGATGAACTACATCATTCAAATCCGTAGCCATTGGGCTACCTTAAGGTTTATCTAATTTTGATGTTCTCCTGGCCGCAATATTCTAGTGCTAATCTTGAGCTTTTCTAGTTGTTTCCACACACTGAAAACATTAGAATTTTTTTTTTTTTTGGTTATAGATAATTGAACTTTACACGAAACAGAATTTTTAAATCTGTTACGTGTAAGAAATTTGCTATATCTTTCCTTGTGCTGTAGTGCTGATTGACGTAAGTCCTGAATGAGAAAATAAAAATGACCGACCACGAACCACGAGCAGCATACAGCTCGAAAAATTTTCTGTTGAGAGCTAAACAATCTGTTGCACGACGAGAAACCTACGAGGATACCAAGCATCACGAGAAAAATACGATGCGGCTACTCTGTTCGAGTCTTCTGGTGAGATCTGAAAGCACGACGAGGAGCACGAGGGCGAGCACGGTAGTAAAATTTTGATTGATTTAACTGGTAAAAATTGACCAACGAACTCCTAACCTTATGCTACTACAAAAATCCCACAGGGAAAATTTTAAGGTGACCCATTTTCCCAATTTTCTAGTGGCATAGAGTTCCAGGCAATAAATAAATCAATCAATCAACAAATCGATCAATCACGCACTTACTCAATAAATAAATCAAGAAGTAACTAACTAACTAACTCAATCAATCAATAACTAAGTCAATCAGTCAGTTAATCAAATAAGGAAGTCAAAAATTCCTAGTGGGTTAAACAATCAAGACCTTCACAAAAATAAAATCATCCTTTCACGAGCACACCGACTAAATTCGGCGGACCTTTCTGGTTGACGCGATAGGGATACGGTTGCGCAAGCTGTTGGAAGTTACTCCCTTGACGGTTTTCAAAGTGGCCAAGGGAGCAAAGCAAGAAAATCCTGAACGGCAAGAATCTAGTGGTGTAAGAAAAATTTCTAGTGGGTATCTAGTGGCATTACCAAGCTGAAAGTTTAAAAAAATTCCTGGTTGACGTTAAAGCAAAGGATCCAGCTGCTTGGCAGTTTACCTGGCTGTTGTATTGGAGCCAGAGCAAAAAGCGAAAATGCCGCCGCTGGTAGTGCAATACCAAGACCTCCTCGATCGTGGGGTAGCAGCTATCCTCCTGGTGCGTGGAGTACCTCCGGGGAGCCTATACGACGGGGGAGGAAATACCAAGTCGCGCCCCGAGATGTATCAGGCAGCAATCCAGAACAACTACCATTGTACTCCGCTGACAACGGTGACGTCTACGCTAACTGTGCCGGAGGTCAATCAGTTGCTCAATACGTATTTTCTGGATACCACTGGCACGAAAGCAGAAAATATTCTACGCTTCAAGGATTTCATCAATGGTCATCAGTTTGCACCACAGCAACAGCCTCCAGCAGCAGGAGGAGGAGCAGCGCAAAGCAGTGCTCCACAACCGCAAAAGCCTGTCAAGTTTACGTGCGAACTAAAAACGTATACGGACAGGAGACAGTTTGAAATCTTCATCGATGAGATCTTCGACACTTGTAAGCTACTACGCATTCGCGATCAGTTTCAAGCCCGCTACATACCTCAAGCAGGGTTAGTTTTGCCAGCGTTATCGGAACAGGAAGAAGCATCGTTTGCGGTTTTGACCAAGGCGATCAAGGATGCTCTATCCATCGGCATTCGTGTCGCGGTACTCGAAGAGATTCGTCAACAGCGCATGACTGACACGGCCTGGGATATCGTGAAATATATCCAGAAGCAAGTGAACAGTCTGGGCGCAGCGCAAGAAGATGTGGAGTTTGAAGAGTATAACCGATCTAACTGGAAACAGTACGGTGGTCCGCTACGTGATTACGCAGCAGAACTGAGACGCATGCTAGGTCAGTTGTCTACTCGGTTTCCCGCGGGGCCGCCGTTCGAAATGGATCTTCGACGCAAGATCATCAAGCAGATTGATACTTCGCAGACCGAGATCAGGATGGTTGTAGATCAAGTTCAAAATCGTGCAGTCACGCATGCTGAAGGTTCCGTCGAGTTCCTCATCACTGAGCTTACCCGCCGTATGGTGCGCACTGCTGGAGATTCGGAAAAACAGTGCGAAACTTACGCTGCTCTGGACGATGAGCAGAAGCAGCAGCAAGCTGTCCAGCAAGCTTTTGTCACTGGCAAATCGTTCGGAAAAGGAAAAAGTACGTGGCAAGGCGGTAAGTCCAGTTCCAAGGGGGGCAAAGGTGGTTACAAGCAGCCGCAAGAGGAAAAGTTTTGCAAGAAGTGCTTTGATCACTACAAGTCAATCGGCAAACAGCATGAGAAAGCTGCAGCTATCCGCTCGCACAATGTGAAAGATTGCAATCAACCTTGGAAGACGCCGATGAAGGTCGCCAACCACAAGGGAAAGAACAAGTTCAACAAGAAAGGCGGAAAGCACGACAAAGGAAAAGGCGCGAAGAAGTCTGATCCTAAATACAAGCAGAATCAGTGACTAACTTCTTCTAATGATAGTAATTCTAATAGTGAAAAAGAAGAAGTGAAGATGGATGTAGTCAAGAAAGTAAGTTGGTGGTCGAACTACATTCCATCTTGGGTAAGTGACAGCACCCGAGGAGTTATAAAAGCTGTTATCAAACGGGAGCAACAGTGCAAGCAAAGGATGAAGAAGATGAAGATGAAAATGAAGTCGAAGATGGATTTGAAGCCAGCATTTGAAGAAGTTGAAGATGGTTTTGAAGTGTTTTTACAAGGTCAGTTTTCCAATGGAGCGATCATCGACTCCGGGTCAAAGTTTCACATCTCTCGAATCGAGTCGGACTTCGACACACTCGAGGAAGAATCCAGAGTCAAGATTCAAGGCGTTGGTGGTATTGTTCCAGGTCGATTCGGCACCCTCAAGCCGAACGTGCTCGGAAGTCATTTAAAAGCGATTTTTGCCAAGGATTTACCCGTAGACCGACTGATAAGCGTCGGCGGTCTGAACTCAGCCGGATGGAGAGTAGTATTCGGAGCGGTTCCAGAAGGTTCTCACTTAGAGCACAAGTATCTTCGTGTGCCCCGGGTGAACTTGCAGAAATCCGCAGGAGGTTTGCCATATTTGCAAGATTTGTGCTTCGAAGAAAATAGTGCAAGTAGCTCGTTTGTAATCGACGAGTGCTATTCTGAGGATGAGCTTTTCTGTCCAGAAGTAGAGACTACAGATTGCGCCATCAATCAGCCTCCCATCGCAGCACTCTTAACGCGTAAACTGTCTGAGCGAGAACGGTATCTCGAGCACCTTCGCAATTGCCATCTGTATGACGAGAGGCTCGGCAAAGTCGATTGCCCGCACTGCTCGATGCAAAAAGCGAAAGCTGTGAGTCACAAGAAGGAACGACCTGAAGAATTCCATAATCCGCCATTTTTGGTAACAGCGTGCGACTTCTTCGGTCCAGTAGAGCCAACTTCCATCAGAGGAGCGCGATTAGCTTTGATATTTGTTGACGACGCATCCAAGTACGCAGTTGGTCGAGGAATTTCTTCGAATGATTTGGCTCCGAAAGTTCTGAAGGAGATCATTGAGGACCTTCGAACGAAGTTGGGCGCGAAAGGCACGAACATGACTCCAAGTGGGAAGATCATCGTTGCAGGTATCAGGTCGGATAACGAAAGCGTACTCCGTTCCACTGAGTGGCGATCGACAGCAAGCAAACTACAACTGAACGAGCTTCACAGTATTCCTTATAAGCCACAAGGCAACTCCGTCGTAGAGCGGTTAGTGGGGACACTAAAGTCGAACTTGCGAGCCAGCATGGCCGGCGTCGACTTACGATTGTGGTGTTGGTGCCTTGAGTACCTAATAATAATTTACAACATGATCCCCAGGGACATGAAGCGAATTCCACTGAAAATTTTCAGTGATGGAAGAAAGAAACGCTTGGCGCTTACTGGGGGCAACTCGAAGTCCAACGAGCAAAGCAACTCAGGGCGTCGGCGCGCGGTAAAAGCTAGTCCTCTGGAGATCCTCTTGAATTTTTCAGAGGACCCAATCACGATGATGAGATCTGCAGAAGGAAAACTTAAACACAGGCGCCGCTTCGGTTGTCTAGTGTTCTTCAAGGTCCACCCTACTCCTACGAAAGTCTTTGCAGACCGGCGCAAGCCAGGGGTGTTTTTGGGTTTCAGTTCGGTCAACTCCGCTTGGATAGTAGGAGGGATTGTTTCTGACGGCAGGACCAAGACGGGTTTTAAGTTCAACGTCTACGAAACGATCGACGTACAATTCCACGAGAATATATTGGTCGCTAAGATCGAGGACTTGCTCCAGGTTCCGGAGATTACTAAGTTGGAAGATGATTCGTCCGCTCGCATGCCGGAATATGATCCTTCTCGACCCTTGTCGCAGACGGGCGTGCTTGGAGAAAAGTGTGGCAGCTTGAAGGGTTCTAAGTACGAGTTAGTCATCTGGGAGCCTGAAACTAAAGGCCAGGAGCCTGTTACCGCGGGACAGATCGAGGCATGGGATCCAGTTAAAAAGGAACCGGCCCGATTTAAAAGAAGTAAGTCAACCACGACCGAGGAAAAAGCTCAAAATAAGTTCAGAAAAGTAGTGACATTTGGAGCAGTTACGAAGATAGCATACGATCCAGCAATAGCAGCAGACGATCAAGATCGTTCCGTACCACAAGAATCTAGTAGAGAGAAGTCTTCCTCCAGTAAAGATGTTCCGCAGTACATCCCTCCAGCACCTTCTTTTGCATCTAGTAGCGCGCAGAAGTTAGCTCCGCTAGAACGTTGTGACGCATACCAGACGACGCCGATCACTATGCCGCAGCACAGGCTTAAGAAACCTCGGTGGAAGAAGAGCAAGAACGCTTCCGCTACGTTAGCTACTGCTGTTTTCATTCTGGACCAGCTACAATTCGCAGCATCGTACGTGGCTACGCAGGAAGCTTGTCGTCAGCTAGAACAAGAAGAAGAAGAAGAAGGCGAGTTTCTTGGTGCTGAAATCATGCTAGCTGCGCAGGATGAAGATGGTTTCATAGGATCGGTTCCGCCTAAGGTCGCCATGAATCCGCAAAGCCCTCACTACCAGAAGTGGATAGAAGCGGATGACTTGGAAAGAACGAAGCTGGAAGCGTATCGTTGTTGGAGGAAACTAAGCGAGGACGAGGAAAAAGACTGGATGGATGGACGCCTCAAGGCAACCCCGACGGCGATTCTGTATAACCGCAAACGGGACGGTAGATTCAAAGCTCGGTTAGTCGTTCTAGGTGACCGATGGGATCCTGGTGGCTATCAAGAGTTATACAGTCCTACGGTTTCGCAAGTTGGTAATCGTCTTGTTCTTATCGAAGCAGCACGTCGAGGATGGGACATTATTCCGTATGACGTCGGAAATGCGTTCATTCGAGCTTCTATAGATCGCACAGTTCTAATCTCTCTGCCGAAGCAGTGGCGCGATGGACAGGAAGACCATGGCGTTAGGAGTTTACTTCGGGCGCTTTATAGGTTACCGATGTCACCTCGCTTATGGCAGAAACAGTACGCCAAGGACCTACAGGAGATGGGATTCGAAGAGAGCCTACTCAATCCCGGCATTTGGACTATGCGAGATTCTTCTGGTGAACTCATTGCGTTGCTGAGTGTTTATGTGGATGATTGCATTCTAGCCGCGAAGGACAAGGAGCTTACTAACGATTTGATCGATAAGCTACATGCTCTACACCCGTTATCCAAGATTAAAATGGATGAAGTTACCGATAAGGATGGCACTTGGCTTCACTTCGACATGCTTGGGGCAGACGTTTTCTACAATGCTCAAAAGAAGTCGGTGAAGATCACGATGGAGACTTACCTCAAGAAGATGCTCAAGACGTTCGGTATGGAGAATTGCAGCAGCTTACCGACTCCAGCCTTCGACGAAGCACTTCTTTACCAAGATTCGCCTCAGATCGAGTTCAACATTCGGCAGGTAACCGGCTCCCTACAATGGGCAGCTACGGTGGCCAGACCCGATTTAGCTCAAGTGACGAATTGTCTAGCGCGTGCGGCAAACCGTCCGCCAACCAAAGCAATCGTTGCAGCGTGTAAGCGTGTACTACGATACGTTAAGGGATCTTTGAGCGAAGGATTAGTTTATAGTCCCCATCAAGAGCAGGAGTTCCAGAACCTATTCAAGGACCTCTATCGCCATCCGGAGAATATTCAGATCAACGAAATGACTGAACAGGAGAAGAAGTTCGAGCCGAAGTCCTTTCACCCCATCCAGAGTTTTGGCGATGCAAGTTTTGCTTCTACGCTCGAATTCAAATCGGTTTCCGGTGTTGTCGTTTACTACTATGGCTGTCCAGTTGTATGGAAGTCCACGGCCCAGACGGTACGAAGTGGATCTACGTGCGAGTCCGAAATTGTGGCCCAGTCGGACCTTCTCAAAGTCTCGGAAGACATCCATGCAATTCGCCGCTTTCTTCGAGGTGTACCAGAAACAGGCGATGGAGACAATGATAAAGGACCTTTGTACTGTGATAGTCGTAGTGCTATAATTAGCTTAAAGAAAACCAACCTTAGTGACGTACCTAAAAAGAGTAGACACGTAGCCCTACGCTACATGCAAGTGCGGGACGACGCGCAGCGTCTTTGTTACGTTCCAACGGGCATGCAGAGGAGTGATGGTTTGACTAAGAGTTCGACCAATGGCCTGCTTTACAAAAACTTCTTCCATGTTCAAAACATGAAGAGAGATGCTAACCTTCCTACTTATTGTTTTCTGGCCTATGCAATTCCATACTAGGAAGGCATGTCTTACATCTTCAAAGTCATTCAAATCGCATGCAACAAACTCCATCTTTTGCCAAGTTTCACATCTTCAACACCAACGTCCGCGCTTGTATTATAACATTTTCCACTTTCTCAAAATTAACTTTTGCTACATTTTCCTAGCTTAGTCCGTATTAGCTAACAGCAAGAGACACACAGTACGACAAGCCAAAAATAATTAATGAAGAAATAACTAAACAGCTAGAGCAAGAAAAGCAAGAAACTACTACCAACAAACAAAGAAGTAAAACCACAAAAGTGAACTACTTAAACTTTACCTTAAGCCACTGGCTAAGTATACTCACTCGACAAAGTGTAAAGTTTAGAGTATCTAGCCTTGATAGGATTGCTTTTCTTTCTTTCGTTTTCTGCTCGGTCGCTTCAGTTTGGTGGAGGGCGTTACCTCTAACCCGTTGCGCATCGTTCAGTTTGCGTTTGAAGGGGGGAATGTCGATCCCCAAATTATGAATCATCTCAAGCATGAACATGAAGATCATCCTACCAGTACGGAAGTCAACAACTTAAAGATTTACGAACATCATGATCAAGGAAACAACAGGAACAAGAAAATCATAACGACAACAACACGAAGATCATCACCATCAGGATCAGCAACATCATCAACATCAACAACAAGATCAAAGTCTTAAGGTCTTAAACGTGTGCAGCAAGTTGCAAGTTGATGAGTTAAATAGTTGGTCCGGATCTAGTTAGCTTAGGCAGATGAAAGGCACTAAGCCCCAGGGATCTTCGTACTTAAAAACAACAAAAACCAAATATTTTGTCTTCTCAAATTTATCCTGTGCTTGTGCAGATTAGCACTAGTACACAGGACAGGGACGACATCGCTAGAATGATGAACTACATCATTCAAATCCGTAGCCATTGGGCTACCTTAAGGTTTATCTAATTTTGATGTTCTCCTGGCCGCAATAATAAACTCCAAGGGTGGAAATATACATCCTCTCGCGGCTCCGGGAGTGCCTTCGGCTTCAGAGCGGCACAGTGTTGATGGGGCAACTGCCTCTAGTACTACATCTGGTGGTCGTATAGGTAATATTAGCCCTAAGCAGGAGCTTCAACAAGCAGGAGAGGACGTAGGAGCTTCAAGAAGTTCAAGCTCATCAGGATCTAGCTCACCATCGATTCCACCAACTACTCCCCTCTTCACAACTAGGAGGCATAGAGCACCAGTTTCGAATTCAGACGTGGCCCATGGCCACAGTCCTGACGTGTCTAAGATCCAGCGGGAAATGATGCTACTGAACCAAACCATTCGCGGCATGGCTGAGGTGGTTCGCGCTCAAACGGAGTCGCAGAAGCGCATGCTTCACACGCCCACTATTTTAAAGGAGCCAGATAGCATGTCCCACGAAACACAGAAAAAACTTCTGACCGCTCAGAGAAACAGCCGTGCTGCTGCTGGCATCGTGGATCAAGACAAGAACAAAGTGAGTGGTGAAAATACCAATCAAAATTAAGGTCTATCAGCTTTTATCCATCTCTCTCAGCATGTCGATCATACCCTGTTCCCTTGTATTTCATGGGAAACAAGGGGTCGAGATGAGGGGGCCGCGATGGATAAAAGCTGACCCTGACGCTAACAAAACGAAGCCAAGGAACAAGAAAAGATTCATAACGAGAGTAAGGGCATTTTAGGAGGTCATGGTAAAACCATAGCGGCAGCGATGGGCTTGGGTGCTGCTGGTCTAGCAGGTTACGCTGCTTACAACACGATGAAAAACGCTCCCAAGCGCTACACTGCGAAATTGTATCGTCGTGGTTGGCAGGCCTCTTCGGAAGAGGAGAAAGACTACGCAGATGCTGACAGGGAGCTGGCTTTTAGTTAAGGCAGCTCAATGTAGTTTTTCATTTTCCTCTTCCTTTTCCTCTTCCTTTTCCTCTTCCTTTTCCTCTTCCTTTTCCTCTTCCTTTTCCTCTTCCTTTTCCTCTTCCTTTTCCTCTTCCTTTTCCTCTTCCTTTTCCTCTTCCTTTTCCTCTTCCTTTTCCTCTTCCTTTTCCTCTTCCTTTTCCTCTTCCTCTTCCTCTTCAATATAAAAGTGGGAAATGTAGTAGTAGTTGTGTCTGATTTCCACAGGTCCACCTCGTCAACACGACTTTCCTCCTTGTTCTTGGATGAAGATAATGAAGATGAGCTAAAAAAGCTAGTGCTATTGAAGTATTTAATGCTTTGATGTCAACCAGCGGCTCTAACGTAGAAAAGCTCAGAACTTGACGCTAGTCGAAGAGCCAGACGCAGTAACGATGTGGAGTCAGGCCCAAGACGCTGGCAATTTCGTGAAGGCAGGCATAAAAGGAGGCGCCGTCGCGGCAGGCGAAGCCTTAAAAAGTAAAGAAGCCGGCGATTTCCTCGCGTCAGCAGGGGAAGCCACAGGAGGAGGTCCCGACCCGAGAACGCATTCTGCTCTAGCAGAGTCGGCAGTTTCCGAGACACCAAAGTTAAGCGCTCTAGTTGTACTTGTACTGCTTGCAAGTTCATCAAGTTGGCCTTGGGGATCTCTCTGTATTAATATCAGTGTGATTTTCTTCTTCATTATATAATCAATCTATGTCTATGACCTCCTTATTATTTCAAGCAGAAGTACTTGAGTACAAGTACAACTTCTAAAGGTGCCTGAACTCGCGGATCCAGTGCCTTTTTCTGCTCTTGAGGTTGATGAACTAGATGGACCTACTCACTTTATGGCTTCCCCTATTCCATCTTTTACCCCATCTTTCTATGAGCTCGCTGCTTTCAAGTAGAAAAAGGGACACAGATGGGGGAGAAGATGGACTCCTGTAGTGAGCTCTAATAACTACGGGGAGTGGAGGCAGCCACGTTCCTCAACAGGGAGAAGAGGACGGGGAGGGGGAGGGGGACATCTTCACCAAGCAAAACAAGAACTTCATCAACATCTTGAAGGAGAACACGGACTAGTGCGAGGACCTAGAAGGAGAGCGACGAACTTCAGCCTTCTGACTTTAAGGCGTCAGACCACTTCCCGTAATCAAAATAATCCTCACCTTCGTTCGGATTAATAGGCATGTTGAAGCTCCTGATGTCATTCGATACGCATATAACTTTGTGCGAGAAGGTTCATTGTATTCTACAGAAATGTAAAGTCAGTCTTCGGTCATCTTCCTCGGTTCAAAAGCATTATTGTACTCTATTGCGTGATCTCGTCTGTGTCTTCTATCTCAGCTTGAAGAAATGGAGGACAACCTGGAGTGAGCGCTAATGAGGGGATCTAGCAGTGGATCGAGTGGAGGTCTTGCAGGGAGTGCAAGCAGTGGATCGAGTGGAGGTCTTGCAGGTCTTACAGGGAGTGCAGGTAGTGGTCCTAGCGGTGGATCGAGTGGAGGTCTTGCAGGGAGTGCAGGTAGTGGATCGAGTGGAGGTCTTGCAGGGAGTTCAGGTGCTGGATCGAGTGGAGGTGCTGCAGGTATTGCAGCGAATGCGTCGACTATTGCTGCAGCGAATTCTGCTGTCGTTAAGGCTTGTGGTAATCCATTTTCCGATTCTGAAACATCCTGAGTAGGCTTTTCCAGGTGGAAAAGGTCTCAGAATGATCTTCAGGATGGATTAGGCTGAGCTCTAATGTAGCTGCAAATCCTGCTTTATCGAATGCCGCGACACAACTCAAAAGTAATCCGAATAACCTCGCTGCCTTAAATGCGAATCCACAAGTGGCCGCTGCCTTAAATGTTAAGGATATAGTACGGATTTGGATTATCATTATTTGATGAACTGTAATATGGCTTGGACTTGGTTTTTGGTTTTTACTTTAGAAAAGGTAAGCGTGTTGCAATCACATTCAAGCGCAAAAATTCTTCCTATCGGCCTTGAGCACTAGCCTAAACCTCCCTAACCGCCGCCCGGTGGTAGCTTATATACTACTTATTACATGGCTCGTTAGGAAGATGTGAGTGAATGAATTTTTGACTTTGACTTAAGATGATCATCTTCATGCAGCCCGTTCTCATGCTTCAGAATTATCAGGACAATTTTTGTACAAATAGGGGAATGGCGACATCCACATCCACTTCCCTCATCTTTTCCTCCGTTGATTTCTCAATGAGCAGTGAGGAGATCATTTATATATATGAAAGCGGGATTCAGTTAGTACTAGAATACGAAACATATATATCTCACTCTCACCACTCAGACGAGGTTCAATTGTAGACTAAATTAAATTGTATTTGCAGGCACTAAGTAATTAAATATTGTTGTGCAGTACAATTGGAAAGTCGAAAATGATTTTTAAGTGAACCATCTACCCCTCAAGAACTCACATTTTTCTACTTCTTCTACCTCAACTTCTCAACTCTACTTCTAAGATTAGTCAAGGCGTGAACGCTGGAGCCGCCACCGCAGCGCTTGGTGCAGTTAGTACAGGCACGGGAAACGGTCAAAGCCCGATGATGGCTGGTCTAAGTGCATTGCAAGCCTTCAATGCGGGAAATAATGCTTTAAGGCATCCCAGGATTATCGTGCATCTCGTCTACGTATAGTATAGCACTCAAGAACCAACAGCATCATAGGTGCGCATCCCAATACATAGATACAAGGGCAGAAAGCATAATCGAGGCTGGTCTCCTTGTTAGTCACCGTCTTACACCATTCATCATCATCGTCATTATTGTCACTATATTGAGGCATACAGTATGCAGGTAAAACTGTGGACGGCGGATCGAGTTCTGTCCTATCCGGTGTATGATCCCAAACGACCCAATAGATGCAAAAGAAAGAAATTTATTGAGACTCTAAATGCTGCCGCAGGTGGAGGAACAAATACATCAACCGCTTCCGCCGCCGTTCAGGCTGCAATGGAACAAGCTGCCGGTGTTAACGGAGAAGTAAAGTCTATTAAGGGAAAGGGACCACCTGCTCAGCAGGATATGTTCACTCATTTAAGTAACATTTGCACCACCTCAGGATATGGATGCTTATCATACATAACCAAGGATATTAAATTATAACTTATTTAAGTGAAGATGTTTTGGAAGACGTTTGTTGACTCAACGTTTAATATTTATCTCTAATTTTTTTCCAGACCCTTTTCTGCGAGGGATTGACCAAATGGGCACGCGCATTCTGATGGCCAGATTCAAATTATGGGTTGAAACATTTCATTTCTGGAAGCCTTTGTCACTCAGCCTTGGCACTGCGAAATGAATTGTCTCAACCCTTTAAGTAAAGCGGAAAACAAACTGAAGGCGTTCGAACTGAATCCCACACTCGTCGAAAGGGCAACACTGATAAAACGTCTCAACATTAAGGCAAGGGCTATCAATCATGTAGTACTTGTTAGTGTTAGAAGTCTGTCTAAATCATTCCTTGTCATTGTACGTAGTCTGTCGCACACTATCTACTCGAGGTCGTGTGAAGCTGGTGGTTGTATAAAAAGTGGAGTGTAGAAGTCACCATCTTCTTTATCTATCCGGAGGTGTGAAGCTTGTTTGATGTTGTATCCTAATAAAAAGTGAGTCTATCAATCTGGAGGTGGGAAGCTTGTTCGTTGTATCCTAAAAAGTGAGTCTATCAATCTGGAGGTGTGAAGCTTGTTCGTTGTATCCTAAAAAGTGAGTCTCTATCAATCTGGAGGTGTGGCTATTTTGACTAGCTCTTCCTTTAAGATTGAAGACTACACCGAAATAATCGATGGGCATTTACCTCAGGATTGCGCCTTAGGGTTTCAGGACCACGTTGCAGAGGGAGAGAACAGCGTGAACCGGTTAGCCTTTCTTTAAGGCAATGAATGCTGTGGATTATATGGTTCTTTATCTACAGCAAGTGCAAGAACTACATATTTTTCTTCACGGAGTGAGACTCAAACTCGATAAGTTTTTTATCTTCATCTTCTTCTTCACGGAGCGATTAATATCCTTGCTAGCATATCGTTTTCATACCGAATTCTTGCTAGGATTCCGAGGATAGAAGTATGTGTTGTACGAAATATCAGCCTACACTTACTTAGAAGATGAAAAGTTACCAATTATCGTGACCTCCTGGCAACATTTCTTGATGTTAATTCATCCATTAGAGCCTAGTGCAACATCATGCTTGATTATATCGTGACCACACCCTCTCCCTCTAATATCCCTGTCCGGCGAAGGCTCCTAAAGCTGTGAAAGCTGGCGTGGCACGTTGTATGGGAATACAGTGCAAAGACGAGCCAGAAGACCAGAAGCGGTGCTGCGTGACCCAAAGTGGGAAGTTACCACCTCAACAATGTAAATTAAGGCTCCAACCTCCACTTGAATCAATCCCGTGAAATAAATACTAAAGAGCAGGTAGCCCGTGCCAGGAGAGTCTTGGACGGGAGGTACTGAGGCAAGTACAGACCCTTGCTGAGGCAAGTACTGACTCCTCGAGTATATTAATTTTCATTTTGTTTCACGGGATTAATACTTCACGGGTGGACGGGTTAGTGCTAGTTCTAAGTAAAGAAGCGTTCGAAGGCTTCCACCAATCTGGGGATGCCAAAGTGACCGAGACCACAGGTACACGCACATCAAAAGTTCCTTGTTTAGCAGGCTTGATTTAGTTTTACAAGTACGAACAACTTGTTAGTACATAAGCAGAAGATGAAGAGTTCTTGTCCAAAGGTGCATCAGACGTTTAGAGAGACCACTGCTTTCTAGGCTACTAGGAGAATTGTACATGGAAGAGATGAAGATTTTCGTTTTGCTTTTGTGAATCCTCAGGTGGTCGTATCGGAAAAATGATGTGTCCAGAAGCTGCTTTGCCCCAAGAACTCCACTTTCCATCCTCAGGTATTGGCAAAATGATGTGTCCTGAAGCTTTACCCGAGGTGAACGACTTCGCAGTGTGCGGAGCTGACTGTGCTCGTGAGACAGATGAGCTGAAGTGCTGCATTCCCGCTGGCTCTATCGACGGAATGAGAGGGAAAGTGGACACAGCTCTAAAAGTTCTGGAGCATGCAGAAGCGAACGCGCAAGTGTGCGAGGAGGGATTTATGGATTTCGATCCTCTGGGAGTGCGTATGCCTGGCATCGGATATGTCGAATTGAGTTTAAGGCTAGTTTTTCGAGGAATGAATTAATATTCTTTTTCTTGATCATGTTAAAGAGCATCTTCCATGATGAGCATCCACCCAAATAAAGCAAAAAGAAGCATTGATTAATTTGATTAAGGGGACGTGCGCCTACGACTACGAAATCGAGAAGTTCTACACCATCTTAATTGTGGAGGTTTTCAAAGAACAAAATGCTTTGCTGTTTTTAAGAGGGCGCTCTTGTGTAAGAAATATTACACAAGAACCTGTAAAGAAACACGATCTTTCTTCTCGCCTTCTAATAGAGCACAAGAATGGGAGCAAAAAGACGAGGGAGAATATGTGTCCTGAAAAAGTGCCAAAAGTGCGACACGATCCCAAGGCAAGGTGTGTTGGGCAGAAGTGCGAGGAAACTGCAATTAACTACAACCAGTGTTGCGTCACGGAAAGACAATCGAAGCAAGAAGCAGCAACTCTAGCGGCTTATGATCTTGTTGTTGATTGATTCAATATTGAACTGTAAGTTTGTTAGAGCAGTTAGTTACTTTCCTCTACATGATCTTCACACTGTCCCCAACGACCGATTTAATTCTTGATTTTTGAGATATTGATGATGAGCAGGTGGAGCTTAATATGTTGACTAGCAGCTGATAAAGAGCCTACTAGTACTATTTATTTAAGTATTTATCTGTACTTTCTTCTTTCTATAGAAGTAAAAGATAGTCTACAACAACACGACCTCGACCTGCTTCCAATTTCATCCTCACCATACTCACCCGACTTACGCTACTTCTTCTAGTTCCCAAAGTTTCTGTTAGTTTCTTCTAACACAACAGACCAGTGTCCTTTCCCGTAGTCTAAAATCTCTTCTAGATGATCTACTTCTGGTCCCCACTTTCTTCATCTGTTAGTTTCCTCTACTTCTTCTTCTAGATCTAGTAAGTCCCCACTTTCTTCATCTGTTAGTTTCCTCTACTTCTTGTTCTTCTAGATGATCTACTTCTAGTCCCCACTGATTTCATCTGTTAGTTTCTTCCTCTAACACCTCGGACCTGTGTCCTTACCCGGTCCTACGAAAGTCCCAGACCTGCTATCTCTCCTGGAACACGCAGAAGCCGAAGAGGACGACTTCGTTTCGGAGAAAAACATGAAAGGACCACCAGCACCGAAACCAAGTGAAGAAGTTAAGGCGACGAAGGGGTCAAGTTCTTCAATTATAGATACTTATCTTCTTCTAGATCTAGTAAGTCCCCACGTTCTGTTAGTTTCCTTCTCTAACACCTCGGACCTGTGTCCTTACCCTCAGACTCCTTCTTCACAATTATAGATACTTATACTCATATCTAAATCTATCAGTCGTCTTCAATTATACTTATAATCATATCTAAATCAAATACTTATTCTCATATCTAAATCTATCAGTGAGAGTGACCAAAAATGAGATGATCAAATTGGTGACCAATGAGAAGATGACTTCCGAGCAGAACCTCTAAAGCAGGGTGGGCGATCTACGGCGACCGGAGCTGCACACCAGCTGAAGTTCTCCAGCGTGGTACAGTGGAGGCCAAACAGTACGAAACTGCTTCGACAATATCATCCGATCCACTAGCTTCGCTCGAGGACCGCAATAGTCTTGCTACAAGATGTATCAAAGTTAAGGGTACAAGAAATCCATCTTGCTCACAGGCATCTACTTGATACACGAAATGCAAACGGAAGTAGTAGGTTACTGGTCTTCTATACTACCCCTGGAGTTAATATACTACCCGCCCTGGAGTGGGTGCAGGCATTCAAATATATCTTGTTCACAGGGGGGCATCTTGATCCCCTTGTTTTGCCTTTTTATTTATTCTCATTATTAAATTGAATACACTCAAGGGGAAACAAAGGGGTCGAGATGACGGGACCAAGATGGGTAAATGCTGACTCTAACAAAGCTTGCGCGTTGAACAAAGACTGCAAAGGGTTTGGTCTATTTTACCCAGCTTTAAGGCAAGCTGCTGCTGCGTATAATTTTCCGTCGATTTTTCCTAAAGTACCTAGAATTTCCTCCTCGACGATCCTACTACATCGAGCAACTACATAATATTATTTTATTCAAAAGGGGGAAATTGAAGTCAATGCTAAGAAAGGGATACCGATACGCGATGTCGTGTTTCAGATATTCATAGAGTCATTGAGAGTGGAGTTGTCGATGACGCTTCTAAATTCGGTAGCGGTAAACGCAAGCGACGAAAAAACGACAGCAGCAGTTACTCCGAAGGTGCTGCATGTGTCCACGATTGAAGGCGCATCATCCGGTGGCGCTACTCTTCCATCAGCCGTTAACGGCGACTATGAGTTCCACGAAGAGAAGTGGACCCAGTATAATCGTTGGGGTTACACCGGCCCGCAGATCGACGCCATACGGAAGTACTATATTTTGCCTCAACATAGAGGCACACAGATTAAAATGGTCGGACTTTTTACGCCCGCATACGATTACTACACTTAAGGCGAGTTCATTCTTCATCTAGAAACAGAGACCCAATAAACTATTCTATGTCTATTAGAATTAGAAAATGGATATGGTTGTCGTGGATATGTCGTGGATATGCAAGAAAAAGTAGTAGTGGAGTAGTCTTTTATACCCCTGGAGTGGGTACATTCGCTCATTCACTCATTCAACACTCATTCGTGGGGCTTCCCCTTTTTTCGCTTTTCCTTCTTACTTGGTAGAGACGCCTACATTCCGGATATTCCCTTACCTTTGTTCCCAATGACCATGACGATCTCTGATGCAAGGAGTCACTTCTGAAGTACAAGTGAACCCCTGTTTTTAGTCTTTTCAACCAAAGGACTCCTTCTCCCGAAGAAGCCTAACCTAACTCTACCGTTTTCTCTCATAGTAAGTTCGCCCCGTATAATTGAGCTCCACCACTGTTTCATTACTTTGTTACGCTCCCGCTTCTCCTCGTCCTCCTCCTCCTCCTTTTTCTCCATTTTCTCCTCCTCCTCCTCCTCCTTTTTCTCCTCCTCCTCTAAGACCCTCGGCAGTCAGGAGAGAAAGGTCGTTATTGGTGGCAATTGAAGACTGCTACACCACAGCCCCAAAGTTTTCGAATAGTACATAGCGAGGACGGAACAAAATGGGAAATACAGATGCTGCGATATATTTATGGCTGACGCTGACAACGAACAGTAGGTTACTAACGAAGTTGTTCAGTAGTTGTTCAACATCGTAAGTCTAAGTTGTATTTAGTCTACTAAGTCTTAAGAATCTAAATCTTTTTCTATTTGGCCCCTTTGGCTTTGGGTTTGAATTTGATTGATAATGTTGAAACTAGGTAGTAAGCAAGGCATCAAAATAGACCCCAGCCGAAACATCATTGATTCGTTTCGCTTCAAGATGAAGCTGAATAGGAATACTTCTTCAAGTTGAAGCTGCAAAATATTTTTCTTAAAGTACTCGGTTTTTGTTTTTTCTAATTAGGTATGCTCCACCAACTTTATTAAAGGCACTACAGGTACAACTACTAGTACTACTATTCTACTTATGCGCCGTATGCGTGAGCGTAAGGAGGTCCGTCCACGACCTCTAAGATTTACCAGAGAAAGCTGCAGAAAACGCAGGAAAACAACCAGAATGGAACAGGAATACGCCATCGGGTGCAACTCCAGATCTTACGAGTACCGTTGTCCTCGGCCAAGCTGACGCTGCAATTCCAGCACCACCAAATGAACCGCAGGCACAACCACTGCCGCAGGATTTATTAAGGCATTGCCGCAAGAAAGGTTCATCTAGTGAATGGTTCTGGTATTTGGTAACCTGAATTTGATCCTAAGGGAAAACAAGAAGAGAACCCTTAGGATCAAACTCAGGTTACCAAATACCAGAACCATGCATCTAGATTATTAGTTTAAGTATAATGGCGCCTCCTATTTTGGTTTTGGTAATATTATTCCTTTTCCTTTACCTACTCCTATGTATTGTTCAAACTCAAACTCGATTAAATCTAAATCAATGTGGTAGATCTACGTCTTATACATAGTACATCAACGACCTCGTCCACAAAGTTCGTCACGAGGAGGTCTTCTCATCTAATGTTCCTTGCCACGGTAGGAGAACCGAAGAATGTGCAACCTGACTACGTGCCGAACGCCTTCAAAAATTACGGCTACTGCTGAAGCATATCCTTAACACCATCCTCCTTGGTTCCTCGTTTATTCAAGGGAAAAAGAGGCGTCAAAGGACTATTTTGTCCCGCCACTTGCAGGCTAGTCGTCCCACCATGTTGATGATGATCAAGGACGATGCAACTTGGTAAATCTAAAAAAACGGCTTTGGTCGCCCTCCAGAAAGTGGCTGGCATAGCTTTAGCGGTGTCGAGTTGCCGAGCTTCCGCACCAAGTGGATGGGAGAGGGAGCTTTCTGTCAACAGTATGGAACCCTCAACGACAGTTCCCTAATGGGTCGTGGCGAAGGTCCGAGTAGTGCAACACGGAGTAGGGAGTGCTGGGTCAAAGACGTCTTCTATTTCGACGATAAAGAACATGTAGAGGACACATTGGGAAAAGAGGAAAGTTTCTGCGTTATCAGAGGTGGAATGGTAGACTCCATGCATTCTACGTTGCAGAAAGCACGCGCGCGGCTGGACCTAGTATTAAGGCTCCAAAGTCAAAGAACCCTATCCCTACACCCCACGTGGATGAGAGAGTCCCGTTAAAGTACTGCGCTTTTAGTGCCTGGCGGATTTTCGCGCTGTACTGAGGCTAGGAATCTGGTCTGAGTATTTTAACCGGGCCTACTCACGGGATGGGTTCCGGGTAGCTCTAATAGTAGCGCCAGCCGGAGCGCTCGACAACACCAGTCGCGCAGTTTGCCGAGTGACGCGAAAAATAGGCACGAATATCGGTGGGGAAGGGCCTGCGCCTAATGCACCAGCTGATCCTAGTGCACCAGCTGATCCTAGTGCGGTAGCTGATCCCAAACCCAATGCACCAGCTGATCCTAGTGCAGGTCCTAGTGCAGCAAAGGACGCCTCCTCTAGTGGTCCCTTACAGATAGAAATCGAAAATCTAAGTGATCCGGAACTCGATGAAGCAGGTGGAGATGGTGGTGGTGGTGTAACGCAGAGTGTGCGAGACGAAAAACAGGGGTGGAACGCAGCGTGGAAGGACTCAGCTGCACTCGATGGACTGAAAAACACCTGTCGATAAGGCTCTAGAAGTACCTGTGCTGTAGAAGTACCTGTGCTGATAGATGTGGTAGTTTTACCTTGTGATTTGAATCTCTCTCACTAAGACTAACTAGCACGACTAGACGGACCATCACTTGTTCTAATGTGAAAGCGTATGCACTCGTGGGAAGCCAGCATACTATTTGAAATGCGGAAAACCGGAATCTGAAGATCAGACGCAGTCAATCGTGAGGATTTCATCTGGCGACAGAGGACATCATAATCCGTTTGACGGCGAATATCGGAAAACGCAAAATTTGAATGGTGAAGAAGCTTTGCAGATACCTGAATTTTGGAAAAAAGTTGTTGCCACTGACGCTACTAGTGCTGAAGGCGAAGGAGGAGCAGGCGCTTCTGGTGCTGGAGGGCAATCAACTGAAGTAGATAAGTCGACAATTTTTCGCATTGCTAGAGGCGAGTTGCCGGCCTCAGGCGCAGATCGGCCGCCAAGAGCTGCGTGGCTGCTCCAACGACGAAAATGGGCTACGCCAGCTCAACATGAAGGACAAGTGATCAGTTGGGAAAAAGCGCCATTTGGCACTGAAGCTGCGAAAGTTAGGGCTTGCTTTCCCAATTTAACTTGACCTTATAGAAAATATTTATAAGAAATATGTAATACGTAAGATGCACCATGATAGATCATCCTCCCCTTGTTAATATTTGGGTCTCCTACGGACCTCGCCTTTTCTATGTCTTTATAAGGGAAGAAAAAAATTGTGTCTAGGTCAGAGAAGATTTGACTTAGAAGTACTTGCGATGAATATGGGCAAGAAAATACAGGTGTTCTAAGAAACATCAAGAATTTGAGGACGAGAGCGTGGCATTCGCACCTGTAGTAGGAGATGACTTTGAGCATCCGGCTGCCTTTGGTTGGTCAAAGGACATGAATGCAAGGTCGGCGGGAGGTGGTGGTGGTGCAGATGATGCTGCTGGAGAAGGAGATGATGCTGGTGCTAAAGCTGAAGGAGGTGTGGATGCGGAAGGAGGTGGGCATTCTGCAAACGGTCAGAAAGCCAATAAGAAGAAAAAGACGGGTAACGAAGTGAAGAAACTAGCAGCCCTTGAGATCGATAGAGAGGAGGAAGGGTCTTCGGATAAAATGGGTAAAAAATTTAGTAATTTCGCTGCCGACGATGACGATAAAGACGCTTCGACTAAAGAAGGTCAAAATATGAAGCAAGGCGGGGATGGTGGTGGGAGTGGTGGTGGTGATAATGGAGCAGCAGCAGACGAATCTAGTAGTGCAGGAGGAGGAGTCGCAGCTAAAAGCAAACTAACGCTGACCTACGAAGCAGGAGAGGGCGTCATGTCTGCCAAACTCTGCCAGTCTGCAAAGACAAAAGCGGACTGTGCTACGCATCTTAGCGCTGACGGTCAACACTGTTGTCACTGGCTTACAGAGGGAAATGGCAAGATGACCATTCTGAAAGACGCCAACGATGTCCTTGTTAAGGCCTCACTCGGACTCGATCCATCTTCGGAAGCATCTCAGGGACGTTGTCAAGGGGAAAACCGTCCCAGGACGCACTTCGAGATGGATCAGGGTGAGCTCTAACCTTGGAGGTGGAGGCGAAGAAGGCGATGAAGGAGAGGGTGGAGACGATATTAAGGCACTGACGAAAACCGTGAAATGCGTAAGCGCGATTAGCAATAAGCGTTGTGACCGTCCGAATGCTGGTGGATCTGCGGACGAAAAATTCCTCAGCAGGCAAATGTATGAAGATGTATCCGAGAATACAAAATTTAAGGCTCCTCCTAATCCACCTCGTGAAGCATCCATCCTGGGTACTTAGGCTCTTCAAGGGGAAAAAGGTCCCAGGATGGTCCTCAAGGCGGATCAGGGTGAGCTCTAAAAAATGCGGCAACGGCGAAGTTGGTGTCAGAAAACTAATCGGCGCCACTGCTGCGGAGCAATGTGCGGCTCTTGTGAGTATGGACCCTCAGTGTGGCGATCATGACCGAGAATTGAAGTACTTCAGCTTTCGACCTGCGGCTAATCAGGAGAACAACTGTCGCTGTGGCATACTCGACAACGCCGAGTGCAATGGTGTTATGGCGAAATAAGGCTTTCACTCTTTATCTTTCGATGAAATCTTCAACTTGTTCATACATAATTCACTAGCGTCTCAACATTGGATCTGCAACAGCACATGCTTCCACAAGCTTCCCCTTCCTCACTCACAATCGAGGAATCAATGATAAAATAAGTGCTGAGTCTAAATCTAAATTCTTCCCCAATAAATTGTTCTTCTTGTGCAGACTGTCTGATCCTCGTCGTCCTTCTTCTAACATCGGTTCGATGCCTTTGGACGAAACCGAGCGCGCACAGGTGGGAACAAATGTCTACCGCGTAGCGCGTCATCCGAAACCGCCAAGCTACAAGACGTTTGGGGTACCGATTTGGGGTGACGAAGCTGCCGATGCGTCACAAATACCAGACAGTTGTCAAGCAGTGGCCGCCACGAAGTTCGAGCTCTTTCCTGGGGAACGAACTGCAGACGCGTTAGTGCAATTGGGCTTTCTAGATGCGAAAGACCTAGATACAGCGCAGAAGAGTGCAACCCAAAACGCGTTGCAAGAGTTTACTTAAGGCTAGCTTACCGTAAAAATTCATCTTGAGAAGCATCTTCAACATCTATGCATCATTTATTCATTCATCGCACAGTAAAAGCAGGCCCTCAAAAATTCACAGCTTCACACGATAAACTGAAACTGAATGAGTAAGGTCCAATCCACCCGTATCACGTTTAGCAGAAAAGGTCCCCTCACGTTTGAAATAGTTGTATGGTTCCCTTTTCTTTAAAGAAAAGAACACGCGTCAGAGTAAGATGCTCTTCATACTACATAGGCAAATTCAAAAATTTTTATGCCTTTGCCTAGGCCTACACTACATCTAATCTACGCCTCTCCCGGTTAAGGGGAACATTTTTGCGGTGACGGCAAGTGGACCAGATTTCTTGAATGGATCCATCGCGAATTTAGCATCGTCACAGGCACGTGGGAGCCAGATATTAGATAACTACGGAAAATTCGGCATGAACGCTGCAAACATGGTAGGCTTAGGAGGCGTTGCGACAGGTGCAGTGGGAATGGCTAAGGGTGGCGCCAACGTCCTCGGATCCGTAGCGCCAAGTCCTTTGAAATTAAGCGTTCTCAGATGAGTTACATATGTTCTCAGATTAGTTACATATAGATTCATGCCACCTGCTCAATGGTGCCAACATTCTTTACAACCTCTCACTGCCATTAGTGCCGCCGGTAGACTAGGAGTACTACTCGGAATGCCACTCAGTCGGTCACTCTTTTACATCCTCGCGCACGCTAACATATTATACCACGATCCTTGACGTAGAGGTAGACGCTGAGGACATGTTTGAAACAACAGTAGGAAATGAAAAGTCAACCTTCATGTTGATCTGAAGAATGCATCTTTCCTAGTAGTAGTCAACGTTGAATGTTGTTGATCTGACTCTGAAGAAGGCAAGAATGACTCTGAAGAAGGCAACGAACCTGCTCTAATCAAAGGAATCGCAAACACGGGCATGACCGCAGGGACAGTAGGCATTGGAATGGCTGGAGGCTTGGGCAGCCAAGTCCAAGGCGCCGCCACAAGCGCTCTGGGGGGTGGGAAGACAGCGCAAATGCTCACATCTCCGTTGAATCCGTTGTTAAGGCTTTTATTATTTATAGAGTTAGAGAATTCTTCCATCTTACTTAGTTACTTACTCAGTTTGACATACTGCATCGATCGATTTGTATCCTGGTTCAAAAGTTGTATTTTGCTGGGGTAGCATAATCATAATGGGAATGGGTATTTTGCTGGGGTAGCATAATCATAATGGGAATGGGTATTTTGCTGGGGTAGCATAATCATAATGGGAACGTCTAACATTAGGAATGATGAGCGGAACGCCATTTGCTGGTATGCCTAACGCAGTCGCGGCGAATCCTGCGATGCAGGCAGCAGCAGGAGTTTCTAGTTTGTTATGAAGGGAGTAACGAGAAATGTTGTACTTTGTATGATGCCACTCATTGAGCACGAGTAGAACGAAGATATGAAATGAATGTCGCTCCCAAGTAAGAACGCAAAGAGGGAACGACATTCCCATATCGACATTCTTAATGAGTGGAAGCATTCAAATACTCGTTGTTGTAGGCAACTCACCAAATTATACAGGAGATGTTTTATTTCACGAACTTCTCCTTCTGAGGTACGCTTTCAACAAGTACAACAAAAGATTTATTCTAATGGGTCTTCTAGTACCTCCTGTTGGATTTTCAACATTCCTCTCTTCTGGATAGGACCCCTCTCCTGTTTCTTTTATCTCTAACCCCAGCGGGAACGGGGCCACTGATGGGCACTTCAATGCTCGAAGTGGGACACACTTCAATGCTCGAAGTGGGGCATGGTATTTTAGCGTCAGCTTTTTTCGGTCTTGCGGCCATGTCATCTGTCTCATCCATTCGAGGAGGAGCCCTTACTAGAGGTGGTGGAACAGGAATTATGTCTCAACTTTCATTGGTCATCATTTAGATTGGGGTCACTGGTGACACCGAAGAGGAAGACCCCTTGGGAGAACAGGGGAAATATAGGGAGGGAAAACAAGGGCAGAGGCATGGGGCATTTTTCTTTCAGAATCAGTGACCACTGACTGCTGGCCTTTAATGGAAGCAGTTTGCTAGTAGGACAGGGCGACCCCTCAATGTTGCCAGCATCTGCCGGCAGTAGTAGTTCTGGCACAGGTGCAGCTAGAAAGACTTTTTTGCAGGCACTATTTGGAGGAGGTGGAGGACAGGAAGATGCGCTAGGAGGTGCTGGCTCGTCTTCAAATGCTGTGGTAGATCATCGGAGTAGTCGTAGAAGACTACACAGAACGAAAACGATGTTTGTAGGAGGACCTGGCACAACACCATCACCAAGTAAGATGAAAACGAGCTCTATGGACTTCTTATCCCTCGAACAGTGCGGAGGTAGCAGTTCCTCTTCAAGTGTTCATGGCAACGGAGGAAACCACTGTCGCTATAGAAGAAGAAGAACGAAAACAAGTAGTAGCTTTCTTCTTTCAGCAGAAAGTGCCCATCAAGATGTACCGGATGCTACTCGAACAAGCTGTACTAGAAGTACTTCTTCGATGAAATGCAGTCGAAATAGTCGGCGAACAAGCGCTACAGTTAGTTCTTTTGCGGATGTGGATGCAGATGCAGGCGCAGGCGCAGGCGCAAATGCAGATGACGCGGCGGCTACTGCAACCGGACAAGATGACGCGGCGGCTCCTGCAACCGGACAAGATGACGCGGCGGCTCCTGCAACCGGACAAGAGGAAGCCGAAGCGACAGAGGGTGGAGAGACTGAAGCCGGGGCAGGCGCAGAACAACAGGATGCTCCACCTCCGGCAGACCCTAGTCCACCTAAGATTCTGTTCCACCTAGATGCTCCAGCGGTTGTTGAAGGTTCAGAAAGGGGCGAGACCGCATCTCTGGCAACCGCCACACCTGATAGCCCAGTTACCGCACAGTCGTCCTCTGCCCAACAGCTTGTTTCTTCTCTAGTATCCCGCGCAATAGGCAATCTGGTGTGGACAGCGAACAAGCAGGTGGAGAAATTATGGCATCTTACTCGTCAAAAAAAACACCTCGTCTAAGCCTATGTCTAATTAACTCACACTCAGTATCTATGTATATAATCTCATTCTCTGCAGCTACAAGTATCAAGATTATCAACAACATCTACTCAAGCACAAAAGTTAACGTCCTATCGATCCCTTCTAATCCCAGCAGTACCAACGTTGCGAAACGATTGTGCTACAAAGGTAATGCGTGACCTGGAATGTGGATTGCGGGATACAGACGGAGGCACCTTCGAATTTGATGAAGAGAAAATTAAGGCACTTTACTATCTCGTGGTCTAATATCCTATTTATTATTCCAGAAGAGGGTCCAAGAATGATAAGGACGACGAGCAGAATGTTCCAGCCTCTAAGTAGATGCATTGTTACTGCGGTCGAAGCGGCGCGAAAAGTTCTGGGGGGACAGACGATAACAAGAACACGAATTTTGGGATGACTATGTTCCAGAACGGCGATCAGAGAAGCTCCAAGAATCTCTATCATTATGGTTTACTTTCTTCTTCTTGATCTTGTCTCATCTAACATTATGACTTCCTTGTCTCTCTTACTCTTCAAAACCAATGCTTTTGCTTTACTTTCTTGTCTCTGTTTCTCTTTCATTATGCTTTATTTTCTTGTCTATGTCGTCTTCGTGTCTCTTACTCTTTAAAGGTTTAATAAACATATCTCTTACAACTGATACTGATAGTGATACTGCTCTTCAATGTTTAAAAAATACTTTATTGCAGCTTTCTTGCGCTTGCAATTCTTTCTGTCTTTCTTTTTGCGCTTGCCATTCTTTCTGTCTTTGTTCATCAGTTCTACAGTTTGTCGTCTAAAAAAAACTGAGGATGATTACTACGCACTAACTACACAAAGGTGGAGCATCATCTTGACCTTAACTTTTCGACCTTAACACACCTCTCTTTTCTTGTAGGAGCTACGACTTCATCATCATCTGTCCTATCCTATCGCTGAATGGTGCTGGTATTTGGTAACCTGATTTTGATCATAAGGAAAACAAGAAGGGGATCCGTGTGATCGCATTCAGGTTACCAAATAGAAATACCAGAGCTGCAATACAATCGCGTGACCCTTCTCGAAAGGTCTTTCGTATCGCATGACCCTTCTCCAAAGGACACGAGTGAGATGATCTCATCTCTCCTGTATGGCGCTCTCTACTCGTCCCTCTCTAATCCTGAGCCATCCAAGTGAAGACGCTGAACGACAAGATTGTTGGTCGCATGGATGCCTTGGGACAGACAGGTAGTAACGTTGGTAGCGCGCTGTCGCATCCATTCAGACAATTTCTTCCTCCGGGAGCAGAAGACAAGTTCGATGCAGCAGGAGGAATCTTACGGCAGCATCCTCCAGCTCTAGATCTAGTCCATCTTCTTCACATTGAGTATAATCTAATCCATCATGTTCACATGCCACAACATCACATCCTGAGGAGAACATTTCCCCTTTGAAAGGGGAGTGGGATCAAAGGGAAGTCAGAAGGTTCTACGTCGGGTAGAAACTCATTTGTTCAGACGAAGGCACTAGAAACATTTCGAAGGCGTCAGAAACGTCAGAAACGTCTTTCAGAATATTCTTCTTCTTCAAGATGGATTTAATTTTAAATTGTAGTGGTCTAATCTACGGCTTTGCTGCGAGTGGAGTTACAGCTGCGGTAGATAATGCCGCTGCAGGTGGGGACGCGGACGCAACTGCCGACGCGGACGCAACTGCCGACGCGACAGACCACCCAGATGCTTCAGCAGCGGGCGAACGTAACTGGGTGGCCCCTGCAGATGGCGAGGACGCAACAGATGCGACTGGTGATGCAGAGACTGCCGACGCGGACGAGACCGCAATTGCATAGTGTTAGTGAAGAGGACTAAATAAGTATCCGAAGTTGATGCGAAGTAGCTGGTCATCATCTGCGTCGAGTGCACTTGATGTCGATGGTGGGAGTCATGGCTACCTAATTCTATAATGTGATGAAAATCTTCTAGACGAGAAATGATAATGAAGTTAAATCTCGTCCTCACACTCTTACTCGTCATAAACGTAAGCTGCCCCTGATCAATGTCAATGCTACGTAACAACAAAAAATATTCCAATGATCAGTCATTATGACATAGCAGAACTACTCTTTTTTCACTTAATATTGTTCCAATTCCAATTCTTTGTCTTCCCGATTTAGGAGTTCCAAGAAGAAAGTTGTAGCTCGCTATCCATTCTCATTCCAATATATTACAAGCGTAAAAAATACAGTTATGCAAACAGCTCCGTAGTAAGTAGTCGTCCCAAGAAAAATTGTGCTGTCGTGGCTGATTTCTTTCCCATTCCGTTCGTTCCCATTCCAACTCCAAGATGATAACTAAGACTTAAACTTAAAGTGCCATACTAACTTCTGATACAACGACCAGCATGTTGACGAAGATGCTGTTCGCCCGGGCTTGAAGACTCTAAAGCAGAACAACAAATGCACAATTCATGACAGGTGAACTGGAGTTTCATTCATGTTGTAAGTACTTGCTGAACAGGTATTTGATTCATCTCCTGACAAGACTTTGACTTCTCCTAGCTCTGAAACGACCGGTCTATCAAGACAATCGTCGACAATCGTCGACAACAAAGACAGATGTAGAGGATGCTGCGTTGACGATGTTGTATCATGTGTAAGTAGGTTCATCAATGAATGTTTGAATGATCAGCAATATGAGCTCGTGATCTTCAAATTTTTAGATCAAGAATTTACGAATACGATTGCAAGAAGAAAATCCATCATCAAGAAAAATGGTAGCAGCACCAGCCAACACAAACACGACTGTGAGGACCAGTGAGGTTTCGACCGGACCTTGTGCCGCCACTCTCGGTCCGAAATTAGCGCCTTTTAATCCCAGCGGCGACTTCGTAGTCGAAGCAGCTTTGCAGTTTTTAACTTGTCATGAGGACGAGACGGGTTCGTCAACTACATCTCCAACCTCTTTGCGAGAAATTTTTGTAGATCTAGGATATGGGGACGGACGAGTCGCGGTCTGATCGTCGTGAAGTATCTATATTCTTCTCCTTTTCGTCAGCTTCTTGGAGTGATTGCCACCAAGTGCTGCTTGATCCTGGATGGTTTTTCATGAGGTTTTTAGGGTAAGCAGGAGATGGCTGGCGGTTTGTTTTTGGGGAAAAAAAAACAGGAGATGGGTGGTGATTGGAAGAAAAGATAAAGGTGAGGGTCAAGGTCATGCTGTTAGTTCAACATATCAGTTGCTTTCTCTTGAGCGCAGCAAGGTCCTACGAAGTCCTTTGTAAAGATCTACGACTACATCCTCAATATCCAAAAATGAGCACGAAAGTAGAATTACTCCATGGTCTGACATGGCCTGTTCTCGCGTGTCGCGGCATCTTCATCGCCTGCATTGGCGTCGTGAAGCTTCCGACGTGATGAAATACTTTCCTCAGTGGCGTCTGAGGTTGATGCAGTTCCATTCTTATGTCTCGCACTTTGGCACTATCATGGGCAGCCTTCATATCATTAGCAGCCTGAAGGCTTGACATCGACTGGCTTTGCGTGGGCATCGTTTTTTCTGTGGTTGAATGCTGGAAGAGCAGTTAAGTAAGTGAATTCGCTTTGGAAAAAGCACGCCTGGAAATGGTAAACACAATGCGTTATAATTGAAAGTTTATGACATTTAGCGACGTGAAGTGCGCGACAGGTCCTCTGGCGTCCTTCTAGAAGGTTACCATGTAACCTAGTTCGACTTCGAGGATGTGAAATGCTTGATGATTCGGACTACTTTCTTGCTTCTGCTAGCAACGGGCTTGCTTTCTTTGGTCCATCTAATCTTATCGAGATGTAGTAAATCTTAATCTTTAACTCTTGCTGAAGTAGAAGATCTTGAGAATTCTATAAAATCGAGAAATGTGAGAAGTGAGTAGTACCTGATGCGCATTCTACTTTCTTGTGTCTTGTTCCTTGGTTTTACTTCACATCAGATTTGGCAATCGAGATACCAGGCAGAGTGTGTGACTTCCAGGAGAAGGCTTGCGTCAGAAAATGGGAGGCCTCATTTCCGGCCGAACTCTTCACGTTCCGCGGCTGTGATGACAGCTTATGTCGTGTAGCACGCAGCGTCAATTTTACTTGTTAACACCAGGCCATAAATAGCAGCGCTTTTATTTGTTCATGCTTACTGACTAGCTCTAAGCAACAAGTCCGTGAAGAAGAAAATCTATCGGCCAGACGACATCGAGGCGAGCCAGTGTGTAGTGAGGAAAGGGCTCCAGGTATCAGCGCTATTGTATTCACGACGTCCACCCTCCACCACCTCCTTGTGGGTGACGTCGCTTTTGCAGGTCTATTGCTTGGTCATAAATTTCAGATCTCCTATTTTTTATTTCTCAAAATTTAAATCTATCAGTTACAATCTCACTCCTCAAGTCATCATCAATCAAATTCGAATTCCTTCCTTTCAGCCTTCATGATGTGGCTTTAATTCCCTTCAGGTAATCCTCACCTTGGCTTACGACTCGCAGAATTTTGCGATGTCAAGCATGAGGATGGGCGAGTTAGTTGAGGAATAAGGTTCCAAATTTTGACTTGATGGAAGTAGTGCGTTGCAGAGGATAGCAAGCGTTGTCGTGGGATAGTTCGCTGTTTTTCCTAGTCGTGCTGAAGGGCGATACAGCAGAAAATGGAAGGCGATGCTTCCTTTCATGGATGTGCATTTAAGCCTAAGCGGAGACTAGGGCGAGACTTTGAAGTTTCTCGACACTCACAACGTCGATCATCTCATTATTCGAGACTCATCGAGTTGATCTTGATTCGCCCTTGTCGCAGCACTCCAAACTACTCGCTTATCTGCAGTAAAGCTGCTGGAGAGCGAGGCGCGCAGTCAGTTTCATTGTAAAGGCATGGCGCACATTCTTTCACGTCTAGATACTATTCTCTGACATGCTGATACTCACTTGCGTTAATTCACCACAACACAACACATGAGTCAAAGATCTTGGACCACGAGGACGTGCTCTGGAATTACAGTTAGAAACTCCAAGGCAGACATTCCAGTTGGGATATTAATGCTGCTGGAACAGCAGCAGAATGAACGCTTGCTCGTGGAGTGATGAGCAATAGCGACAAAACAGCACGAATCGGCCTCGAAGTGGCGTATTGTCGCAATCGATCTTCTTGTTCTTCCTACCCTCGTTAGTCGTAGCGAATTGTCTCTCTGAGTGGAAAAGAGGACTGGCGATGAGAGGGTGAGCGGCTCGTAGGGCAGAGAGGAAAAACGCGTCAAATGGTGGAAGTCTCTGGTATGCATCAAATGGCCACCCTCCTATCTGTATCTGAATTGGTCTCCCCCTTTTCTGGGAGTAGCAGACCCTGTTAGTTGTTACCCCAGTGACCACCGTCCGAGAAAGATAAGACTGGCGGAAAGTTCTGAGAATCAACTATCGAGGGTGCTTGGAGCGCAGTTGATGAAGTCTTTTCTCGCATCCATGACCATGCAGGGCATTTTTTCTATCTGCCATGTATTGTACAGTTTTCATGTCGATGTGATTGCGTTTTATGTCACAGTCTACAACCGCATCAGGGGTTACGCCGAGGAATCTTCAACGAGCCAACTAAGTACTCTCTCTCTCAACCAACCAACCAACCAACAAGCCGACTGCTCGCGCAACGAACCAACCAGCTACTCTCTCAACCAATCTATCCATCAACTCGGATTCAAACTGCAGGCTTGCACTATTTTCAAGATCTACTTTCAGTAAAGACGAATATAACTCTCTTCATTTTTCCTTTTACATTTACAGCTACTTGCAACAAGTCACACCAGTATACCAGATATTGAAATTGATACCTTTCCTCATGATTAACAGCAAGACAATGGACGAGCAGAGACGGCGCTCTGCCTCGGCGCTTCGCGGGCGTCTGCGTAAGGAGAATCACCGTCAACAGGACGACGGCGCGCCTTTTTTTCAACAAAGTGCAGATGTTTCATCAAGGCGACAGCTTTCCTGCAGTAGCGAACATTTAGCGACTTCGGCTAGCAGTCTCAGCACTTATGTACAGACCACAGCTCGTGCTGCTTACACGAATCACATGGCGCACCTGCCGAAGATCACACCATCACCGACACTACTACCGCTCACGAAAGTGGCGCCATCCTTGCCGTCCTCGTCCCTAACGTCAGCGAGCCACTCGATTTATCAGCGCAAGAACATCATGAAGCAGGCGGATGGTTCTAGGTGCCAGGACACCATCACGAAGACGCAGAATGATTCTAGTTACCAGGACGGCACTATGAAACCGAAGAAAGACCCTACTAGTGACCAGGGCAGCATCATCAAGAGGCAGAGCGATTTGGCTCACCACTACCAGGGCGCGACGACGAAGAAGGAGGAGCATTCTAGTTTTCGGAAGACCACAAGCGCTTCTAGAGACGAGAATACAAATGAGACGAAAAACAGCGGCAGCAACATGATGGAGGGCAGTCCGCTAATGGATTTGCGCGAATCGCGCAACATCGGCGCCATCGCTACGCCTGATCATGGTAGAGAAGGAAAAAGTGGCCCTTCGTCTTGTAGTAGGATTCTCGATTCCTCCAAAATGAATCTTCTTACTTCTCCTATGGGTATGGTGCAGCTTTTGGAGGGCAAGGGTGGACAGAGCAAAGAGCTGCTTACGACTCGTGAGCGGCAGAATGAAGAACAGCACAACAATACTGGTTCTGGTGAGATCTCTCTGGGGATGATTAGTAGTAGCAGAGATAGAAGTGATACTAGGGCGCAAGGAATACAGTTACAGCTACCACTGTCGCTGTCGAATAGTCCTGCGTCAACATCTGTCGTGGTAGCGAGTGAAAGGCGCAACACTTTTGAGCGGCGGAGTCTTGTTATTTCACCTCCGAGACCACGATCGCGAACGCCAAGAGACAACCTTAAAGGCGGCGCTTTTGAGGATCAAAACAAGAAGGGAGAAAATGATAGGGACGAGGACAAATCACGCCAGGCTGCAGTGCCCTTTTCCCTTTCGCAGCCGGCTGCTGAGGCAGGAAACCCGCTAGCTTCCTCGGCATTTTCGTTCGCAACAAGCCGGTGGAAGGGCCAAGCTCCTGTAGGGTCAGAAGATTATGACTCGTCTGCTCTGCAGGCTGCAGACTCAGTAAGAGGCCTTCCCGTATTGTTCCAATTCTTCATAGTACTTGCCTCCTCGTAAGTTGTCTGATAGTTGATAGTACTGGCACTTACGTGGGTGAGCTGGTCCAAGAATGAAAACAGCCTCATCTCCCCAGGGCGATTATCTAAGTACGCTAATTGGTACTAGAAGCCTTAACCGTGTTTATACTTCTAACGAACGCAGTCCCTAGCGAATTCGACGAAGCCCCACCGCCATTGTCGGCTTGCCAGGAGCCTCTCGCGCCCTGCGCGCTTTGTCGCTGCGACTGCGTGCGCGCGGGTTGCCGGTGGGATTCATCAGCAACACAAAGGAGATGACTATGAAATGAAAGCGCTCACATGGTGGACAGGCTGCCTTTGTCAATGCCCTTTATTTTGTCTAAGGTAGCCCGAAGTATGACTATTGCTACCCCAGTCGTGGCGCGAATGTGGCGGGTCGTTCTGCCTGGGTGAGGTCAACCTTTTTACTTGTAGTCAATATTATATTGCTCCCAAAGTGGTTTCGTAGATGCATAGGTCTAAGCAGTAAAAACGAAAGAAACCTAGACTGTCAATGAATAAGGACGCCCCTGATGCAGTAAACTATGGCGGTAAGGACCAACCCCCTTCACTATCATACGAAGGCAGACGCAGACACGGCAGACAGAAGCGGGTGGGATGGAGAGACGGAAGGTGGGCCACCAGCCGGACTCGAGGGAAGCAAGGGACAAGGATACGACAGCAACAAGGCAAGTCGTGACCTCGCTTGGCTCCTGGACGAAAAAAAGGACCTGACTCTTCGCACTATCCAGTCCTCCATCTTCAATGAGGTCTCGAGCTCTAAAGCGGCTTCTGTGCAAGACAACCCGTCCACAACAACAACTGCTACAGGCATTGAGCAAAACGTCGAACAAGATAGTGCTTCTTTTACTTCCCCAAAAGAGCTTAAACATGATGGCGCTGGGGTGATTAGTAGTCGAGGGAAATCTCGTTCACGATCACGCTCTGATAGAGATCCATTTGGTGGCACAGATTGGCCATTTTTGTCTTCAGATGGCACTGCCTCACAAACTCAGGATCGAGCGGACCCTATTTTTCACCCTCCTTCAGAAGCACATACAGCCCCACAGGTCAAGGAGTCTTGCGAGCCGGGCAGCAAAACCAAAATAGTTACTACGACGCCAGGTTTTGTCGATCGAATTTTTCGGCAAAATCATAAACTTCCTGTCCTGACTAAGCCAGAGGCGTTGTTCTCGTTTTTCCAGCACTATGCGGAGCTGAAACAACACCACGCGCAACTTTTCTCATACAGTTTGGAAAAAGGTTACTTCGTTGCCGCGTCCGACTTTGAGGAGTGCATTAAGAATCCTCAGGATTTTGCACGAAAAAAAAAGAGCCTACAGGGCAAGGGCGCACAAAGAACCGCAGCGACCATACGAGAGCAAGACTCGTCACCTGGGAGTCAGCAGGCATCTTCACTAGAACCATCGCCAGAACCATCAGGATTGTTAGCTGCGTGCTTTCTTTCTGCACCCGAAGTTTGCTTCATGGGCGAGGGGTCGTTCGGCGGCGTATGGTCTTCGTCTGAGGGCTTGCAGTGTCACCCTGAACCTGCACAGAAGACTGTCGTGAAGCACCAGCTTGACCTTGGCGAAGCCATGGTCGAAGCGTGTTTTGCTATATACGTTTCCCGGCAGGAGAATTTGGCGCAGTACGTCGCTCAAGCTTATGAAGCTGTCAGCTTTATTCCGCAGGTGTCGGGATCACAGAAGCAGACCGGAAACAGCTTCCTCTTGATGGATAAGTACAGCCGCGACTTGAAGAAACAAGTACTAGGCGAAGTACAAGTAGGCGAGTCACCTCTCAAGGCAGGAATCTCACTCCGCAACAGTGCGGCGGAGCGACCAGTACAAACTTCTTCTACGGCTTCACCACGACCCCTGGAAGAAGCCACAGGGGGGGCCGCAATAGTGGCAAAGCGGTTCATCAAGCGAGGAAATCACATGATCGAAGGGATAGTAGAGCTCGGCAAACTAGGAATAGCATCGAGAGACATCAAACTGGAGAACTACCTCATCGGCGATGAAGCTCTGGAAAGTCCCAGGCTTTCTGACTGGGGATTGTCTACGGCATCGGGGCGGGATACTGCTGAGATGCCCCTGGTTGGCACTCCGTTATTTCTAGACCCGCTAGCCCTCCTACTGCGCATCGGAAATTATCGCGATTGGATTTCGGCGAACTTGTATCCGGAAGCTGGTGCCCAACCAACATACATTCAGATGGATGCATGGAGTCTTGGGGATGCTCTTCTGGACTTGTGGACCTCTCAGGCAGCACGGGAAAAAATTATTGGGCCATCTTTCGACAGGGTCTATGACCCGAGCTTCTCGTCGTCGACGCCGGACGACCGTGAGCTTGCTGCTTACGCGACAAAAGTAGCACAAGAATGCGCGAAGGATTTCCACCCAGCGACTCGTGCGTACTACTCCGAACAGATGCAAGAGAAAGGCGCAAAGAAAAGCACCGTCTTCTCAAAAACTGTGCTAGAGCTTCTTCTTCGCTATCCGCTCAACTGCTCTCCGGACAAACGTGACATGGCGGAGTTCGCTGACCTCTGGGGAGAGCTGCTGGTCGAGGAGATGGAGAAAGAGAACATGGGAAACCTCAACAACGAAGTAGTAAATGAAGATGGGCTGGAGATCTCTCAAGACGCTACTAAAGACCAAGTGAAAGGCATGCTACGGAAGGCAGCAGGCCTGGCAGACACGTTACAAGCGCCCAGCAGATCTAGCACTCTACAGGCAGCTTCCAGCGCCAGCACATCTAGAAGTACTCCAGAGGAAACGCAAACTGCAGCCAGCACTCTACGAGCAGCGTCCAGCGCCAGCACGCCTGGTTCTCCAGGTCCAGAGGGAGCGACGAGCTCACCTAGTATTTCACAAAAGGAAGCGCAGTCTTTCGAGGAAAGTAACCAACACCAAGTAGCTGCATCGTCCCAATCGACATGGAGGTATGAGGCTTTGCAGGCTTCTGCATCATCTGAGACTCCGAGCCACGAGCACCTTGCTGGAGCTGGGAACGACGTCGGCGCCCCCTTTGACGCGACAGGAGCAATGACCACTGACATCACCGCAAAGGGTGCGGGTGGCACCGTGAGGAGGATAGCCTCGTCTGTTGAGACTGGGCCTGGTGCTGACAACGCTAACGACGCAATGGGCGGCGCAGACATTATGTCTCGAGATGATTCTGGTTTTCTAATTGGTACAACTTCCTTGGAACTTCTAACAGTGGCCAGCACTTGCTTGTGCTTTACATGATTTAACCCCAAAACTTTGACTTCATCACCAACCAGCGACTCCTTATTTCTAAATCTAACCCGAGTACCACTACCAGCGCCACAACTGTGGAAGCAGAAGGGGGATCACCTACAGCGGCTGCCGTAGAGAAAGTGGAAGTAGGCACGACCACGAAACCATCAGAAGGCCAAGCGAACAATGTCGCGGGCAGTGAGCGTGCGGGAAAGAAGGCGGCGAAACAAAGCAAACTCCTCCGACGGGAGGACAGATAAGACGTATTATAGTCCGCAACTTTTCGAACTTATCAGATGAGATCCAACAAGAGCAGACGCAAACTAGTATGGTTACACAGGATTTTTCTACCGTCCTTGTGTGTTTCGAAAATGGTAAGATTCTTCATTAGGTGCAAACTTGAGTGTGAGTGTGTAGAATTGCCATTGTTGTCACTTCTCATCATCATCATCATCATCATCCATCAGCAATTATAATCACGGTCACTTCTCATTCTTCTCCCAATCATCAGGTGACTGCAGTGCCGAGTATTAGATGGTATGTATGTCCTGAGGAGAGGACCAAAAGATGCGCCGTGAGAGGGTTTATCTACGATTGGCAGTTGGGCCAACTATTTGTCACGAAATTCTATGTCGATATAGCAGAATGGAAGAACCTAGTCGGTCGAAGATTCATAATTATTCAGGTACTAAGAACTGAACAGATTCCAGTGGATTAGAAATAATACACGCGGGCAAGGCGCGGATAGTTCTGCGTTAATGAGTCATGAGTTCGCGTTGACCTGGAGGCTGGTTCTGTTGTAGAAAAAGTAACTGCTCTTATTCCTTTGCTAATTTATTCTCTCTACCATGCTAGAAATGCTATTGCCACTCTTCAGGTACTAGTATGGATGTCGTTTTTACAACTTTTGGCAGATCATTGTAGTTGTACGGCCTTGGTTGGGTCGAAATGGTGAGAAAGATGCAGAGTTTGAAAAGCGGTTTTTTTTCATGTTCGAGGAAAGGCGATGTGATGCGTTTGAAGCGCTTACAAAACGATTGGTCCGTAAATCCAGAATCTGAAGCTCTTTGTAGTACTGGAATACGTACTAGCAATGCACCGTCAACATTTCCTTTTTTCTAATTTTCCAATCTATCTCTCTTTCGCTTTTCCTTTGTTGGACTTACCCCCAGAATGGGTAAACCACCACTAATAAGCAGGTTTCCTTTTATTTTCTCAATAAGTAACAAGTACAATAAATCTTCAGAAACAAAAACTTCAGGGCGCGTCATGCTTTTGATATTTCCACCAATTGCAAGAACTGTTCGGAGCTTTTTTGGGAGGAAGTGCTGTAGTCGAATTTTGAGGATGTAGAGACGCATGGACCTGTTGCGGTTACGTGTGCGACTGTACTTATTTACTCTATGACACCTACTCACCTTACTTTTCTGTACTTCTTACAAATTCTGACTGCGGCTTAGCTGGCTTTAGATGCTGCTTAGTGCTTCTATTACAACAAATTCATTTTTCTCTCGATCACTGTTTTTATTCTGTTTCAACCTACCACCTCTGTCTCTAGCTTATGCCGTTGTATACGCTGATCATCAACCACTACGTACAGGTTGATGAATGACGAAAAGCGTCGAGTTATATGAGTATCAATATGATGGCTCAACTTTCGAGCAATAGGAAGATGCGCTATCAGCATTTGCAACGTGGCAGGATGGGGATTAGTCTTGTTTTAGAAGTGCGTCTTAAGTGTTTTGAGTATCGTCGGCACAATGGGTGCATTTACCTATTTGACACCAGGACAATGTCAAAAAATATCAAATGAATAGTGATGATGGACTACTAGACCGGAAAAATCTAGTACTAGAGTTTAAAACTCTGAATTTCTTGAAATTGAATCAATTACGTTTCGTTTATGAAAAGGAGATGCATTTTTATCCATGTACTGCGCAGGAATTCATTCTCAGGTGGATTAAGACTAGGAGTTCAGTATCTGATATTCGAAAAGCAAATTGTCGGCAAAAGTCTTCTTTTTTAAGATAGAGTACAGCTGAAACTTACACCATGCTACTCATATTTCAACAAGCACAGATGTGGCCAGCTTGATGCTTCTGCGCTTTGTATTGTGCACAGTAATTATCGATATCTACCACTGACTTCGAGGACATCAGACAAGTTGTAGTTTTATATTGACAGGCTAGTGCGACGGTTTTACATCGACAAGGACAGCTACGGTATGAGTCGTTTGTCTAAAAAAACGAAACCCAAAATTATGTACGGCGAGGAGAATACGAATGCCCAAGAAAAGGCACTATAATGAGACTTCGTCTCCAATTCTCAGCAAAGTCGAGCAGAACTGCTCTCACAGCAAGACAAGGCCAGGTTGACGCTGTTCGCGTCAGTGTCCTTCTCTGCTTCTTGTTGTTTCCAGTCTTCATGCGACGTGGGAGAAAGAAGGCTGAATTGGCGCCGACTAGCAAGAAGGTGGAAGTGGCGTTGAATCGAGCAAACACTACTACAGAAAGGGTCAGTCGCAGGATAAAGCCAATTTTTGCGGTGTAGCTCGGTCTGTAGCAGAAACAGACTGAGATGCCGCGCAGTATTTTTTGGAGCTTGACTTCGTTGTAGCTTCCACTGTAATTAGCACGATACTACAGCCACACTGTTCAAGATCGGACTCCGAAAAACGTATCTATGACTATGTATGGCATCATAAAATTCCCATCACGAAGTAGCTGTACTAAGACTTCAACATGACGGATTTTTGTTTCGCGCTTAAAGGCGGTGGCAACGGCGTCGAGAAGCCGCTATCTGCGCAGTACCTGATCAGAGTGATCGCGCACCTTTTGACCATCGAAGGGGAAGATGGAACACGATCAAGGAGCGGCGTTGGTGAAAATGGGAACAGGGTTGCTGCTCTGCCAGAAGAAAATGCTTTGCCTTCAGGAGATAAAGAAGTGGGCATCGACATGAGAAGCGTAAGGGTAGAAAATAACATTGAGGATAAGAAGACGCGCAACTCTTCTCCAAGGGACGATAACGAAGGAACAGGGACCACAACGCGGACGCGCAGAATCGCCGTAATGTGGGATGGTGATCCATGGCGATCGGAGTCATTGGCGGCTCCTCCTGCCTGATTTGTTCAGAAAACTGGCAGGAAATGCAACAGCAGAAGATGCTGCTCCATTGTCTCTTACAACAACGAGCGTCAGCGTCATTGCTAACCGACTACATGGCGAGGGGAGAAAATTCACGAAAGAAAATTCGAAACCGTTTTTGTTTCATGGAAATTATAGGAGAGTCGTGGAGCTGGGGGTGGGCGGAGGAGGAGGAGAATTAAAAGAAGCGGAGGCGACGCAGGACGGTTATATCGAGATACAATGTTGTGAGGTCAAGGTAGGTGAGGCGCCTCTTCGACACCAGAAAGGATGGGAAAACGCGATACCTGGACCAGTCTGGCAAAGCGATTACACTCAGCTTGGAGCGAAATCTTTGCAGCGTGAATATGAACAGGTATGAAAAGGAAGATCTGGGTGTGTACTTTGAGACTAATATGGTAAGTTAGAAGTAGTTTTTTCGGAATCTTCTCGCTTTCGGAATTGGATTTCGCGATAACGGATACATCTGCTCAACATTCCATGAAGCAAGTCTATCGGTGTCGAGCTTAGGGGCGACTACTCTCACTTGTATGTTTTCGAGCAATGACCACTTCCACCACATGTTCAGAAGAGTAGACACATCGATCATTAAGATCAGGAGAGCCTCGTGGGCTCGTGGCCATGTCTAGAAAAAAGCAGCACTACAGGAAATCGAAAGTAACGCTCCGCAATCTTTCATACAAGGGAATGAAACTAAGAAGCTGATCATTCTCGCGCAAGGCGGCGGCCGAGTTTTAAGGGACGAACTTCGCAGTTGATGTTTGGAGGCAAAGCGCCCTAGTAGTTGGTACATTTTGGAGTGCAGGAGAGGACGGGAAGGACCAACAGTCCTGACGGATGAAGAACTGGGACCAATCTCCGTGAAGCTTGAAGAAGCAGTAGACCTTGGCGTCAAAGGAGGACGAGGAACCTCGTCGACGTCGTGTGCGACTAGTTCTCTTTTGGAACAATTGGCGGGGCCACCGGAACAAGTTTCTATTCTTCGTGCTGTCATCAAGTGAACACGTCGTGGAGGTTGCGCGGCATACTCAGTTGGGTGCGCCGTCTAGCTTGGAGGAAACACGGCCGAGATCAAGTTGCAAGAGTGGCCAAGAAAAGAGCTCTCTCTGTCAAACTGCATAAGAAACTGATCTGACGTGTGTAAGACTTCTAGAGAGCAGACAGAGTGCAGCTGCACTTTTCTTGACGTTCTCTCCCAACAAGATGAAACGTAAAAACAGAGTCCTCCAGGAACTGCATACTCGTCCACCACGAAGATGCGTACCAATTTATTACAGATGATTGCTAACTGTGTCTGTGGACAACAGCTTGCGTGGTAAAAATCGCTCTACTTTCTCTTGTTGGTCTGCTCAGGAGCACAGAAACATGCACAGCGCTACTCATTGAACCAGCGGAACAACGTCCGACGTGCTTGAAGTCCAGAAGCTTGCTTTTTTATACACTTACTTTTTATCTGAATCTGTGCAGCCCGTTGCTTGAAAGTGTTCCCCGTGAAATTCAAGGTTTAGATTGCATGCATTTTTCGTGAAATGTCGACAAGTCCTGGCTTTATACAGATGGCGATATGGTAGCGAAATTATGAGATGAAGCCGTAGCAGCCTATTTGTGGCAAGTAGCAAAATGCAACTTTTTAGGAGCCCAGTTTAGTTGTCGTGTATAGATTCAGATCCCCGATCAAATGACTGCAACAATTGAACAAGTTGACCGTCCAAAAGCAATATGAGCTCGTGATCTTCAAATTTTTAGATCAAGAATTTACGAATACGATTGCAAGCAGAAAATCCATCATCAAGAAAAATGGTAGCAGCACCAGCCAACACAAACACGACCGTGAGGACCAGTGAGGTTTCGACCGGACCTTGTGCCGCCACTCTCGGTCCGAAATTAGCGCCTTTCAATCCCAGCGGCGACTTCGTAGTCGAAGCAGCTTTGCAGTTTTTAACTTCTTGTTCTGAGGAGACGAGCTCGTCAACTACATCTTCAACCGCATGTTCTGAGGAGACGAGCTCGTCTAATTTGCGAGAAATTTTTGTAGATCTAGGATGTGGGGACGGACGAGTGGTGGGTGCAATTCCAATTTCCTCGTCCTCGTCCGCGACTAGGTCTAGAACATCGTCAGCGACCACTTCTAAAACGAAGAAGATACATGCAGCGATCGGTATAGAGTACGACCAGGCTGTATTTGAAAGGGGTCGACGACGATTTTGCCCTATTTCTACATCGTTGCCAGATCCAAGAACTGAAGAAAATAGTAGCGCAACAACTACCAGTGGACGTGGAGCAACGCCTTCTAGTTGTGTTGGATCATTCACTTCATGCAGAAAAGAGACTTCTTCTTTGCCTTCAGAGATTGCATCTCTGTTTCAACCTGAAGAGCGGGAGCAAATTCGAGACTGGTTTTTGATAAAGACTGAAGAAGAGGAAGATGCGAAAGATACCAAGGCCAAGAATGAGGACTACACCACTTCCACTAGCACTAGCACTATAAAGACGAGGATCGTACTCCTCGCAGATGCCACCGCGTTTAGGCATTTAGTAGAACATCTTGGGACGCTTTTTTTCGTCTATCTAGTGCCAGAGGGTCTCAAATTGATCCAGCCTCTTCTCAAGCGTGCGATGCAAACGAGAAGGGGCGTGAAAGTGGTGTCCTACATTTTTAAGTTGCCACTGGAAGATGGAGGTCGTGGGCAGGAAGGGTCTGGAGCAGGAGCATTAGAACCTACTAAGATTGTCAAGCACAAAGGTGTCAACATTTACTGCTATGATGGAGATGCGATATTTCCCGAGAAAATATAGAGATGAGGACTGTGTGCATGTGGAAGATGTGGAATATGTGGCTCACTTCGTTCATGTTGATGTTGATGTGTTCCCTTTCACTATCTGTATTTTTTGGAGGTACAACCTTTGTATTGAGTGGCCTCAAAAGTAGAGGTCAAATGCTACATAAGAGGTTCCATGACATGACATCTGTTGCGTTGTAATTGACAGAACGCGAATGCGCTCGATGCCTTACCAGAGCACATCGTCGAGCGATTCAAAGTCTTGAGTTTGAAAACAAACGCGCGAAGACTGTTCACGCAAGTACAACAAACTCCGTAGAAGTGCTAGTGGCGTTCAGGTTGCTCATATACAAAGGTTGCTCATATACAAGCAGATCATAGCTACATCGAACCTGTAAAATAAAGTGTGAGTACAACAAATACAAAGTGTTGTTCACCAGCATCACGACTCTACGCCAAATCATAAAAAGATGTCCTCTAAAATGGCTCAACCTCAACAAAATCTTTACACTGCCGCCGAGGACGACACTACGGCAAGCAGCGACGCGGCAACCGCGTTTCGCATCCGCGCATTTGGTCAAGTGAAAAAAGAGCTAGAATGCAACCTCCAAGCTTCGATTATGCAAATGGAAGACTTGAAGACGCTTTTGCTGGCGACGTTTCCTCCTGTCGTCTTAGATATGAAGGTACGGGATGCGCTGCAGGGCACCTGTATCGAAGAGCAGCTAGCGGAGGAACCACCGTTGAAAAAAGCGAGAACGGTTACATGTCGCGATGTAGTTGTGCAAACTACAGCTCAAGGAGCTCAGGTGATCATAGGCGAAGAAGAGACGGAGGCTGCGCGAAGCGGTGCTTCCAAGTCGACATTACAGCAGCAGGAGCAGCAGCAGAACCAGCAACAGCAGAACCAGCAGCAGCAGCAGAACCAGCAGCAGCAGCAACAGCAGAAACAGCAGCAACAGCAGAACCAGCAACAACAGCAGAACCAGCAACAGCAGCAACAGCAGAACCAGCAACAACAGCAGCAACAGCAGGAGGAAAGTAAAGTGGTGCACTATGTGGACCTCAGGGATGCTACGAAAAAAATGTCCGCAGACGTAGAGATGAGCGTGATCCAAGGAGCCTCTGCCTCGCGTTCAGAGCACCTCTCGGAGGAAGAGATCAGCGCATTTGGGCTCTGCTCTTCGCGAAGTGACATCGCAGTGGAGGTTTCTGAACATCCCAGCAGTGTTGTCCTCGAAGGAGCAGAACTTGTACAAGATCAACACGTGATGAACAACATGAATACAACCAACGCATCGTCTGTCCTTACAGAATCCTCTGAATTGAGGCGAAAGCTGAAAATTGAAGCAGTGAGAAAACAGGAAGACACGAGAACAGGAGCTCCAGTGTGTCGTGCGGCGACAGATTCTTCTACCACAACTACCGCAGTATGCGAAAACAAGAAGGCTTTTGGGCATTCTATCGATGTCGTTCAAGATAACACTGGAGCATTGAGAGTGAATCCATCAACAACCTCAACATCTTCATCAGCTTCTAGCTCTTTCATCGGAGGTACATTCTCATCTGCCGGTCCCTGTTCCTCTGCCACGAACGCAGTCGTTCGGTCCGCATCAGCGCGTGTTGAGCCACCTGCTAGTAGGCACTGCGTTGAGAGGAGCGCGTCTGCGGAGTCGGTGCTGCGACGGCAGCTGGGGAGGAGGCAGGGGGTACTAGCTTTGAAGATGTAGCTAATTTTTTCTGCAATGCCATGTAATATTAATAGAGCTAAATACTTCCTGTAGTAGCAGCTGCTTTACCAACATTTATCCAGGTAGATGTGAATCCCGTTCGCCAAAAGCAAAGCGAATCTGCAAACAGCACATCTTCAGCTGCGGCATCAACGTTGTCAACCGATCGAATTCGAAAAGCAGCTATGGATCGTCTGGCTTTCAAAGCACTAGGGCCGCCGCCTGCGCATGCGCCTTCAGCTCCTTCAAAGACTTCTGTAGATGCCTATCCTCGACACAATGCAGCTTCACTCCGGTCACGGACTACACCGTTGCTGTCTTGTTCCTCTACAGCTGCCTCTGTAGGAAGTTCATGTAACGACCCAACGCCATCAACAACGGCTTCCATTGGGACTACTGCAGCTGTTGCGGCAACAACCAAATCGACAAAATTTGGCTACTTAACGGCGACGACTTCAAGTAATTCATCTTCATCAACTGCTGCTAGAAGAAACGCGCCCACGACAATATTAACATCAACAAATGTTAAGGCTGTAGCTGTATCTAATACATCTTTGGACGCATCCCTGAAACGTATGGAGGAGTATCCTAAGGGAATGCTCCCCCATACATTTCAAGGATGCACTTGAGAGATGAATTACGGACTGCTCTAAAAATGCAACCCTGAACTACTCAAACAACCCTCCTCCAGCGACCACAACTGCCGCTCTCCCACTCTTTCGCAGTTTTGTGCCTCCCACAAGGAAGTTGGCTCGTGGGATTGCCCTGTTCGACAATCTGAATGCGTCAACACTTAGCACCGCAAGCAACGGTTCCACTCCATGTTCGTTGAGGTCGTTGCAGAGTGCAAGGGAGCTGGAAGTGGAGAGGAAGCCGGCACCCTGTCCGCAGGAACTGGGGGAGGGTCGGGGAGATGTGGAAAATAAGCCTCCTTCATCTTCAGGAACAACGTCAACTTCAACTAGCAATAAAGAATCTTCCTCTACTACTTTATCTGTGACATCAAACCCAAAGAATCTCTCAACAACATCAGCTGTATCAAAACTTCCAACACCTCTAGCGACCCAACGGTTGAACGTCCGGCCACTAGCAGAGATGCCGTCTGAATTTCAGAGCATGTCAAGAGGCGACCGACAGCGGTTAGTTCAACAGACGATAGAGCGGTTAGCTCTAGGGATCAAAAAACCATAAACAAAAATGCTCAGACAACCACAATCGACCTACGAATGTGTTAGGTGCTAGCTCTGCTGGCCTAGGTTAGTAGTTTTGAAAAGTATTCGAGGAGAAGCTCCTCCTCTTCTACTGTACAGAGATGCTGTGAGTTGTAGAGAGACCATTTACTAGCTTCATCAACCCGACCGCGAATTCAACTATTCAGGACAATGATAATCATCCTGAGTTGAGCTTGAGTGACGTGAGTGAGGACATGTTGTGTGCTGCGATTTTCCTATGACCAAACTGAAGTGTTGTAAGAGAAGATGTTGACAGTAGAAGAAACATCACACAAGAACTTGTTTTGGGTTTGATATGCACATCAAGATGCAATACGTATCCACGTTACTTCTGTCACCGTGAGATAGGGCATTCCTAGCTAGTCCTGCGCTGCAGCGGAACGGCATTCATGCCAGCTCCTCTTCGCATTCGCAAGAAACTTTGATTCTGGTACTGTAAATCATTGACATTTCTACTTTCAATCCATCAATTTCAATTCATTTTCCGACTACTTATCACCAAGCACCAAGATGACCTCCACCATGTCGAGCTGCTGTGTTACGGTGAGTAGAACCACTGCTCCGCTACGCTCTGGACGCTCGCTCTTGAGATCAACGATAGAGGTGCCTAATCTGTACACAGGCACTTCTTCGTCATCGTCTTCCTCAGCGTCACATCAACAAGGGTCATGTTTGTTACGGCAGAGGACCACGACTACTGCTTCGAGTTGCACCACTACTACAAGAACACTGAAAGCAGCTCGAACAATAAACCGCGTCACCCCATCAACACCAGGTGGATGCGGACTCAACATACAGTCTCAACCTCGTCATGCACAGTTTAGAAGTTCTTCTTCCACGTCTCGAAAAGGCTCACCAAGTGGGGAAGATCCTGGTGGAACCAGAGCTAGCGGATCTGGGGGAACAGATCCGGCTCTGTCAAGAACAACATCAAATACGACATCAGCGTCAAGTCTGAAGAGAAAAAAATCGCCTAGCAGCACCGCGAGCCTGGTTGAATTTTTGCAGAGCTTCAATCGTGCACCCGTGTTATGGCTACTTTAACTTTTGTACCTAAAGTTCTTGTTTTTACCTGCTTTTGGAACATACAACTAGAACTACTGGTTGTTAAATCTTAGAAGTACTACAAGAACTCCTCGAACTTGATCAACACCCTCAACACGCACACCTCTTCTAACGGTCCAAGCCAACCTCTTCAATTCTCTGGGTCTCATCGAATTTTCAACGCGAGAAATTTCTGATCGCTTTGACAAGATAGATCAAAACAACGATGGCTTTCTAGACGAAGACGAGATACGTGCTTTGGTTCGGACCTGGTACGCAAATATGAAGCCTGCGCGTAGGAAAAGGGAAAGTACAGCTAAAGCGTCAACTACTACTAAAGCTGATCATGTCAATGACGGAAATTATGAGGCATCGCGATCGCCATATTTAAGGGTTTCCACATTGCATTCCTCACTGCCATCCTTGACTTGTTTTTCAGTAGGAAAGAAGTGAAGGATGTTCCGAGGAATGCAATGTCGCAACCTCTAACATATTCGTCGTCCTCTTCGTCGTTCAGCACTGCGCCACCGGTCTTTGCAAGGACAAACTCCGGGAAAATAGACTCGACTCTCCTACCTGTAGTTGCATCGAATTCATCACCAGAACAACTGGACCCGCCTGACCCAGACGTCGAGAGACAGACACAAATGATCATGGATCTTTTTCGTGCTAGGGTGTATAACGATGAGACAGAGACTAAGGAAAACGCCAAAGGTCCTAAAAGTATTCCTACAGTTGGCGGACACCCGATATCTGCTGATTTACAAGCAGCAGCAGAACTCTCGACGGATGAAGCCAGTAAAGCGGTAGGCGAAGACGAGCCGCTGCTAGAGAGACCAAGAGCAGCATCCTCGTCTTCTAGAGGTACACCATCCTCGACAGGCCGTTCGACTGGGACCCCTGAAGCACCTACGCTCTCCCTCCAACGCCGCCGCCGTGGCCTGCGACGCATCTCTCGTGATCAGTTTCGAAGGACCATCCTGGCTCTCGCCGAAAAGGTTGACCATCGGGTTTATCCAATCGCCTTCTCCTGCTTCATGACTGGAGCCACTCTTGGGATATTGACACCTGTGATACCGTTTCTAGCTCAAAAATTGGCTCTGAGCAAAGGTCAATTTGGACTCTACATTGCGTCTTTTGCGATGACCAAGATCATAGCGAATGTCCTTATGAGATGGTCGATTAGCACAAAATGAGTACTTACAAAATGTAAATGAGTACTTACAAAATGAGTACTTATGAGATGTCCTTATGAGATGTCCTTATGTATGAGTAGTGAATGTCCTTATCAGATGTACTTAATATGAGTAGATCTTAGAAAAGCAAAATGAGTACTTCTCAGAATCAGAAAAGAAAAGTATTGTTCAGCACTACATTTTTTGGTGTGTAAAAATATCGTCTACGTCCAGTAGTACCCTCGTGCTTTTAGATGTATAAGTACAATTGTTAGCTAGTACTAGTAGTACATAGATACTAACCCAAAATAAAGTACAAGTTAAAGTACATGATCATCCATCTTCTTTCTCTTTCAATATTGCGGCTGCATTTCTTGTGGAGCGATATGGTCGGAAGCCCTTTTTCGTCCAGCCGATGGGTCTTGTAGGTCTTGCTTTTGGCAGTCTCGCGTTCGCCACGAGCTTTGAGGAGATGTGCCTTAGCCGAATGGTTACCGGCATATCGGTTGCAGCTTTAACGAGCAGCGCGTCGATGATTATGGATGAACGAGGATCTGACGAGGTGAATCTACAACATGTCCTCTGTTGGAACTGGAAGGACGAGGATCAATATGAAGATGGTGCATGTCATCCTACACTAGTAACATCAGCAGTTTTAACGCGTGGTAGAGCTAGAGAAGTAGGACTAACATCAGCAATTTCATGTTGACGTTTTTAACGCGTGGTAGAGCTAGAGAAGTAGAGGCGGGATCTTGTTCTTTCTCCATGCCTTTGATGGGGAAGATGATCTTCCTCTAAAAACAGTATGATGGATCTCGGAACCAAGCTCAACATGACCAGGACGATTGCGCCAGTTGGGGTACTTACTCTTGATAAGTACAAAGTATTCCTGCTCATAATTGCGTTTGCGATTAGGAATAGGATTACCTTTGCCGGAATCCTGAGTTCGAGCGATGTTTCATGAAGAATAGCCGACACAGAACAAGATGTTTCAATTGTCTGCTCCTGCTCATCATGATCATGAAGATTGCTTTTTCAATCTTCAACCATCACGACACTAGGTCGCATTCAACGCTGGCATCGCCATCGGTCCTGCTCTCGGAGGCCTGATGATGTCCAAAATTGGCATGGAGCCGACTTTCCTAGCCGTAGGTTCCGCTTTCCTCTGCCTTGGGGTCGCCAACCATTTTCTCATCGTTGAAACCGCACCGAAGCTTCTCCAGGGCGATCTCAATATTGCCATCAACCAAACCTGGAACCATTGGAAAGATCTTTGGCAGAGCGTGGAGATGAAACAACTTCTCGCTTTGAATGCGGCTTTTTTTAAGGCCTCTCCAAAACCTAATCCATCTCGTGAACGTGATGAAGCATCCTGCCTGGGTAGAATTTTGGTTTTTCAAAAGGGAAAAGGCTTCACCAGGATGATCTCCAGGATGGATAAGGGTGAGTTTTAATGCTTGGATTTCCTCAGCTGGTGGCCATGCCACCATTTTGCCCTTAATCCTCATTGGTCCCCAGTTCAATCTTGACGTAGGCCAAACGGGTCTAGTCTTCGCAGCTTTGGCTGGTGTCCTTAAGGCTACCTCTATTAATCACTCTTGTAGATTAGTATAGGACTACTCGAGAAGTACATAGTATCCTTTTTGAGTAGGTATGGGAATCTCTCAGGCGTGGTATGCAAGAAGCCTAGACATATTTCATAGGTGTGGATTAGGATTTAGGAGTAGCTCTAATGTCCAAGTACTAGGAGCGCCACCGTTGGCGTTTTTGTGCGACACGTGGGGGAAGGAGAAAGTCCTAGTGGCAGGAGCATCGCTCTTAGCAGCGTCAATGGGTTGTGTGCCGCTGTTGAGCAACGGCCTGGACCCACAAGCGGTGACTGTGTTTGGCCTGTGGGCGTTAGGGACTGCAGCTTTTGGCGCTGCACCGAACAGCTTGATATCCGATATTGTGAGACCGGTACGATGAGATACACCTAGATCACGATGACATCGTACTAGATCTCGAATGTTGTCCTTGGCTTGTTCTCCTACTTTTGAAATCAACAGTTTGTTCCTTTGTCACTTAAACTTGTATACGATTAAAAATATAACTTTCTCAACAAGAACTTTCTCAACAAGAACACAAGATCAGGGACCTCGACGGACAACTTCTTACACTACATTAAAAATATAACAATAACACGTGGAAACACCGTAGCCGTTCGCCATCCGCATGAGTGCTTCTCCATCCACAGGGGAGACACCTTCTCTCCATAATTGATTCACTCATTTCTACGACAAACACAAAACCACATCTGAGGCCCAACGCGGCCAAGGCTTGTCCATGCTTCGAACGTCCAACGATCTTGGCTACCTCCTCGGCGCATCCTTGACAGGCTACTTCGCCGATCAATTAGGCGCAGAAGTAGCACTTGCCTCGCTCTCTGCTGTCCTTCTGGGGAATGCAGGTCTCTATCATCGCTATAACCGCTATAATCGGGGTGGTGGGTATAGGAGGCCTAATGTGAAACTAGAAGCGAAATTAGAGGAGATAAAGAGTCGCTGGAGGAAACGGATACAGGGTATCCTGGGTAATGGTGGTGGGAGTAGTACTTCGCAGAAATAATAGAAGAGAACTACGACAACGACCACTTGATATTATATATAAAATATTTTCATTCTGGTATAGCTATAGGTATTGAAATTGGTATTGGTTACACTCACACGACACTCACAGTCACACACTTTTGCTGGTTCTTGTGCACTCGCTCTCTCAACAATTACGTCAGCAATTGACAGTCGCAACATCGTCCTCTCAAACGTCATGGTCATGTTTGTTGTCCACGAATTTTTCCACAAACAGGAGAGAGTCACCTGTAATTTCTCCGACGACATAAAAAGAAAGCAAAAACACGGCCCTCTCTGGTTTGCACCGGAACAAGAGGCTTCTTGATATGCACTTGCAGCCTTATGAACTTCCAATTTCTGAGGTTTCAGGGTGTCATCGTATAGTCTAGGTGTTGGTATGCTAGCCAATGTTAGACTCCATGTAATGTAATGAACTGTGACTGTGTGACGTCTCTCACTGAGCTGCACCCGGTGCGGTAGCTGTACCTTTGCAAAACTACAAAAAGTCAAATTAGAAAAACACGAAAAAGTAAAAGGACTTGAAGATCATCATTGTCAATCGAGGTCTTGAAGATCCAATGATTCATTGACTTATACTTAGACCCTTTCTCCCGGAGCATAGAACGAAAACATCTGTATGGTTCTGGTATTTGGTAACCTGAATTTGATTCAAGAAGAGAACTCGGGAGGTAGCTCGCTGAAGAAAACAAGAAGAGAACCCTTAGGATCAAATTCAGGTAACCAAATACCGGAACCATTCAACATCGAAAAATGCGACTCTCTTTAGAAATTATACCCGACCGAATGCTCATCCCGGATGCGTTCGCTCAGTCACCTAAGCTTGCCGATTGTCAACCGATTCTGCATCTTTCCTGGTTAGATTTGCCACCTGTGGTGATACCTGTAGCTGGACGTGGGGAAGACGGAGTTGGAAATGTGGTGAGACCTACCTTTTCCACACCGCACGTCCTCGATTTTGGCGGTAAGGGAAAGTCACTCACTTTCGACCTTCCTGAAAGGGGCTATACGGTTACACTGCATGAGGAGAAGTTAAGATGGCTCTTGCTCTTTTGGTGTTTTTCAATGTTAGCCCTTCTTGGACGAGGTAAGACTTAGTATCTTTGGTAAGTGTCGCGATGAAGATGAACTTTTGCGCATTTTTCCTCCTGGCGTACGAGGAGAAAAACAAACCCTGACTGACAGCTGACTTCTAAGAAAAGAAGAACAATATGTCGACATCGAATTGAAAAGGCCACAGGACTTCGATTTGCACCTTTCGCTACTTGCTATGCCCAGAAAGCTGGACGGTGACGATGCTCGTGTCGCATCTTCGTCATCCTCATGTTTTCTTGTAGCGATGACTACACTCCACTGTGCTCAATTGGTCAAGCTAGCAGCACTGTCGTTCCTGCATTCACAGCTAGATAAAGATACTCCGGGCTGCGACGAGGACCACAAGACGCCATTCCAACCTCACGCTCTGAATCTGGTAAATCCAAAATTAGAAGGGAAAACTGCCTTGAGTTTTCACATAAGGTTTGCACCTTTTGACAGGCCAGGGTCTAGTAGGAACACCGATGGAAGAACAAGCGAGAAAGAGAAACAGCCAAAGCTGTTAACAGAAGAGCTTGAAGAAGAAGGCTCAACAATGAAGAATGGCGGTCCTCTCCATGTACGACGTCATCGTGGTCGGAAGACATCTACTGGTCGTAACAAAAAAGGTACAAAGAACGGGTTAATAGATGCCTCTTCAGATACCATGTCTATACTTGAGTCTCCCTCGTCGATTCTTGGTGGACATGAGGATGATGATGAAGCTGTTGTAAAAGTAGAAGTTGATCAGAATATCCTAGACTGTCGAAAGATTGAGCCTGTGCGTTTTGTTCGTAGGATAACTTCTACGAAAACAAGTAAGGATAGTCAGATGTCCCTCACGACAACTGCGTGTGAAGATTTTGTCTCATCAAAAACAACGAAATCTGCATCGTCTGTATCTCCATCCTCTACACCGAGGAACTTAATGGTCTCAGACCACCTGCTCGACAGCAAGATTCAAGAAGTTCCGTTGTGTAAGCTGAACAGCAAGACTCAAGAAGGTGAGGTGTCTGCTGCACCAGAGGACTATGATGTTGAAGCTTCTACTAGTACAGTCACCAGTTTTACTAGGCCACAGCATCCAGATGTGTATGCCCCTGGAACTTTGAAGTTTGGCCTTCGTGGGTAAGGCGTGGTATGGCAAATGTAGTCTTGCTCAACTTCAACATCCCTTCATGTTGGAGCTCTACCCCCTTCAACTGTCGTTCATGTCGGGAGCGGCAGGAAGAACTAGGAGAGTTCTAAGTGTTCACATGGATTTGGATATCATAATTGTTCACCGCCAACGGTGACAGGATCGTGACGATGGATTGTATTCACTTTCACACGAGTCGTGATGACGACGTCAGCACTCATCTACTTCTTCACCGATCATGGAGCAAGTGTTTCTGTAGGCGCGCTGGGTCGCGTGGCTGAGGCTCGGTCAAAAAATAAAGCACAATCCCTCGATGAGGACCGATCTTCGCTGTGCTAGTAGTGCTGGAGCACGCGACGCGGCGAAATTGTTGAAATTTCGAAGGCTCACATTGGCATTATCACATTTTTTCGCTGGTAGCGTAGTAGTAGTTTCACTTTCAGGCTGTATTCAGTTTCATCATTCTTAACCTTTACCAGGATGAAGATGATCGTTGTTTATTTCCCTCAATATAACTCTCAAAACAACAGCAGGGTCTCAGGCGCGGAAGAGGACGAGTTAACTTTAGAAAAACCTGATAAGACTTCTTCGGTTTTTTGAAAGTTCTACTTTTCCTTTTTTATGCCGAAAGGATCGACATTAAGGTAGTCCTTTTATTGGTATTGGTTAAGTAAGAGCACCATCACGGCACTACTACTTCCTGAAGATGATTCAAATTTCCTGACGTAAATCGGGATTGCAAAGTAGTTTTCTGTCATTTTTTGAATTTTTACCCATTCCCTCTACTACACGAAAAACTGGAATTGATACTACTACTACTACTAGTAAGTTCGATCGTGTAGGTCTAGATCAAGATCTAGCGATAAGTAAATAAGATAGACTCCAGTTGTTGTACCACTAATATCAGTGTCACCCCCCTTCGTCGATGTTTCCATATTAAATGATACCATGAATACTCGAAGCCTGCTCTAGAGACCACAACAACGGTTTGATGATCGTGCGACGTCATTTCATCACGTGAAGTAGAGGACAGTAGCATGACGAAGGCGGCAGCGATGGCGATCTTCTTTTTATACCTTTATATCCGTCCTAGTACTAGTAGTAGTCGTCGTAGTCACATTTTGATTGGAACAAGACATCGAATTGAATTGGTATAATGTTGTTGACATAACATTTCCCTCACTGAGGGAGTCGTTACCTTGTGCGGCGTCGACGCGGAAGCACCCTCTCCTAGAACAAGAACTAGTACTAGCACTGCAATCATCAAATGAATGGCAAAGAGCAAGCGCTTTGTAAAAGAAGAGATAAGTAGCAGGACTGCGTTGAAGTTGATAAAAAGAGTGTGACCCGTTTAATAGCCATGTTCTTTCGTCGTTACATGGACAGGTGAACACGTTTTTTTTTCTGCCTATTTTTTTTGTGTCTAGCAGTACACGCATCGCTATCACGTTGATGCGTGATACTGGTGAGAGCGGGTAGTACTCAACATACGGAAGACATGACTAGTGTTAGTAAGTTTAGTGAAGTAATAGTTCATAATCACCTCTAGTCTTTTCATGATCAACAGATTTAGTTACAAGTACAACTAAAAGAACAAAATCAACTACTACAAGAAACACTAAATTTTTCACTAAGAACTACTAGCTTCCACACCAGCAAAAGAATCATTCAAAATGGAGTTTTTCGCTCAGAGGATCCGCGATGCCGACACAGATGAAGAGCTCAGCATTCTCGTTGAGCTCTTTTTCTTCGTTTTTGGGAAAGACGCCATCTCCATGTTCATCGATGCCCACTTCTACCACGAAGGAAAGTCTGGCTTACAAAGACTCAAAGAATACGGCCAAAAGCCTGGAGCCAAATCAAGATGCGATGCGGTAAGTTTTATATTAGAAGGTGAAGGAAAATCTCTGGACGAGTTACTAAGTCAAGATGCGATGCGGTAAGTTTTATATTAGAAGGTGGAGACAACATAGGAAAATCTCTATCTTGTTTAAGTTTAGAGAGTAAGTTCCGCGGCATACTGAAGATACTCTTACACTCATACTCATACTCATACACACCATCACGACACAGGTCTGGTACGGCGACACTATTGCATATGGATGCAAAACCTGTGGCCTTTCTTCCGCTAGTTGTGTTTGCGTCAACTGTTTCAATTTTTCCGATCATGAAGGACACGATTTCTACATCTCCAAATCGGACTACGGCTGTTGCGACTGTGGCGACCCTTTCGCGTGGCGGCGAAAGGGCTTTTGCATACATCACACTGGTCCTCGCAAGGACTTTCATCCGAAAGAGATGCTGATGTTATGACAATGGTTGACGTGGTCGAAGAAGTGAAGATGCAGCTATTCTTGATTACCATTACCTATCCCTTGTACTTGTTCTTGTTGTGGCTTATCTTCTGAGGAAGATCTGCATGATTGAAGTAGATCATGTCTCGTCGGACTCATAATTTCTTCCATCGGTAGTTGCAAGCGTCTAGAAGATTTTCCTTAAATTTTTCTAATTCCATGTGACGAAGTCGAGGGCGCCCCCGCCACGTCTGCTTCGTCGAGCTCTGGAGTTCCAAGGAAAGAAAACCTACCATCGCGCATCCAACGACTGATCCGAGTAGTGGTCGCTCGCATCACCAAGAATCGCATTGGGTCACAAGGAGATGTTGTTGGGATATTACCAGAGAAACTTCTACGACAAGGGACCGGATCGTTTGCAGCTTTACTTAAGGGTTGGAAGCCTAATTTACGTCCTGATATGGAGAACCAGAGTATGGAGTTGGAGGCAGTCCAGTCATTGTGTGCTCGTTTGCTAAGTTCGAATTTGCTGATTGAGAGAGTCGCGCCGGGAGGCCAAGCTCAAGGACAAGGAGAAGCAGGACATACTGGTTTCACTCAGCAGACTCACACAGTTCTGAACGTTCCCGAGATTTTTCAGAGATTCAAAGTCCTACCCAGAACGTTGGTTTACAACATGCTGCATGAGATGGCACGACCGGAGATGAAGAAAATACCCAGCATCTTGTTCTCCAGACACAATTATAGCGACAAAAAGAGCAGCAAAAAGAAAGACAACTACGAGCTCCAAGTCGTCGACTCCTTCAAAACCTGGCTACAAAATCTCAATATCTCCTGCAACGTCTGTCTCCCGATCATCGCAGCCCCATTGAAGCTAGAGTTGCTTCTGAGCGGACATTCTTTGCGAGAACGCGACATTTTTCATGCATCCAACGATGACAAAACGTTTTTTCTGGAACGTGTGGGTCTCTTGAGGAAAGCAGAAGCCGTGAGGCGATCGATATTCGATGCGTTTTTTGCTGTTGTTGCTAAAGCTAATGAATCTTCAGGGAATGGAAAAATTGATGGACAAGATCAAGAAGAGCAAGAAGAGAAACAACAAAAGAACTTCTCTGAAGGTTCTGGCTCATTGTTGGATCGGATCAAAAAACTGTCCTATCAAGCATATTCATGGGAAGATGTTGAGAAAGGGAGCACGACCTCCAGAAGTGCGAAGACCACAAGCCTTGGCATGACGCCTCTTTCTAGACGTACATTTTCGACACACGCTCATGTTGCGGAGACGATCGAAACGCTGCTTGGGTGGTTGAGGACTCTCGTCCCTCTGATGAAAGGAAACGATGGAACAAACCAGGAAAGGAGCAGCTGCAGCACCTCCTCAAAGACGAAGTTGGTAACGGAACAGAAGGATCTTCAAAACAAGGATCCGCTCCGCAACCAAACCTTGCTCGACTTGACACTGGAATTGGACTTAAAAAGGATACTTTCTACGTCTTCATCTAGTACTACTACTACCGCCACTGCTCGTCCACAGCGGGAGGCGGAGCTTCATGAACTTCAACAAGACATCATGCGTCTGCGATTCTATCAACTGACGCTTTTCAGTCACCAGCTGATCTGCTTGTTGATGAATGCTGGACATGAAGAAACGCGTGCAAAGGTTGCTGAGGTGCTTATGGGTAGAGGAGGAAGCAAGACGAAGAGGAAGAGCGACGTCAAGGGCAATAAGACGGTTCCAGAGGTGAATGATCAGCCTCAATCGTCGTCAATCGACGAAGATTTAGACCGGTGGCTCAATTCTTCAAATTTTGCAACAGGGTCGCTGCTCTTCCGAATGTTGTATGGGGAGACGTATTTCGATGCAGCAGGTGACGTTTGCGCAAAAGGTGGTGAACCACCTCGTACTAGTAGAGCAACAAAGCACGAGTCCCCAGAAGACAACCCTTGGCTGAAGCCTGTAGAATTGCGGGAAAGCTCAAATGGTGACACGAGCTTTGCGCAACCTGTCATTGATGTGTTCGAGAACAAGAAGGAGGATTTTGGACAGAAGGGAAAGAAGAAGAACCTAGACCACGAAGAGGACGAAGCTGCAGGGAGATTCAAGCGTGGCAGTCCAGTCAATGCCTGGATGGAAACACAGCCTCTACTTCCAGTCGACTTCACACCTTTTCACAGAGATAGAATTTTGCGTCTGTTTCGTGACGAAGTTGTTGGGTTTGCAAGGGATATTTTTCCCAGCATGAAACGGCATGATGCCTCCAGTACGTGTACGAGTACCACGAGTAGGTGGTCATCGAAGAAGATGGACAAGTATATGACGAAGGGCATCACCCGCACTGTTCTCGCCGAGCAGCTATCACAAAAATCTCCACAAGAACATTCAGGAGATGTGGGCCACGTAGACGTAGTTTTGAACAAGTTGACCACTGGTCTTGCAAAAATGTCATCCGACGAGGACAGTTACAAAGGATTTTCTGCCTTTTCTAAGGATTATGTCAGCGCATCACAAGAGCTCGAAGCGTCTTTGAAACTGATAGCGCCATATGAGCAAGCTTGTGCTCACTCAGGAGCAAGTGCAGGAGACAGCTGCCACGATGTGGCTGAGGGGATTCATCGGAAAAAATATAGTGAAAAAGAAGTTCCACCAAGTGGGGCAGTTTCTTTTTGGCAGAAACGTGGCCAATGGCTATCCCGCGACACCCGCCGCCATCTTTACGGGAGCACATATAATATCGGACAAGAAAGTGACGAAGCATTGGAACAGTACC